ACGCGGCGCTTCGAGCGGCCACGGCGCGGGTCACGGCTGAGCTCGAAACTGAGCGCGCGGGAATAGCCGCGGGAGAAACCGGAAACCCTGAAAGCGTTGGAGAATGAAAGAGGTGAAGCTGACGCTGTTAGAAGACAGTAAAAGATCGAAGACGCATGGATGATGTAAAGAAGCTTGATAAGAGAAACAACAGCAGCAAAAAAAAAAAAAAAAAAAACCTTCAAATATTAACAGTCCGTCAACCCGAATCTGGAAGAGAAACTGCTATTGGTGGTTAGGATCGACTCACCATCAGGGGAACGGGATGACGTCACACAAGGGCCAGATCTATGCGGCTCCAACGCGATCCGTCGATCAACGCATTCCTTCACCGGGGCAACCGCGCCGCCGGCGCAAAAAGACGAGGCCCGAGACGAGAGATTGATCAACATTGGCACGGAAATCGCGGAACGGCGAATCGATCCGAAGGACGGCAATCTCATAAACCACGCGACACGGTCATACAACCAGCGCGAGAGATTTTATTTTTTTGTGTTTCGCAGAACTTGCAACACAGTCGAATGCCGTGCAAACCACAGCCGGATACGGCGGTAGGCGCAGGGCGACAGTCGTATCAACCAAGCCCAATGTAAAGCGGTAACGCAGTAACGCGGACACAATGGCAGGTCCGATCCGAGCACAGAGATGCCTCTGAAGCATTGCCACGGCAACAAACACGCAGTAAACTTTGTGCAACTGATCCCACGTCTGCCACGCTTGTGATCCTGACGTGCGGAAAATGCAAGGCTATGAAAAAGCGCCTCCCAGTCCGTGACTTAGGGCGTGGGCAGCGCGTTCATTTTCCCCACTTTTACAAAATTTTGACGCCCGTCGAATCTGGAGGTTACTGTAGCTTTTTTGTACCGCGCTTAGTTTGTGTCCCAGGTGGGACACGCTCGTCCAAATTTAGGCACAGAACCCGCCACACTTTTGCCAAACCGCCCACCCAACAAGGTAACCCTGTGCCTCCGAATTGAAGGTGGCAAAAATTCGCGCACACCAGACACTCGAGTGGGTCTCGGAGGTTTTGACCTGGTGGATCTGGCTACGGGGCGCGGTAGGAATCTATATTTGTGAACCCTTGGATTTGCGAGGGTCGTACGCGCTTGACGAAGTCGTGGTGCGGTTTCGCTGACGTTTTCACACGCTTTCTCCTTTGATGCGCGGGTTGTTCGCGGACGTTGTGGGTACGTGTTTTGTTCGGTTGACGGCACGGAAAACAGCCACAGTTCATCCACTGTATACTCCGTCGTGTCCACGCATTACCCTAAATCGGGGTTACAAACCGCTGAATGAGGTAACTGTTTCGGGCTAAGCCAGGAAAATGAACGCGCTGCCCACACCCTTAGTCCTGCGACCTAGACTAAAATTGTGGGAACGGCAGCTCGTGCTGTGGTGGGGTGGGTTGTGTTACGGTCATATCAGGCGAGTGGGAAATCTACTCTAAGGTCGGTCTTGGTACTCAGGGCGCATTCCTGCGGGGACACTCGTGTCTCAATCACTTTGTGACACGCAAAACAGCATGTAGTGTAATGTGTCACAAACGCGGATCGCACTAGTGCGAGTTTTACTGTATTTTACATTGGTTGGCTTGAATTGCGCTGGTGTCGCGGACGAGTCACACAAGGCCCCGTCACACTCTGAAAATCGCACGCGCGTCGAAATGTCCTGCTGTACCGTATGCACCTGGACGCCCGAAGTGGTAGCAACATTCGGGCGGGAAAAGAAACCGCCCTGCCCGGGCAGACCAACAACTGGTGCTCCCCCCACACACGGTCACATCCCTGCCCGCTTGTGCACACCTTTCCAACCACGCTTGATGCACACTGTTTTGGTACCCTGCCCGGCAGGAAAACGGTTGGGCCCAAACCAACTGGTCGTAACCAATAGAACGCGTCCATTTGTACTTGCCAATCCGTCGCCTCACGTCGCGGTACATTTGCCGTTTGTGACACAACATTTGGTAAATTTGCAGGCGCGACTCGGGAAAAAGGGATTGAGACACAAGTGTCCCCACAGGAATGCGCCCTAAGCTGATACTAATGGTTTAACCAATTTAGAAGGAATGTCATCCAGCAACACAACATGATGGTGCATCATAACAGCTTGAACTAGGTGGTGGTGATCTTCATACTACAAGATTTAATATAACTACTCTGAATCCGTAGTCTGGTAGTGCATTGTAAAACATTGCGGAAGGTGGTTGAACAGGTAGGAATGGTATGGCTATTCATTTTCAGGGACATTTAGTGATATATGTGCGATATATTTGCACCGTTTTCCGTATTTTAGTAGGAAGGATATACCATACCCATAGTTCTTATTGTCACCTGAAACCGAATATGTACATATGGAGCTAATTACATTGCTGGGTTAGAAGCTAGTACCCAGTTATCGTCATTCCTTGGTGAGCTTTCATTTTCGAAGTTTGCACTAGCGAGGGAACGTGATGAGGATACATTAGCAGATTGCATGACACTCTCACCCCATGGACTCGGAATGGATTAGGTTGCTGACTCACTCGTATCTAGCAGTGACTGGGTTCTCGTGTGGGAGTCGCAACTGGTGACGTAAACCTGACGTCTTATCAGATTGCTCCTCCCTGCGATTTGGACGTCCATTTCAGCGCGCCGAATATCCTTGCTGTGTTTTCGTAACGTGCCTCCACTTCCGTTTGTCACGTCTGGGGGAATACCTTTTTTGGATTCCCTCGGCCGGAAATGGCGGGAACGTGGAGTCGCGGGGAAAGCCAAGTGGCCGAGCTGGAAGATTCGCTGTGCTGGAACCGACCCTGATTTGCCAAACAGGTTGCACCACGTCATTCTTGGGTAAAGCCACCTTGGTACGTACAGTTCCTTTCTGTTCTCTCCTAGAAGAGCCAACGAACCCACCTCGCGTTCTGGGGAGTCATCAAGTGCCCTTCCGAGTGAATTGGAGGTGAAAAGGCTGCCCTTCCAAACCAATTCCAGAAAATGGCCCCTGGCAGTCTGCTTTCTACCTGCCAAGGTGACCTGGAAACTGCCCGTTCTGTTGTGGCAAGCACCAGTCGCTACCCAGGTTCACTCAAGTGGTTCTGCATGCCAGAATGATGCAACATGCAAACTGTTGCCATCTGTCGGTCAACCTTGAATGGGGAAACTCCCTCCCACAGGCTGGATAGACAAACCAACGACGCGCAGGGGTTGCCGAGACTACAGTGTCATCGTCAGATCGCGATTCACGAGGCGTTTCGTTTCACGTTTCATGAATCAGGAGGATGAGTGTTCACCCAAAAACATTCGTTGCATGCGACCATAAACATTCGTTACGAGGAAAACCACCTCAAACTGCTTTGGCGCGCCTGGTGTTACACCTGTGCGACAACCACGCTTTAGTTCTCGTTCGCATGGCAGGGTCAGCGATCAATTCAAAGCCAGAACCTGTAACGTGTGGATGAAACCTGCCCGAACTTCGACATAGTCCCATCTATTTTCCAACCCCTCCCAAAAACCGCCAGCAAACCTCTCCTGAAGGAATCACATGTACAATGGAGACGGAATCATGACACGCGGCCCGCAATTCCATTTCGCGGTCTGCCACGGCGCAAAGCCAACTGAACCGAACCGAAACTCCCCATCCCCCAAGTCAAAGCGAACCAGCGAATTCAGACGCACGCGCCACATGCATCGACTCCGCGCATGCGATGCATTCCCCCTATTTGCGCATCCCTGCCGACACCCTCGGTGTCCGGCCCACCCGCGCCAAACAGCGCCCAGGTCAGCAACTGATTTATTCACGTGATTGTGACTCATCCGCTGCGCGCATTCCTCCCGCCACACATACTCCCCGTCGAATCAGCTCGAGCGCCTGAACCTCTTTCCAACCCCCCCAACCCCGCTCCGCGCATATTCCACGCACTCGTCGCCTTGACGTCACAACTGCCCCTCGTGCGGTTGCGTGTTTTCAACCTCCATCCACCTGGATCCCATCCACATATGATCCTCCTCGATTTCATATTCCATCCATCCCATCGGATGATTCCAATTTCCCCCCTTACATTCCATCATCACAAAACATCACAGCCCCACTCATACCCTAGCAGCAAGCACTCACTCTCCCCTGACCTCCTCACCGTCACACTGCCTCGATACCTCACTGTACCACACCGCCAACACACCAAAACCCTCTATTTGACACAATCCGCATATCTCCAGAAAATTGCTTCCGTGCTCCGCTGGTCATCCCCTCCCGTTGCCTGACCTCCATTCCTTCATTGCTGCGTCGCTCCGCAGCAGCTCCGCTCCGCCCGAGACGAGACGAGACGAGACGAGAAACGCCAAGCGATTGACCGAGCCGAGATCGTTCCCCTCTCATCCACTTCCACAGCGTCCTTCCCTCCGCGACAACGATCCCCTCCTCCCCACGCAACACTGAAGCTGGTCAGCTTACCTCGGCACGAACAGGCATACTTCCAGAGCCAATCGCGCGGCAGAATCACTCCATTGTTCCTTGATTTCCGCACATTTCACACCGTCTCCACCTCCCAGCCATTCCTCCCTTTGCTATCTGCTCATTCTGCTTCTGGTCCTTCTGGTCTCGCGTCGTAACTTAGCCGTCTCTGTCGCTCACATCGCATCCTCTCCGTTGGCCGACGGAATTTCGACGGTCGCCACTCACGCTTGCCTCGCCTGCTACTGACTGACCAGCATAAGGCAGAGGCGAGAGTCATACGAGTCATACAAAAGGAGCCAAACCTCATACCTTAGTCACTCATCTCGCGAGGCGTCCTCTTCTCGCGTCTCTCGCGATTCCTCGCTCTCAATTGTCTGTCTGTCCTTCGGCGACAAATTGCCCAATTCGTCCAGACACGTCACGGCTGAGAACGTGTTAGACTCCTTAGACTGATTCTGATTGCATGCCGTCCATCTCTAACGCGCCACCCACGCACCGAACGCGGCGGCAGCCCGCAGGAGGCACTGATAATGCCTGGAATCTTCAACATCTGGCCCGCGCACGGGCCTGCTGCTGCTAGCAGTAATTTCCGAACCGCTCCCGCCGCATCTTCCGCCGCATCTGCCGCTGGAAATTTCTTCAGCAAGCAGGAGTATCTGTCATTTGCCGTCGACCACCACGTCGCGACAAAACCGGCGGACCTGTTGCTGACAGCGGAGCTCTCCGCAATCGCCGGCGTGATTCCCGCGCCGGTCCTGCCGCATCAGCCGACCGCCTCCCCCGCGGTGAAATCGCTGCTGTTCAACCAGCCGTCGACCTCGCCGCACAACCCGGCGCGTCTTCCGCTCGGCGGAATTGGCGCGCTGCAACAAATCCTTCGTACCGCAACTGCCGGCGCCAATGGCGAACGGAGCCGCGGCTGCGCTAGCGGCACCCTTCTCGCAGCGCAAATTACAGCAGTCGGCGGGCCGGCAGGGGAAAAGTCTGCAGCGACAAAATCGGGGGAGGTCGCAGCAGCGGCAACTGCGGCGGTGACTGCGGCGAACAGCGGCAGCAGCAGAGGCCTGCATTTAATCCACGGGGCATGGCCGACCGGCAGTCAAGGGAAGACCGCCGCAAGTCACGGCGCCAAGAGCGGTGGCAGCTACGACAGCAACAGGTGTGTTTCGAATCGCTTAGGTTTGCAATGATGCTTCTGTTATTACTTCCCTCTTCCCCCTGCCCGCCCCTACTCCCATGGTTATTAGCCATTTTTGTCTCTTAGGACCCTGGCTTGGCCGTTTCCGTTTCCCTCATCCCTCCGTTCCCCTCTTACTCACTTCCCCCTCCCCCCCTCCCACTCCCCCTCCCCCCCTCCCACTCCCCCTCCTCCCCCTCCGCCGCTCCTTCTCTTGTGCAGTTCCGGTAGCGCGCACGACCCGTCGTCCGTGTGTTTGGCGGAGATGGTTTCCGATTTCATGGAGACAGGCTCGACTGAGAGCCACACGCTCGACCACCGCCTGCTCGACGCGATTCACGACAGCGAGGGTGGCTATAACGCGGACGTTTTCTCGCGCATGGCGGAGCAGGACGCGCAAGCTCCGCGGATGGGGGAGAGCGGCGGGTGGTGCGGAATGGGGGACGTCTCGAGCCTCATTGAGGTGAGGGGAAGTGCGGATAGGGGGAAGGCGGAATGGGAATGGGGATAGCCAATAAGGATGATTTGATGTAGCTGCCGTTATGCCCCCTATCGATCGTGGAATGCTCAATTCGCCCGCGCCCCTCCCCCTTTCTCTCCGCCCATTCCCCTTTGCGCCCCTCCCCCAGTCCCTCAGCGCCTGCACCTCCGCGGACGAGTGCCAGCTGTTCGCTGACGTCATCGCCGCCCTAAAAACAGCCAAGAAGGAAGCCTCTTCCTCAAACGCCGCAGGCGCCAGCGGCAACAGCAGCACCGCCACCAGCGGCAGCTGCAACACCGCCAGCAGCAGCGGCAGCAATGGCAACCTGAGGCGAGCAGTGATGTGCCTGCTGCGGTCCAAGGGGTACGATGCTGCCGTGTGCAAGGCACGGTGGGAGCACTCCAAAGGCCTCCCTGGCGGCACATACGAGTACATAGACGTCATTCTACCGTGCCACAGCAGCAACAGCACCAGTAACATCACAGTCAACACCAACACCAGCTCCACTGCTGCTGCCGCTGCCGCCAACCCGTCCCCGTTCTCGCCATCGGACCGAATCATTGTGGACATTGAGTTTCGCGCGCAGTTCCAAATCGCGCGCCCCACCTTCGCCTTTGACGCTGTTGTCCACTCCGCGCCCATCATCTTCGTCGGCCGACTCAACCGCCTGTTGAAGATCACTGAAGTGTTGGCTGATGCGACAAGGCAGAGCTTGAGGGAGCAGGGGCTGCACCTGCCGCCCTGGCGCCGGGCCGAGTATCTCCGGACCAAGTGGGCCGGTCCGTACCGGAGGACCACGAACCAGATTCCAAGGTCCGGGAGCAGCACACAGCTGGCTGGAGGTTCGGGAGCAAGCCTGGTGGCTCCGGCTGCTGCTGCTGCTGGTGCTGTTGGTGGTGATTCTGCTGGTCTGTTTGGGATTCCAGCACCGCGGCAGCGAACTGTGTTTGCCCGGCAAGGGCAGGAGGTGCATCAGCAACCCCAGGTGTGCCATCAGCAGCCACATCAGCAGCCCCGTCAGCAGCCACATCAGCAGCCCCATCAGCAGCCACATCAGCAGCCACATCAGCAGCCCCATCAGCAGCCCCATCAGCTTGCTGCCCCACGGCCGGTTTTCCTGCCTCTCAATGCAGCACGCCCTGTCCCTGCCATGTTCCCTGCACCGCCTGCTGTTGCTGCCCCTCACGCTGTGTCTGGTAACCCGTTTGCGGTAACCGAGAAGAGGAGCGCGGTTACCGCATACGGCAAGAAACCAAGCGCTGCTACCGGATTTGGCTATGAGGCTGTGGAAGGAGGTGCGTCGAGTGTGGCAATGTCTGCAGAGCTTGTGAGCCATGGGCGTGGCATGGTGATGCGGAGCGGTGTGAGTCATGTGAGTCAGATTGGGTTGGAGATGCGGAGATTGGCAGAGGAGAGAGCGTACAGACAGCATGGTTACTGCTGATGACGCTGGTTACCACTAGTAGCAGAAGCAACAGCAGCAGTAGCTGTAGCTGCTGCTGATGCTGGTTGCTGCGGGTGGTGGAGTGACAGGAGCAGCGGTGTCTGTGTGTGAGCTCAGCTGAGTTGGCTCAGCTGACGTGTGCAGCGTATACAGAGGGGCATTTCTAATTTTGCCTGGTGCTGTGTGAAGCAGTGCCTGGTGCCTCAAGTTTTCCACTTGAGGCGCCTCAAGATCCCGGTGCTGCAGGCAGCAGCGGAACCACTTTTATGTGGCGGGAATTTCTTTTTTGCCACATTGCCTGTTTCGGTGGTTGGCCTTTTTCCAGTCGCCCTTGTGAAGGCACAGTCCATCCTCTCCAGCTTTTGCGAAGGATGCAATTTTGTTAGAAGGTTTGGGTTTCCTTGGGAGTTTTGTCTGTTTGTTCATGTGTGCCCTTCTGTGTGCATATTAAGCGATTTGCCGTTTCCTGTGCGCTCAAGTGCCCTGCAAGAGCGGCTTGTTCAAAATCATTTTCTTTGTACATGAATAATGTCAACTAAACTGACAAGAGATAATACAGTTTACTGAAACTTTGATAACTGAAATCGGCTCGTTCTCGAAAGTGGGTGCTAGTCATGCCATATGAAATGCATATGCTACACCTGGGCTTCAAATTTCCCTCGAATTTGCCGGGCCAGTCTGACAGCACCCTTTCAGCCTCAAAAACTCCGCACGGCTCGTGCGGGACTTCCCCCCCCATGCCTGCTTTATACCGTCCCCCACAAGCAGCCTGTTCGACACAGTAGTTCGTCTGAATACGGCGTACTTCGGTTCCGTACGTTGCACGACGGTGACATATATCGTCAAAGTGGTTGAGTAGGATATCTTACTTCTCGGTGCACAGCAACTGAGAGTTCATCAGAAACTGCCTGATCATATCATTACCAGGCCGTGGAGTGCCAACCTGGTCATTCATTAGCTTGCTAACGGCGTTCGGTGTCGCGGATCATTAGTCTTAGGTAGCTTGAATAATAGGACGACGGAAATAGGTTAAAATCTCTCGAATAATGACGTATTCCGTCAAGTAGGACGTAGTCATCGTGCATAGAAACATTCCTAATTGTCGTGGCCTCAGGGAGAACTCTTAGTTGAAGAAGACTTTCTCATTACTGATTCTTCTAATTCTTAGTTGATCCCGAGAGGAATGCTCTGATTCCGGACAAAGTGCGTTTCCTTGATGGCTCGCTCCACGTGGCCAGCACGTGAAGGCACGTTGCTGCCACGTGGCGCTTCGCCGAGTCACGAAAGTCTATGCACCCTAGGTTTGGTCTTCGCTACAATTACGTCGTTGGCGATACGAGTGGTCGCAGGAACGACGGATATCCACCTGGATAGCAGCTGCATTGTTCCCTCGAGCTCATTTTTGCAAAGAATACTCAACTGCAGCAGCAGCAGCAGCAGCAGTAGCAGCAGCAGGAGGTGTTGCAAGAGCAGAAGATTCGGCGATCATTCCGAAGCAGCAGCAGACGCAGCAAGGGAAGGCATGAATAATAAAAGGCTTGCTTGCTTTGCAAGCTTTGCTGAAAAACACGTATCCGTTCATCAGTGCAGGTCCAGAAGTAGGCTGGGTATTGCAGATTGTTTAGCGGACAGAAATTGTTCCGATACACGCTCATGCTTGAGTTGGAAAGTGCCTCTTGATAGAGCTTATAAGGCGGATGACCGTGACCAGAATCCTGCGCAGGGTGATTGCTGTTCATGGCCGAAATCGGGACGAAAATCGGAGTCAGGCTTGAGATTGGAGCAGATGGCAGGGTTGGAATCGGAGGTTTGGATGGAGGGATGTCAAGGCGAACAGGCAGAGAGGAAGGGAGGAACAGAAGGAGGCATCAATCAGACTGAATCCGTTCCATTTCGTCCATATCCAGAAGAGGTTTCCAAGGCAGGAAGCCAGGCTCAGGAAGGTACATCGAGGCTCGGGAAAACGGGTTCTGAGGCTCAGGCTGGGGAAGTTCGCATGGAGCCTGTGGTAGACGAATGGATAGTCCGGTTCACTTCGTACGAACCTGTGGAGGTGCATCGGCAACGGCTGATAGACGCTCTAGAATTTCCCCGAATTTCGGAAGCTAGCCAATCAGGAGGATCGTCTGGAAGCACTGGAACAGGAAGCGATGGCATTGAGTCAGGAATCGGCCAATCGGGTGCAGCCAGATGGCACTGGGTAGAAAGGACGAATCCAGCCATGGCCTTTCCAACGGATTTTGGCGTTTTGCTGGTTGAGGGAGCTGAGAAGGAGGGGGGGGACGGGGGGAGGGGGACAGGGGGCAATGAGTCGGAGGATCTGAAGCGTCGGATTGAGGCCGTTCCGTTTGTGAAGGATGTACACCGTCAGATGAAGTACACTCGTTCACTGATGTACAGCGAGGGGGAGGGGAAAGGGGGCGACAGAAAAGGTGGTGAAAACAAAAGGAGAGGAGGAGAGGGGGTTAAGCAGAGAGGAGAAGGGAAAGGAACCAGAGGAGGAGGAAGAGAAGGGAGTGGAGCAGGGATAGGAGGAGGAGAGACAGATAAAGGTGAACAGGACTCATGGCTCGAAGGGTGGGGGGAGGAGGTGGAGGGGGGAGGGTGGGATGTGAGGGGGCCGGTCAGGAAACCTCCTGGAAAGCTGCGAACGAGAATGTCATTTGAGGAAGGGGAGATTCCCGAGGGAAGAGCGGAAGGGTCTTGGGGTTTGACTGGGAGGGTCCAGGGTTTTGGGGTTAAGGGCGAGGGGAAGAGAGGCAGGCGAAAGGACGAGGAGGTGGAAGAGGATAGGATGCGTGTGGGTGCGAGGGAGTTGAGATGGGTGGAGAGCGGTGGAGAGGGAGGGGAGGTAGTAGGTGCGAGTGAGGGACGACCAAGGAGAAGGAAGGGGAGAGGGATGAAAACAAGGAGGATGGAGGAAAGGAGAAGGAGGAGGAGTAGGCAAGAGAGGCAAAAGTTGCAGATGGGTCATGTGGAAGAGTCGTTCGAGGAAAGGCATGCAACTTTTCAAAACGAGCTTGCTGCTGCTGGGTCGTTTCTCGGTAGGGCCTGGAACGTGTCTGCTGCTGCTGTCAACCGCCGACACCTGATGCAGGTGGGAACTGATGCCGGTGGGATAAATTCACGGTGCTTGCGTGCATCGAAATCCGGTGCCATACGTCAGTACCTCCACTGAGGCAGGTAAGGACTGAGGCAGGTGGGAACTGAGGCAGGTGGGAACTGAGGCAGGTGGGGATAGATGCAGCCTGGGAACTGAGGCAGGAGGAACTTGACAAAGGCAGGTCTCAAGTCACGTCTCTGTTCCATGTTGAAGGACCAAGGGCTTTAGGGGCTCATGTTGGATGATTTGGTAGTTAGTTTCCCTCCTCACCGCTCTGCACCCCTCCCTTCCTGTGCCAGGCGCACAAGTCTCAGATCACGTCTTTGTTCCACGCTGAGAGGCTCTGGGCCAAGGGCTTCACAGGGGCAAACGTTAAAATGGCTGTTTTCGACACGGGTGTGCGAGCGGATCATCCTCATTTCCGCAACATCAAGGTGAGAATCAGGTCATTAGACCATCTCCATCTTGGGATGGGATATCCATTAGTGAATGAAGTAATCAGATCAGACCACCTCTGCTTCCGCAATATCAAGGTGAGAACCAAACATCAGTGCCTCCTGTCTTCACCCCTCTGCCATTCAGTCCCCCACAGTTAGTCACCCAATTCCCCCATTCTGGCCCTGCTCCTGCCAACCAACCAGGGGCGCACCAACGGGACCAATGAGGATACCCTTAGCGACATTCTGAGCCACAGCACCTCTGTAGCAACGATGATCGTCAGTTACGACTGTAGCCAGACAACTTCTCCCACCCACGCCGCCCACCCCCCCTCGCATCCACCAGGAGCGAACCAACTGGACCAATGAGGACACACTAAACGACAGCCTTGGCCACGGCACGTTCGTGGCAGGGGTGATTGCCAGTTGCGACTCCCACTGCCGCGGCTTTGCCCCTGACGCTGAGATCTATGCCTTCCGCGTATTCACCAACGCGCAGGTTAGTTGTTGTCTTCTTGAGTTGAGGTCTGTTACACATCCTGGTTCCTTGACCCTTTTGCCAGAAGGTTAATTCTGCCACGCTATACCTTGCCCACGGGAGTGAGGGGGTGAATCTGACCTCCAGGCCAGGGCCAATCGTCACTTGCTCCCTCGTTCCCCCTCTTCAACCTCCAACCTCGCTGCCCCCTATCCTCCTGCTGTCCCTGACAGGTCTCCTACTCGTCCTGGTTCACTCCTCAATGCCTTCTGCCACACTATACCGTGCTCACGGGAGTGATGTTGCTGACTGAATCTGAGCACCAGACCAAGTCCCTGGCGTTCTCTCCTCATCACCTCCTCTCTCTTTCCCCCTCTTCAACCCCCACTGCCAACCCCCCTGACAGGTCTCCCACACGTCCTGGTTCCTAGACGCATTCAATTCAACTGCGCCATCCTCATGGGCGTGAATGTGTTCAACCTCAGCAGCAAGCTAGTTAACCCCTTTCCCCTCCCCACGCCCCACCTCTCCTTCCCCCTCGCACCCACCCTTTCACAGGTCTCCTACACGTCGTGGTTCTAGGACGCGTTCAACTACGCTATTCTCACGCACACGAACGTGCTCAAGCAGCAGCATGCTCTCACCTCCCTTGCTTCCCCCACCTCCCCCTTCTACTGTCTTCACCAGGTCTCCTACACCTCGTGGTTCCTAGACGCATTCAACTACGCCATTTTAACGCGCATGAACGTGCTCAACCTCAGCATTGGGGGTCCTGACTACCTCGACCGGCCTTTTGTGGAAAAGGTGGGGTGAGGCCTTGGGTGGTGAGCGGTGCATAGGGGTAGGGGGGTGTGGGGAGGAAAGGGAGAATCAAGGGGCCCGACTCCCGAGTACCTCGACTGGCCATTTGCGGAAAAGGTGGGGCTTGGGTGGGGTGAGGAGGGATGGAAAGGGGTGGAGAAGGAGCATGGGGGCAGTGGACTTCGTTGACAGGCTATTTTTGGAAAAGTGGTAGTCCGGCCCCCCATGACGGGCATGTACCCACCATCCCATCACCCTTCCGTGATAAAAGGGAGTTTTTGTGACGTCTCAAATGAAAAGCTCCTTTCTATCATGTGGTAGGTGACGGGCATGTACCAACCATCCCACCGCCCTTCCTTCTCCCCGCCACCCTTCCTTCTCTCCCATTCCTCCTCCTCCCCCTTCGCCTCTCCACCCTGCCCCCACTGTTTGTCCGCCCCTCCCCCCCTTCCCAGGTGTGGGAGGTGTTGGGTAACGGCATTCTTATGGTGTGTAGTTTTGAGGCGCCTCAAAATTGGCATTCTTATGGTGTGAGCTATCGGCAATGATGGGCCCCTCTACGGCACTCTCTGCATATTGCTTTTTCTCCCCTTCCCCCGCCTCCCTCACTTTCCCACTAGGTGTGGGAGGTGACAGGCAATGGCATTCTGATGGTATCAGCCATCGGCAACGACGGCCCTCTGTACGGCACGCTCAACAACCCCGCGGACCAGAATGATGTGATTGGGGTGGGCGGCATTGACTACACTCTGCACATCGCATCCTTCTCCTCGCGTGGCATGACCACGTGGGAGCTGCCACATGGGTATGTTGGTGCTGTGGGACTCTGGTGGTTTACACACAGGTATGGAGGGATACAGAACGATGTGATTGGGGTGGGGTGGCATCGACTACACTTTGCACATCGCGTCGATCTCCTCCCGTGGCATGACCACGTGGGAGCTGCCGCACGGGCAGGCAGTACGTGGTGGGGATAAAGGGAGAGAGAACGCTATGATAGGGGTGGGCGACATCGACTACACTCTGCACATCGCGTCGTTCTCCTCGTGTGGCATGACCACGTGGAAGGTGCCGCACAGGTATGTGGGAGAGAAACGGGGGGAATAGGAAGGGAAGGTTTGCAGGGGGAAAGGGGGGGATGAGGGAGCAAGTGACGCTGGGTTGCGGTTTTGGCAGGCAGCAGCAGCATGGACTATACTCTGCACATTGCATCGTTCTCCTCCTGTGGCATGACCACCTGGGAGCTACCGCATGGCTATGTGTGAGAGGTTGGGTGTAGGAAAAGAGAGGTCTGGTTGGAGAGGGAAGATGAGGGGGGGTAGGTAGGGGTGGGGATTATAAGGGAGCCGCTCATCCCTGCCACTCGCTCATCGCCCTAAGCCCCTCCATGATATGTCACACCTGCCAACAGCCGAAGGTTGTTTTTGAGTATTCTCAAAAACACCCTTCAGCATCATGTCATGTCACACCTGCCAACAGCCCCCCACTCTGCCCACTCTTTGCCGCCCATTCACCCCTCTCAGATACGGACGAATGAAGCCAGACATAGTTGCCTATGGTCGAGAAGTGGTCGGCTCAAAGATCAACGGCGGGTGCAAGAGCCTTTCAGGGACGTCCGTCGCGAGCCCGGTGGTGGCCGGCGCGGTTTGTCTTCTAGCAAGCGTTGTGCCGGAAGCCGTGCGGTGGGGGCCTGGAGGGGTGTTGAACCCAGCGAGTATGAAGCAGGCGTTGGTTGAAGGGGCTGATCGGCTGAACGGGCCTCATATGTTCGAGCAGGGGTCTGGGCAGTTAAATCTGTGAGTGTCAAACATTACAGTAACTTAGTCTTGTCGTGTATGCTTTGGAAACGTCAGTCAGTCTCTGTGCGTTCGGGGCCGGGAGGGGTGCTGAACCCGGCGAGTATGAAGTAGGCGTTGGTTGAAGGAGCTGACAGGCTGAACGGACCGCACATGTTTGAGCAGGGCTCGGGGCAAGTCAACCTGTGAGTGTGAAACAGTGCAGATTGCAGGGTCTTGTCTGTTTGTCGCATGCTTCAGAGATGTCACAAGAGCCAGTCAGCCTTGAGTGTTGCACCCAGCGAGTGCGAAGCCGGCTTTGGTCGAAGGAGCTGATAGTTTGAATTGTGGCCCTGGTCTAGACAGCCCCTTGCCAACACCTCCCCAAACCTCTGTTCCAACTCCGTCCTTCCTCCTCCCTCTCCCCACCTCTTTCGCCCACCCTCCTCCCCTTCCACTGTCTGCAATCCCACGCCATTCTAGCGAGATACACGCCCCGAGCTTCAGTCCACCCCTCCACCCTCGACCTCACAGACTACCCCTAGGCGTGGCGCCACTTTCAAACTTTCTCTTTCCCACTTTCCTCTCCCCTGTCATGTCCCCCACCTCTCCTCTCCGCTACCCGCTTCCTCCCCTCTCAGCCTGCGATCCCACGCTATTCTCGCAAGTTACACTCCCCGCGCCTTGTCCACCCAGCTTCTCTCGACCTCACAGACTGCCCCTACTCCTGGCCGTGGTGCTGCCAGCTCCTCTTCGCCTCCGTGCTGCCTCAGCCCAGTTATCTACTCTGTTCTTCCCCATTCCCCTTCCCTCTTCTCCCCCAACCCTGTTTTCCGCCAGCCTGCGATCCCACGCCATTCTAGCAAGCTACACCCCACGGGCATCTGTCCACCCAGCTTCTCTCGACCTCACAGACTGCCCCTACTCCTGGCCGTGGTGCTGCCAGCCCCTCTTTGCCTCCTCCCTCCCTCTCATCATCAACGCCACTGTCTTGAACGGCATGGGGGTCACCGGCTGGCTCGCTGCCCCGCCTGTGTGGGTTCCCACGGAGGTCAACCTCACCAGCACTGCCACAGACGGCGGTTCTGCTGCAGATGGTGGCTCTGTGAACATGTCCACAGCGAACTCTTCCTCTGCTTCGTCTTCCTCTGCCTCTCCGCCTCCCCATCGGGTGCTACATGTGCGCTTCTCCTACCCGGCGGTGCTGTGGCCGTGGTCCGGCAATCTGGGGATCTACCTGCGGGTGCACCCCGCTGCAAGGCACCTCAACGGTGAGGGGGCGATGGGGATGGGAAGGAGAGAATTCTGTTCGAGAGATAGGTGAAGGGAGGGAGGTGTAGCGATTTACACGCCTCTCTCAAGGTTTCTCCTACCCTGCGTGCGGTGCTCTGGCCGTGGTCCGGCAACCTGGGCATCTACCTGAGAGTGCACCCCGCTGCAAGGCACCTCAATGGTGAGAAGAAAATGGGCTTGGGGAAGTGGAGGGAGGGAGGTATGGAAAACACACGCCTCTCTCAAGGTTTCTCCTACCCTGCGTGCGGTGCTGTGGCCGTGGTCCGGCAATCTGGGAATCTACCTGAGAGTGCATCCAGGTGCAAGACACCTCAACGGTGAGAGGGATAAAGGTAACGAGTCAATCTGTTGCCTTAGCTGCCTCAGGGTCCTGAGTTGCCTGAATAATCAGCATGGGAATATACCTGGCTGAGAGTGCATCCCGGTGCAAGACACCTCAACGGTGAGAGGGATAAGGGTAACGAGTCAATCTGTTGCCTTAGCTGCCTCAGGGTCCTGAGTTGCCTGAATAATCAGCATGGGAATATACCTGGCTGAGAGTGCATCCCGGTGCAAGACACCTCAACGGTGAGAGGGATAAGGGTAACGAGTCAATCTGTTGCCTTAGCTGCCTCAGGGTCCTGAGTTGCCTGAATAATCAGCATGGGAATATACCTGGCTGAGAGTGCATCCCGGTGCAAGACACCTCAACGGTGAGAGGGATAAGGGTAACGAGTCAATCTGTTGCCTTAGCTGCCTCAGGGTCCTGAGTTGCCTGAATAATCAGCATGGGAATATACCTGGCTGAGAGTGCATCCAGGTGCAAGACACCTCAACGGTGAGAGGGATAAAGGTAACGAGTCAATCTGTTGCCTTAGCTGCCTCAGGGTCCTGAGTTGCCTGAATAATCAGCATGGGAATATACCTGGCTGAGAGTGCATCCCGGTGCAAGACACCTCAACGGTGAGAGGGATAAGGGTAACGAGTCAATCTGTTGCCTTAGCTGCCTCAGGGTCCTGAGTTGCCTGAATAATCAGCATGGGAATATACCTGGCTGAGAGTGCATCCCGGTGCAAGACACCTCAACGGTGAGAGGGATAAGGGTAACGAGTCAATCTGTTGCCTTAGCTGCCTCAGGGTCCTGAGTTGCCTGAATAATCAGCATGGGAATATACCTGGCTGAGAGTGCATCCCGGTGCAAGACACCTCAACGGTGAGAGGGATAAGGGTAACGAGTCAATCTGTTGCCTTAGCTGCCTCAGGGTCCTGAGTTGCCTGAATAATCAGCATGGGAATATACCTGGCTGAGAGTGCATCCCGGTGCAAGACACCTCAACGGTGAGAGGGATAAGGGTAACGAGTCAATCTGTTGCCTTAGCTGCCTCAGGGTCCTGAGTTGCCTGAATAATCAGCATGGGAATATACCTGGCTGAGAGTGCATCCCGGTGCAAGACACCTCAACGGTGAGCCTTCTTTCCCTTCCCCATCCCCTTGTATTGAGTCAAGATTTGAGGCGCCTTAAAACTGGTAAGGATTCCTTACCCTCACCCCCCCAAGCCAGGCACCATAGCACGCGCCATTCACATCACGGTCGTCCCCCCCAGCCTTTACAAATCCGCTCTTCCCTACTAATTGCCCCTCCGCATTGCTCGCATTGCTCCCACCCTTCTCGTCCGTTCTCGCTTCTTCCCTACTCTTGTTGCACCTACGATAACCCCGCCCTCTCCCCCCACCACCTGTAAAAAGTGAATTTGTGAGATGTCTCAAAAATTCACTTTTTACACATGGCTTCTTCCCTACTCTTGTTGCACCTACGATAACTCCACCCTCTCCCCCCACCACCTCCCCCCTCTTGAGCCAGGCACCATAGCAGGCACCATTCACTTCACGGTGGTCTCTCCCCCCGGCCCCAACGAAGCCACCCCTCGCACCACCAACTGCTCCCAGCGTCCTCCCCTCTCCCCATCCTCCCACCTCTCTACCTCTCCCTCCCCACCTCCTCCCTCTCAAGCCAGGCACCATAGCAGGCACCATCCACTTCACGGTCGTATCTCCCCCCGGCCCCAACGAAGCCACCCATCGCACCACCAACTGCTCGCTGCCCCTCCGCGTTGCCATCATGCCCACACCCGCCCGCCACCGCCGCGTGCTGTGGGACCAGTTTCACAACGTGCGGTACCCCCCAGGGTACATCCCCAGGTGAGCGCTTGCTGTCTATCAAGGCAATCTCCTTCCTCCCTCTCTCCACACTAGCTGCCCCCTCTGTGTTGCCATCATGCCCACACCCGTCTGCCGCGGTGTTCTATGGGACCAGTTTCACAACGTGCGGTACCCCCCGGGGTACATCCCCAGGTGCGTGTTGGTTGTCCATCAAGGCAATCTCCTTCCTACCTCTCTCTACTGCTCCCTGCCCCTCCGCGTTGCCATCATGCCCACACCACCTCGCCACCGTCGTGTTCTCTGGGACCAGTTTCACAACGTGCGGTAACCCCCTGGGTACATCACCAGGTGCGTGCGTGCATGCGTGCGTGCTCGCTGCTTAGGCTGAGACTGTGCTTGCAAGTGGTATGCCCCACACCACGCTCTCACCACCATGTGCTGGGGGGACCAGTTTCACAACGTGCGGTAACCCCCTGGGTACATCCCCAGGTGTGTACATGCATGCGTTCTGCTTGGTACATATCTGTTCATGTGAATCTGAGAGCTATTGTGAGTTTGAATGTATCACCACCAGCATACCCACACCATGCTCTCACTTCCGAGTGCTGTGGGACCAGTTTCACAACGTGTGATACCCGGCGATTCCCGTTGATATGATCGAATCCAAGACTTACTTCACAATGTGTGATACCCTCCTGGGTACATCCCCACGTGCAAGCGCAAGCATGTGTGTGTTATCCTCGGGCTGTAGCTGTCTGTGCCTCCCACTCGCATGAATGCTCTACCTATTCCCCACCCCCTCTCCCGTGCAGGGACTCTCTGGATGTGCGGAATGACACGGGGACCACACTGTTTCTTCTCCTGCTCTCCGCCTCTCTGCCTCTCCTCTGCCTCTCCCCACCCCCTCTCCCGTACAGGGATTCTCTAGACGTGCGGAACGACATTCTGGACTGGCACGGCGACCACCCCCACACCAACTTCCACGGGCTGTTTTCCGCTCTGAGGGAGTGGGGATTCACGCTCGAGGTGTTGAGGTCTTTGCTTCTCTCATCCCTTCCCTGTGGATGGAATTGCCCTTCCCCATCGATCCCCTTGCTGGTCTCTGCTTCTTCTCTATCTCTCCCAACAGAGACTCACTAGATGTGAGGAATGACATCCTGGACTGGCACGGGGACCACCCCCACACCAACTTCCACGGGCTGTTTGCCGCTCTGAGGGAGTGGGGCTTCACGCTCGAGGTGCTGGGGTCGCCCCTGACGTGCTTCGACGTGCGGGAGTATGGCGCACTGCTGATGGTGGATATGGAAGAGGAATACCATGCAGACGAGGTGAGTGGATGGAAGGGTGCAGACCGAGACAGACATAGGTGAGGGTGCTGGCGTCGCCCCTGACGTGCTTTGATGCACAGGACGGGAGTATGGCGCGCTGCTGATGGTGGATATGGAGGAGGAGTACCATGCAGAGGAGGTGAGTAGTATCTACACATGTGGTAGGTGTTGGTTGGTGGTGAGATGAAAGTCAGAGAGACATAGATGGTGCCTTGAAGGGAGTATGGCGCGCTGCTGATGGTGGATATGGAGGAGGAGTACCATGCAGAGGAGGTGAGTAGTATCTACACATGTGGTAGGTGTTGGTTGGTGGTGAGATGAAAGTCAGAGAGACATAGATGGTGCCTTGAAGGGAGTATGGCGCACTGCTGATGGTGGATATGGAAGAGGAATACCATGCAGAGGAGGTGAGTAGTATCTACACATGTGGTAGGTGTTGGTTGGTGGTGAGATGAAAGTCAGAGAGACATAGATGGTGCCTTGAAGGGAGTATGGCGCACTGCTGATGGTGGATATGGAAGAGGAATACCATGCAGAGGAGGTGAGTAGTATCTACACATGTGGTAGGTGTTGGTTGGTGGTGAGATGAAAGTCAGAGAGACATAGATGGTGCCTTGAAGGGAGTATGGCGCACTGCTGATGGTGGATATGGAAGAGGAATACCATGCAGAGGAGGTGAGAGTAGGTGGGAGTCATTCCGCCGAGCAGAACATGCCATGACGTGACAGTGCCGGGTTGGGCCTGATAGTGGTGGGCGACTGGTACCATGTGCCCACAATGAAGCACATGCGCTTCCCCCACCTCCTGCAATCTCCACGATGCAATAGCCAAGTTGCACCATGATGTTACTGTGCTGCGGCTGGGCCTCATAGTGGTGGGCGACTAGTATCACATGCCCACAATGAAGCACATGCGCTTCACATAAGTCCCCACCACTCCCTCTCCCTTCCCTGCATCTCCTCCCTGTGTGTCCCCCTGTGCACTCTCCCGGCTGTGTGTTTCAGATAGCCAAGTTGCACCATGACGTGACAGCACTCGGCCTGGGCCTGATAGTGGTGGGAGACTGGTACCACGTGCCCACCATGAAGCACATGCGCTTCTTTGATGACAACACTCGCTCCTGGTGGACGCCTGCTACCGGTGAGTGAGAGCACTGTTTCCCAAAAACAATAGTGAGAGCCCACGTCATCTCATGGTGGCATGGGAATCTTACCATGAGATGGTGCACCCCTGCATGCACTATCACCCCATCCCCATGCCACCATGAAGCACATGCGCTTCTTTGATGACAACACTCGCTCCTGGTGGACGCCTGCCACTGGTGAGTGAGAGCACTGCACCGCGCCTCACACCTGCTGCTGTGTGAGCACCGCATCGCACACCTTCTCTTCTCTTGCCCGTCATGTGACTGTAACCCGACTCAACCGTGCTCTTTTCATCCTCCTCCTCCCCACACTTCCCCAGGTGGGGCCAACGTACCAGCCCTCAACGACCTTCTCTCTCCGTTCGGAATCGCGTTCGGTGATGCCATTCACTCTGGCACCTTCCCTGTTCTTGCCCGCCATGTGACTCTTAAGTTCTAAACTAACCCAGTCGTGCTCTCCCCAACCTCCTCTCCACGTTCCCCCAGGTGGGGCCAACGTACCAGCTCTGAATGACCTTCTCTCTCCCTTTGGCATCGCATTCGGCGACGCCATTCTCTCCGGCACCTTTTCAATCGCCGGCCATAGAGCCTACTTTGCCTCTGGCACGGATATTCGCAGGTTCCCCAAGGGGGGCTACGTTCACAGGTTTCTGTTCAGGGATGGGTCGTCGGGTGGGGGCAGTGGGGGGGGAGAGGGCGGGGAAGAGGGCGGAGGAGGTGGAGGGGGAGGAGGGGGGGAGGGGGAAGAGGTGGGAACGTCTGGAGGGGGGAGTGGTGGGTCGATTGTTTCGACACGAGGAGGAAGGATGAAGAGTCAAGTCGAGGCTTCGGTGCTTGGGTTGGTGGAGAGGGGGGAAGGGAGGGTGGCGGTTTTTGGCGATTCTAACTGCTTGGACAGCAGTCATTTGGTAAGCGATTGCTTCTGGCTGCTAAAAAAGATGCTTAGTTTTGCTGCCGAGGGAAAAAAAGACCCGACATTGTTCCACCATAGAAATGAGCTGTTGGTTGCAATGGGGGGCGGTGGTGGGGAGGAGGGGCAGATGAATTGGTCAGATTTGATCCGGGGATTCTCAGGGGCGGATTCGAAATTGGGTGGTTCGGAAGTTTTTTTGCTGCCCGAGAGGCGGACGGATGTGAATTTCACCGACCTGTCATTGGTTCTCGGCAAGCCGCTGGTGTGCGGGCAGGATTCAAAAGTTTTACGGGTTGCAAGTAAGCGGAGTAAGCAAGCTGGAGGGGGAAGAGATGTGTTGAGGGGGGAGGGAAGGAGAAGGGTACGAGGGGGGATGGTGGGAGGACGGAGAGGAGGAGGAGGCAGGATTATAGAAGAGAGCGTGGGGGGTGGGGGTGGGACTGAAAGCGTGGGGGTGGGTGGGGGTGATACTGCCAGGGATGAGGGTGAGAATGAGGGTGAGGGTGGTCCTACCAAAAATGGGGGTGTAGCTGTTGATTTGGGAACTGTTGCAGATGTGAGGGAGGAGGAGGAGAAGGGAGAGGAGAGGGATCGTGGCGGATTTTCTAGTGAGGAAGGCATACAGCGGGGAGGGAGTGTGAAGGAGGGGGGAGAGGGGATAGGAAAAATGGGGGGGCGTGAGGAAGGAGAGAGAAGAGAGGAGAAGGGTGAAGAGGGACCGGGGGAAGATGGGAAAGGGGAAGGGAGGGCGAGAGGAGAGCAGGGGTTCACAGAGGCAGTCGAACAGCTGCAGCAACAGCAGGGGCAGCACCAGCAACAGCAGGAGGAGGAAGAAAATGGTCGGGGTCTGGATGGGAGCATGCGGCAGCAAGACGTGGGGAGAGGAGATTCGGTAACGGGGAGCAACGTGGAAGCGGGATCAGATGGTGTAAAGGGATGGGATGGGGTGAAAAGGGGTGATGACAGCATGAGGCAATCCGATGATTTGGAACCGAGCGGTGGCAGCAATGGTCCTGCTGCTAATGTTGCTGCAGCTGGTGCTGGTGCTGGTGCCGGTGCTGCTACTGCTGCTGCTGATGCTGGTGCTGGTGCTGCTGCTACTGCTGGGGCTGCTGTGAGGGTAGACGATGGCATAACGGGGGGAGTGGGGGGGAGTGGTAGCAGCGATGGTGCTGCTGCTGTGAGTGCAGATGACCTGTTGCTAGGGGGTGATGTTGGGGGGGAGGAGCTGGAAGGCCAGTCGGCTGGGAAGAGCATTTGGAGGCACTGGCATGAGCGGGAGGAGGAGGTGAGTGTGGGAGTTGAATGGAGATGATTCATGGGGGATGGGAAGATTGGGGGGGTTAGGGAGATTGCTGGGGTTGGGGGGGGAGATCCTAGGGAGGGAGACAGTGGGGGATGGGGTGGATTGGGGGTGATTATGGGTGGTAGGTAGAATCGATGGGAATATTACGAGGGGACGAGGGTGCACCCAGCTGGTAGGAGCAAGTGGAGGGATGGAGGGGAATGATTGAGTTGATCCCATGTGAATCCTTCCATTCTGTCATCCACATTCATGCCTAAACAAATTCACCTTCCGCCATCGCCACCCTCCCGTCCCTCCTCTGCTCCCCCTCCCACTCCCTCCATCAAACCTGGGTGAATCTCAACTCTACTGGGTTCTGCGCCTTTTCTAGACGTCTCACAACTCATCCCTCTTCTTCTTCCCCTTCCTCTCCCTCCATCCCACCTGGGTTAATCTCCACTGGATTTGGCGCTCGGAACTTGTCGTATGCTTGCCCCCACTCCCCGCAACTTCAAAAACCTCTCCTCGGCCTTTGGGGCGCCTCAACATTCACCCGGCCTTACCCAGCCCGACACATACTTCCCAATCGTCGCTGCTGCCTCGGGTAAGCCATCATTCCACCCATCCCACCTGTTTTGGGGCGTCTCAACAATCACCACCCCACCTTACCCAGTTCGACACATTCTTCCCAATCGTCGCTGCTGCTTCGGGTGATCCCTCATTCCATCCATCCCACCCTTCTTGCTGCGTCTCAAAAATCACCTCGGCTTACCTTTTAAGTCGACTCAGATATGACCCTTGCTTACTCAGCTTGATGTGTTCTTCCCAATCGTCGCTGCTGCTTCGGGTAATCTCTTTCTTCCCCTCCACGGCTTCAGGGTTTCGCTCATCCTTTCAAGTGCCAGCTCGCTGAATCCCTCCCACCACTCCCTATACCTAAATCTGCATTCTCATTTGTAATCAGACCCATAAATGTAATCCCTTCGCGCTCATACTCTCTGTACGCAAACCGGTCTTCATCCTGTACCCAGTCAACTTCTACCAACGGCATACCATAAATCATACTCAGCCGCATATTCAAACATCCAGCCCATATTTCCAACCCTAATTTTCTGCGTTTCACACGCTAACCCTTGTGATATGTACACCCCGAAGTTCTTCCATGCATAAAAACATTTTCCTCCATAACACCCGAGACGGCGTTATTGTCATTATAGACACACGTGCCTTCGAACTGCATGCTGCAGTATTGTTCCAAACCTTAATTGAGTTAGTTGACATGCTGGGTTTTTCTATTATTACTGTTGCAGGATTCATATTTCTGTGCGGTCTGTGGAGATTTCGACAAAGAAGAAACAGAAAGCCAAGGGCAAGAAGACTATAATGCTAATCATCAAATAGATCAGGGCAAGATATATTGGCATGGCATTGATTTGATTTGATGATATGTAGTTCATCTAAGAGCTTGTTCCTATCACGCGACCTCGTATCAATTTCGCGTCGAACCGCACTAAAACGCATCCAACCGCAGTCGAACACACTGAAACGCATTTCACCATGCGAATCTGATACGAGGTGTTTCTGATACGAGGTGTAGGAACACGCTCTAAGGCGAGCACATTAGCGCTAGCATCCTGTGGATAGAAGGAGGGTGTAGAACGTATCGGTGACGATACTGAAAACTCGGTGTTTTTCAACATGACGACACTGAAAATCAGCATTTGATCTTCAAGGCACACTCAATAATCAGCATGCCCCAAAGCGAATACAAGGCTCTACCGTCACCACAAAAGCATGCCAAGGATGAGTAGTCCAATTTCCCATTTAGGGGTTTAGGACTAAAAAGCTGCAGCCTTTGCTCATTAGGACTACAATGCTGAACCTGTGTCTGAATGAGGTGTTGCATTCTATGAGGGTAGTATACAATATGATGAAGGCTAAAAAACAAAACTGTCCACAAATGCCACCCACTATAAAACAATAAGATTCTAAGACCCCGCTTGCCTCAAATTTCCGTCGGGAGGCACCCTTGATAGGTTGACAACAAAAATTTCATAGCCCAAAAAACATTTTACTATGGGTGGACGTGCCATACTTGTTGACATGCAGCTGTAGAAGTCTTAAGAAGCAAAACTTTGTTTCTGGTTTTTGGGTTTGGTATTCTTGGGTTCCAGCAACCCAAACACTCCTAGGAAGGGTTTTACTGTATGATCTGTCATTTGATAGTAACTGTTGATGCCCAAAAGGACAACTGTGGATGCCTCGAGAGGATTTGACTGGACTGGACGGAAGGAATACAATTGGAGTCAGAATGCATGCATACATCTGAATGGCATCGTTCCCGTTCCGTCTCGCAGGAGAAAAAACGATTCAAATCTGATTGCTGCGGGTGGCGTTACAGTACAGTACAGTACAGTACAATGAAGAAGTCGGCGAACTCACCTGCACAGTCCAGCAACTCGGCTCCTCAACAGTAGGGATGCTGTCCAGCACGCCTTCGCCACTGCAACTCACACGCGTGTTACACGTAAATTTTCTGACATGTCGTTCGCTCCGCCTAGGAGTCCCATGTCAACACTTTGAGTGGATGCCAATCGAGACCGTATGGATGCTATGCTATGCTACCCTCGAGTGCTGATGGAGCCAGGCCTGTCGCTTGCCCTGGGCCCAGAACTTAGCGGGCTGAGGTGGCCTAAATTCAGCCCTTAATTTTCCGGGTTGAGTCAAATTCCAACACTTAGATTCAGGGCTATACATCCTTCTGCACTTGAGCGTGAACACATCGTATGAGTGGGTTGTGTTCAAATACACCTAAGGGCAGCGGTACAGCAGATACATAAGCCGATCTCGATGCAGCATGGTGAAGTCTCTGTAAGGATGTTTTTACGTGAACAGGGAAGGAGAAACAAGGGAAACGAGGGGTGGGGGAGTAGGGAAGGGCGATGAACGTATACGTGAAATCCGGGTTAAGAGCCAAACCAGTCCTTAAGGAAAACGGGCTGGCCTCAAAGCCAGCCCTTGAATTCTCTGAGTTGGGCGCAAACAAGCTTTTGAATTCAAGGACAAAAAGGGCAAATGCCCTTGTAGCGACAGGCCTAGATGGAGCCCTACCAGCGTAGTTCAGCTGTCCTTCAGTGTGATGTAGTGAAGAATACACAGTACAGTTTAGGGCGTGTTACATTTTTTTTTCCAAACGGGTCGTACCGTCTGAACGGTTAAAAGAGGTTTATTCTTTGAACGCGTTGTTCAAGTGGGATTCAGAGTGTTAATTGTCCGAACCGTACGAGATAATCGAAGATGTAACACGCCCTCAGTATAGTTTACAGTATTTCGTTTCTCCAATCTTGGGTTGTGTATATCCAGAGTGGACATTCTGAGCCTACATAGCAACCGCATCCCTTCCTCCCATATCCTTCCCAAAACCCTCTAAATCTTCTTATATTTCCCAGCACAGTGGTCCTCCCAGTCAGGACTCCAGTACCCCTGTCTCCAAATATCATCCGCGCTTAAGATGGCGTTCCCACGGTTTGGACAAGTGAGTTTGGATACGCGACCCGTGATTTGGCTTGATGGTCTCCAGAGTGGGGTACTGCCCCACTCTGGACACCGAGTCCATGTGAGCCCTAACGACCGTTTGACCGAATTGACTGGCGCAGCCCAGGTCACAACCAATAAATTTTCGCTTTTGACATTGAGCTAGAGCCAACTTCTCTCGTACGAACTCTGACTCCCGTAAGCTGGGTCCTGGCCCGTTGTGGTAGGCATCGTTGGCCGTCAGATCTGTTCGCACACGGTTGTGGATGCTTCCGTGCACGACCGAAGTTGATGGCGTTCTTTGTGTCCAAACCCGAGCCGCATGTTGACCAATTTTTTGAAATTTGCAAAATTGCGAGTGCGTATCCAAACTCACATGTCGTCCAAACCGTGGGAACGCCCTCCAACATCACCAAAAAGTGTCGGTCCGAAATGCAGCCGGCCAGCTAGGTGGTCCACATTGTGTCATTTGACCCCCCAAAAGTGTCCAAAAAGAGTCTTCACCCAAAATTGAAGGGTCTAAAAATGTCCGAAAATTAGCCAAAACGCGAAGTATCCGGAATCTGTCCAAGAAGTCTCCGATTCATGTTACTATGCAGAAGGTCGGGGATCGATGCTTGCCTGGTGCACTATACCGAACACAAAATTGTTAGATTAGGAAAGAAAACGAACACTCCCAATTATAAGTTGCTTTTTACTAGCTAGAATCGATCTCGCGATCTCCCAATCGCACGCGCGATTCGTAACCACTACGCTAACTCGGTTGTAAACCAAGCAAGTTGGTTCAATTAAACTCAAAATCCAATCAAAAACTCCTTCGCAACATGTTGACACCTGTTGCCAGGGTTGCCACCTGTCACACCACCTGCCACACAAACGCCTTCCTGTGCAGGTTAGGCTCGGAAAACATTAGCCACAGCTACCTACACACCTTACCAAACTCATCCCCCAACCACTCTCGACTTGTCCATCCCTTTCAGATCTAGATGCTCCATTTTTTAAACTGAGCTTTTCACTCGAGCATTTCTTGCCCAACATTTGTTCGCACGATCTGTTTTGGTTAGCCTAGCACTACGACTTTTGTAGAACCAATCTAGCTTTGCGGATGTTATACATTTAGGTTTATAAATCCAGTTTCTGCTTTTCTATGCAACAATGTCATGGTGTTCATCGCTTGCTGAGATGTGCGCGGTCCTACGTTTTTTATTCATTCATACAACCAGAATAACGCATTCCATGACGTCGTTTACTTATACCGCTCCTATTTCCAATATCTATCTATCCCCAGTGCAGCATTTGACGGTCTTCTTTTTACGTAACAAGTTATTCAACTTCGGGCGCTGCTAAGGAGCGCTACGGGCACTGCTAAGGAGCGCGATGGGCGCTGCTAAGGAGCGAGACTGACGCTGCTACGGCGGGTGCTGCTAAGAGACGAGATGGGTGCAACTTAAGTGCTCGACGGGCGCTGCTAATGCGGCTGCTGCTTAGAGGCGCGATGAAGAGCGGTAATTACATTGTTTAATTCAATATGAACCTGTGTGTTAACGGTTGCTAATCATCGCTTACCTTCTGATGTTTGTTTCAGTTGCATTTGGTGAAGATTTCCTTCATAGAGGGTGAATGTGTCATCACGCAGGTCGGTTTGTTTGATTCAATGTTGGCATTTTTTGTGGTTACCGACTTATACGTACATACAAGCTTCACGTTGATTTCGCGGTTTTGTTTGTTTCCTCCCCTTTTAACGTGCTCGCAATCTGAAGGTTTTGTTTAATATTTCACAGCCGCCATTTAGTTCTCTATCACTAAGGTACGCGTCGGGCGCTGCTTTGTCAGGACGCTGCAAAGGGTCGTGACGGGTGCTGCTTACCCTGTTGCTGGTAAGAGGCCCCATCAAAGGTGGTGCTCAATTTGCTTAATGATTTGTTGATATAGCCAGTGTGTCTTGTACTTATTGGTTTTTCTTGTATTCAGAGATGTATTAATCACCGTGTAAATGGAGATGTTTGTTTCAATCGTTTCTGGTGACTATTTTCAACCTTGTTGGACAATGTGTCATCAGTCACCACGGTTTGTACGTTTTAGTATAAGCAATTTTGTAGTTATTATTTTTTGGAATGGACCTTGTGGCTCATTCAATATTGTTCTTCAATCCGTGCAGGTTATTTTTCTTTTAAGCATTAACTAATGGGGGTTCGTATATTTATCTGGCAATGCATTATTTAGTTTCTAGCAGTTTGTATAAGTAGAAATGCCTTTGCATGTTAACAGAACTAGGCAAGAATGATTGAAAGGAGAGAGGTTTCACTAGCAGCAGTTGGGGTACATATAGCAAACCCTAACTGGGTTGTACTCGCTATAGAGCACCCCACTACAGGCTAGACAATAATAACATTCTGACATTTGCATGTTCTTTATTAAAAATCATGTAAACAATGGTTGGGTATAAATTTTATTGGTAAAACGCATCTTAGTATATCGGGTACGTGATGTACACATATTGCCTTCGCTTTTCGTATTGTCCAAATGGACTCTTCGCGGACTCTTTGGTCGGACCTAAAACAGACTCCGGAATGTAGCAGGCCTTGGTCCAAAAAGTCTCTTTTTCTGCACGTCCGGAATCCGTCCAGAAAGAGTCCGTTCGGACTCTTGGGGACAACTTTGGGACGCTGGAAAATGGAGATGAACTCTGTTTACCAAAACACTTGCTCTCTGTTCAGGGCACACGATAGCTGTGTTCGCCAGCACGTAGAAATCTGAAAAGAAAATGATGGCATAGGCATCGCGACCACATCAGGAAACGGCCGTGGAACCCACCTCGGAGGTCTGGACGTAACGCCACTCGAGAAACTTCTGATCCTGAAATGGGTAATTACGCAACCGCATCGGGAACCTCCATCCTCCCTTCCCTCCCAATGGCGCTGAACGGCAATGCAATCGTTGTGCCATCACTGTCATTTGAAAAAGGGGGAATGGCGATGGCATAGCTTGGGGAGGGAATTTTGCCTGGGGACGAAGTTGCGTTCCTGCTTCCATATGCCGTCGAGCAGTTCGATTTGGTCGAGAAATGAGGGCGTTCGCCACGCCCCCACTTTGGTTTTTGGTTTGGACGATAGGAGAGGCTCGGCAGTATTTTTACGGGCTGACCAGGCTGACGGAGCTGATCAGGAAGGCAAGACTGACCTTCCTGATCCCCTCGTTATCCCGTCGTTTTTGGCTTCAAAGGTGCTGGCGAACACAGCCTATATTTCCCATGGATTCCGGGGTATTCAGAATGAAGCTGCTGGGGAAACCCGAGGAGCTTATGGGTTCAATCAAAAAAGACCCGTGCAGTACTGAATGCAGGAAGCTGCGAGCTTTCGAAGTTTCCACCGCGTGACCTGTACAACTGGATACAGTACACATCAGAACGATTGATTTGTGTTACACTAATCGAATTCCCTCCCACCTTTTTTCGTCCTTGTCGCGTTGTCTGACCGACGACCAGCCACACCCGGCGGCAGTTCGTCATTTGCAGCCCCCTTGCGCAATCTCGCCTCGCCTCCACCATGACCGCTCCGCGTCCATGGGTGCCTGCGGATGGACCAACACCAACCAGCAGCCCCCTCGGCTTGAGGCCGAGCGAAAGGCCCCCCTAACCAACCCAACCAACCCGCCACGTCAACCCGCGCGCGTTCAGCGGCAACACACCAAACCATCACACCCTCCTGCAGTCAAATGGGCCTGCTCGAAACATTGGCCAGCGATTCCTTCACGGCTCTCTTCGTGCATCTGTCACTTTGTTGTCATTCATTTCCTACACCTTCTCCATTTCTCGAATTTCCAAGTAGTGCTTAGTACGTCGTGCCCAGATGGTTAACCATCGCTCTCCGCGGGTCATCCGTAGCGCGTCGACGCCCAGCACGTCGAGTTCGCCATCCGATGGGCCGTCTTCTTCGTTCTATGACCGGAGTGTTTCAATTGGCAGCGGCGAGTTCGCATTTACGCAAAGCCCAGCAGAGCAGCTCGAGGATCCAGGCACGCCGAGGCTCTTTCCCCGTGACTTGTCGGACTCTGCCGCGGGAGCGAACCATACCCTAGAGACCTCCGATTTCGCAGATTTTCACGACGAGTCGTCGCGAGTCATTCGACGCGCTTCAGGAGATTCCGCCGTCGTGAGTAGCTCTAGAAACGGGGTGGAAGGTTCTGATTTGGCTCGTGATACGGCCCCGCTGGCGCTGCGGAAGCCATCGGAGTGGGCGGAATGGCACTGCTGGCGGCATGGACGACAAATGAATGATATTCCGAAGCCCTCCGTTGAAGGTGAGGTTTTTAATCTGTATTGGGAATTCTTCTGAATTGTTACTCTTTATCAAACAGGGTCTGTCATCGTTGTGCTCTAATCGCGTTTCGTTATTCCCTCTTGAGCAGAAATTCGCGAGGCTCTCAGCGCGACGCACATTGAGGAATCGCGCAAGTGCATTCAGAAATCCGCCGCCGACGCGTGGGCAGCACAGGAGGAGTTCAAGCGCGGCGTCGCAAGGGCCATGGCAAGACATGAAGCTGCTGCAAATTTTATGGGAGGAACCTTTCGGAGCGGTAGTAATAGCATGATTGGGCGTCTGTTTGAGCACATGAAGGGCAAAAATTCCAACAAGGGTATCAAGGCTTGATAGGTTCTGCTAGTCATCATTTTGTGTATGTATATAATGCATCATGTAGCTCGGGTTGGTAAAAACTTGATTTGGGTGCAATGTTTTGTTGTCCAACTACCATTGAGGCGAGACAATCTATCTGCGGTTTTGTGCTGTACAGCACAGCACCACCACTGTACCTGGGTGCCACATGAAACCTGGCCGTCGTTCTGCTGAACAAAATGCCTCGCATGGATGACTGAACAGCGCAATTTCCTGCGCTAGCGCAAGCACTTCCGCTCCAGTGACCTGGACTTGGCGGAGTTTGAATTTGACCCCCCATCTGTCGTCTGGCCGTGACGGACAGTTTTCACAGGCGCCCCCGTTACAGTCACAGTTTGAAACGACGGACTTCAAGCACCAGCAATGCTACTGATAATGGCTGCTGCGTTTCAAGCTGTTATACACATGCACATATTTCATGTAGTACACAGACGACTGCACACATATAAAGGCAACATCCTCAATTTCTGCTGAACGCTGCTGAAAACGGGAACCATGACACGAGAGACTTGAACATCACCTATAGTCGCTTCCCAAACTTGTGAGTCCTTTGCCTCCGCTCCACAGCTCCTGAAAAAACAAAAATACAGCGCATAGGGAATACTCAACATACGACACGTCTACATGACACCCTTGTGTGCGTCAACAGTCAATCATGTGACAAACAAGCATGCAATGCAAGGCATGAACCGGTAGACTACAAAAATCATGTCAGGCCCGTATCTGTCCGCATGAGAATTTTTTTTCTCGGGCAGTCATCAGAAACCTCTACCCACAGACCCAGGGCCCAACCTCTCTTACGCATCCTTTCCCCAAGCCCTTATTTTCCAATCTCCAACTTGTGAAAAAAGAGAATAAAGACAAAGGAAAGGGAGTGTGCAGAGAGGCATGAAGGCTGGAGTCAGTGGAATTGCTCTTGGAGGGGAGTATCGGAGCCAGCAGTAATTTCTCGTGCTGCAGCCCTTCTATCCCTCCATGTGATGTGAAGCACGAGCTAATTCATACAGCAACCGATAAATACCTCTGCTACAGCCCTTCCTTTCTTCCACGTGTTTCCATCCAAGTTAAATGAGACATGTAAGATTGCCCTTTCCCTCCCGTTACTTTCCACCCCCCTAGACTCAATCCAACCATCAAACATCCACTCACCATATTGCACACACAAGAAGATTTTTCCTCCTCTTCTTATTCCTCCATCTCCTCCCCCCCCCTCTTCTTCCTCCTCCTCTTCTTCCTCCTCCTCTTCCTCCTCTTCAGCTACTGCTCTTGCTCTTTCCCTCCTTGCTCCTCATTGTCTAATCCTCCCTGATCAACTCTTCCCCTTCTCCCCCTGCTTTTCACTCCAAATTTTCTCAATTCCTGCTCGCTTTTCACCCCTCCCACTCTTCTCACCCCTCACTCTCTTCTCGCTTCCCCACCTCTCTTCCCCTCCGCACCTCCTCTCCCCCAACCTTCACCTTAACAGGGTGCCTCATAGCATATTCCTGCCATTGCAACCACTCCTCAGCGCCGCTAACAGCGCACAGAACACAAGGAGTGGCTTTCCACCCGTAGCAAGTCTTACACAACGCCCATCCAACCTTTCCCTTCACGCCCCCCAGCCCAGGCGCCGTTGCATACGCGCCTTTCCCGTCGCACGCACCGCACTGCACCCATCCCGACCCGTCCCCGCACAGCCCACACCACCCGCCGCCGGGCCTGCCGCTTTGGTCTGGAGCGCCGTCGACGGCGCCTAAGCTGAAGCTTTGGCTCGGGGCGGAGTCGTCGCCAAGCCTGCTGCCTTGGATCGGGACGGGGTCAGGGTCGGTGAGGAGCCCGCGGGAGGGTTTGGGGGAGCGATCCGCGGGGGAAGCGGCGGAAAACACGGTGCGCCAGGAGCGCTCGGGGGATTCCTCTTCGGAACAATCCTCCTCCCCTGAACTCTCCCCTCTCCGCCAGGCTTCCGCTCCCGAACGTTGCGCCTCATCTCCATCTGCTGCCCCGCGGCCCCTTCCCTCGTTTCCCTCCTCCGCGCCCCCATCGGCCGAATCGTCGTCGTCCGCGCCAGCGACAGCCCCCTCGTTCACGCTCTCGCGCTCGCGGTCACCCTCGCCACTAGACTTAGCTCGCTGCCGTTCTTTCTTCTCCTTCTCCTTCTTTGCCTTCTTCTCCCTCTTCCGCTCCTTCCCCTTCTTCTTCTTTTTCTCCTCCGTTTTCGCCATCGTTTTCGTCTCAGATGAATCCTTAGCGCTGAAAGCCTCAGAATCCTCAACCCTCACTCCCTCAACCCTCACTCCCTCAACCCTCACCCCCTCAACCCTCACTCCCTCAACCCTCACTCCCTCAACCCTTCAACTCGACGGCGCCTCTTCCCCGTTTGTCCGTCCCGCCGCCGTCTTTCTCCCCGCCAGATTTCCGCCCTGCATCTTTGCTTGCCGCGCCTTCCGCCGCGGCCTCGCTAACAACCGCTCCGCAAACTGCAGCGGAGCCACGCTTCAGAAGCGGATCACGGAACGCGCCCGCATTCGGAAGGCGCGGGACGGCTCGTATCCATGGGGACACGGGGAAAAGAGCCGCAGCAGTCACAGGTGACTTTTGAGTCGACTCAAAAGTCGCATTCGGAAACCGCGCGACGGCGAGTATCCAAGGGGACACGGGAAAAAGAGCCGCGGAAGGTGGAGGTGAACGCGAAAGCGCAAGACACGGCGGTGAAAGCGCCGCCATGCACAGAAGTTGCTGCCAAAACAAAAATTATGGAAAATGCGTCGAGGATTTATGGAACCGAGATTTTCTCACCCTATCCGCGTTACAAACAGAATCGGTCACTGCATGGAGTGGTGATCTGTTTCAGACGGCTAACCAGAATGCAAGTCACAACTCGTTAATTATAACAAATGGTTCACTAGCTACATAAGATTTGAGAGCTTGCGATTCTTGGTGGTTTAGCCGGGGCAGCAGCAGCTGCAGGGGTGTCAGGGCTCAGGAGTGTTCCCAGCAGCAGCGTCTCTGCTCGGGCTTTATCAGTGCTGCTACCAGCGGTCGTCCCCTTCAAATGCATCCAGCTCTTTCATGTGGTACATAAAAGCTGAGTCAATATTCCATTTCATCCCTTGTTTACTCAGTGCAGCAGCAGCTACAGTACCAGCAGCGGCACGGGTGGTCCGAGCAGTGCTACTAGCTGTAATCCCCTTCAAACGCACCCAACTCCTTCATTTCCTCCATAAACGCAGAATACGAATCGTCAATACTCGGTGGTTTCGTCTGCGCGGCAGCGGCTGCAGGGGCAGTGGCAGCAGCAGGGGCAGCCCGAGCCAACGCTGCCGCAGCAGCAGCCTTAGGTTTGGGCTTTATGAGTGCCTCCTGCCTTCTCACTCGCACGGAGGCTGGGACCTGGTGGTGTGGAGTGGTGGAGGGGAGTGGTGTGGGGTGATGGAGGTAAGGCGTGAGTGAGGGGAAAGGGAATCAACAGCAGCAGCAGCTCCATCCTAGAGTGAACCAGGAGAGCACACGCGCACACACACAACCACACTTGAACCCCATTCACCCCAGCACATGCGTATGCTCACGCATCATTCCCCACCATGCCAGTGAGCTCGGGTGTGAGCTGTGCCAGGGGTCGTTTCACCACCATCGGAGCCGCCACCTTCATATACAAAAAAAAAGCTCATCATAGAACACACGGGGAACAGGTACACACAACCACACCCACCAACTCTCACCACGGCTGTGAGTTCAGGTGTGTGCTGTGCCAGGGGTCGTTTCACCACCATTGGAGCTGCTACCTTCACATACACTGGAGTAGCCGCAGTGCACACACAACCAAACCCTCCCCCCCCCCCCCCCCCCCCCCCCCCCCCCCCATATTACACATGCTAGCATGAAGGTGCTCTCACCATGGCTGTGAGCTCGGGTGTGTGCTGGGCCAGCGGTCGTTTCACCACCATCGGTGCTGCCACCTTCACATACGCTGGAGTAGGCTTACCCTCCGCCCCTCCCCCTCCTCCCCCTACCCCTGCTCCCCCTACTCCCCCTGCTCCCCCTGCTCCCCCTGCTCCTCCTCCTCCCCCTCCCCCTGCCGCTCCTGCTTCCGCTCCTCCCCCGTCTCCTCCTCCCATCCCCCCACCCACACCTGCTAGCGCTGCTGCTGGGGGGGGGCCTGGGGGAGGTCTCATCCCAGGGGGAGGCGGAGGGGGGATGCCTCCCCCCGAAACTCCCCCCATGCCCACAGGCGGACGGCCAGGGGGAGGGCCAGGGGGAGGGCGCATGCCTGGGGGAAGGTGGGCGGGGGGGGCTAGGGCGCCTGGGGGAGCGCCAGGGGCGGGGGAAGGGTGGGGGGGACGGAGGAGGTGGGCGGGGGGAGGGCCGGGGGGAGGGTGCATGGATGGGGGCGCGGAACCCATGGGTCTGGGGGGAGGGCCGGGGGGAACTCCCCCCATGGGGCGGGGGGAGGCGGAGGGGGGAGGGTACCAGGGGGAACCCCAGGGGGGGCTCCTGGGGGGGTCATTGGTGGGGGGAAAACAGGTGGGCGCATGCCTGGGGGGAGATTGGGGGGAGTGGCGGAAGGGGGGGCTCCAGGGGCAGTGCGGGGGGGAGGGGGAGGGGGAACACCAGGGGGACGAGAGGAGGGGGTAGATTCGGGGGGGAGGTGATGGCGGGGAGGGGGGGGAGGGGGGATCTTTTTCCCCTCGGCACTAGCAGCACCAGCACCAGGAGCAGAACCAGCAGCAGAACCAGCAGCAGAACCAGCAGCAGCAGCAGCAGCAGCAGTGGGGCAGTAATCTCAACCCCAGGCGGCCTAGCATCCTCCTCCTCTTCCCCTCCCCCCTTCGCTCCCCTCTTCCCCCCTGCCCCAGGTCGGGGGGGAGGGGGAGGGGGGCGCATCCCAGGGGGGAAACTAACGCGGGGGGGAGGAGGGGGAGGCTGTTGCAAGTGCGAAGGGGGGAATTCAGGGGGGAAAGTCGGGGGAGCCATGCCAGGGGGGGCGGGGGGAGGCGGGGGCACAGGGACAGGTATGGGGAGAGGCATGGGGACTCCTGGGGGGAGGGTGTGCGCGTCTGGAAGCGGGGGAGGCGGAGGAGGCGGGGGAAGGGGAACCATTCCCGCTGCTGCTCCCCCTGCTCCTGCCCCTGTGCCATGCTTCCCCTCCTCCCCCTCCCCCTCTTCCTCCTCCTCGTCGTCGTCCTCCTCTTCATCCTCATCCATTGAATCTTCTTCCTCCTCATCCTCCTCCTCCTCTTCCCCTTCGCTTTTCCCGTGCCCTGCTGATGACCTTGCTGCTTTCAGTTGAGAGTCCAGATGAGGGGAGAGGTGAAAATATATGGGACAGACGAGGGAGGAGAATGATGAGTGAGTGTGGGGGGAGGCGGAAGCAAAATGAGTGTAGGAGGGAAGAGGGTGAGGAGGGAGTGCGAAATGTCAATTAGTGACCAGAGATGTCGGCGTCTAAATCAACAGGCACGGCTGCACACTCAAAGAGACTTACATGGGTGCCTTCCCTGGTGGGTTCTATTATTCCATACGTGTATTACTTCTGAGCTTCTCAAAAGGAAGAAAGGGAGACACATGGGGGATTGCAGAGTCTGGTTTAAAGCCATGGCTGGTCACTCACAGAGAGAGGGCCGATACATGGGGGCCTTCCCTGGTGGGGGCTGGCCTGAGGGGTTCAGGGTTGGATGATAGTACACGGAGTCCTGCCAAACGAGGGAGCAACAGGAACAGTATACAGGGATGGGATACAGGCAGGATGTAAGCAGGCATGAGCCTCAGAGGAATCGATTGCAAGCGAGATAACACAGCGAAGTGAGCTCAATCTCTCTGCAAGACTGGCCATAGTAGCATCGTATGCACGCATGGGACGGGGGTATGCTTCTAAGTGGGTGGGTGTGGGTGGGTGTGTGGGGAGGAGGGGGCGGGTTTTTGGCAGGCAGGCGAGAGCGAGGTGGAGGGGCCGTTGGCTGCGGCCCTTGTGACGTGCGCCCACTGCTCCTCGCTGCTTCAGGTCTGCACCCCTCCTTCGCTTCTCTCCTTTGCGATTGTTCTTTTCCTGAACCTTGTCTTTCTTTCCGTGCCTCGTATTCTGATGCTGCTGCCCCCACCACCTCAAACCCACTTACCTGGCCTCAACCCAACACAAAGTCTGGGCCATGGGCTTTAATGGCAAACCCACAAAGCACAGGACTCGAAAGCACAACACGCACCAGCCAGGTCTTACTGGAATGGGAGTGTGAAGGAAAAACAAGTACCCCATTCCATTCCCCCCTGCCCCAACCCCCCCCACCTCTCCCCGCCCCACCTCCGCCCTTCTCTTCCATTCTCCCCCCTCCCCTCCCCTCTCCATCGCCCTTCCCCCATCCTCGTCCTTTCCCTTCCCCCACAACATCACCTATTGCCTGGCGTGCACACACACGCACCTCTGGGCGAAGGTTCCTGATGGCTTCGTTGGCCGACTTGCGAGGGGCAGTGAGGTGGCTGGAAGGGGGAGAATGGGCGCGAACGCAACAAGGGGGAATACACGGGGAAGGGCGAGAGCAGAAAGTGGTACTTAGTTTTGTGATTGATGGGAAGAACAGTGAAAACAGGCAGATGGGAGGTTGCGCAGTGAAATTAGAGTAGGGTTGGGGAGGGTTGAGGGAGGAGGGGGGAGGGGGGAGGGGGGAGCGGGGAGGGGGGAGTGGGGAGGGGGAAAGGGTGACGAAACAAGGCTTCATGAAAAAATGTTGCACTTAGTTATGTGGTGGGTGGGAAGAGGGGAAGCGGAGGCAGCACGAAACATGGAGTGCCAGTGTCCGGGAGTGAGAGTGTGAGTGACAAGGGAATAAGCAGCGAATAATGAGCAGAGAGATCACTGCAACGAGGAGACGTTTGTCTTGTGTGCTGAGACAGCTTGTAAAGGGTACAAGGGGTAGGTGTTTCTGACCAAGGGTCACCTGAACATGACTGGGTCCTCTCCCCGCTCCCTCATTTTCTGCTCAAACTCCTGCTCGCACGAGGGGAGGAAAGGGGGAAAGGGAGGGCGAGGGATGGGAAGGGGCGGGAAGGGGTGGGAAGGGGTGGGAAGAGGGGGAGGAGGGAGAAGGGGCGATGGTCGAAAGGGAAGAAAAAGAGAAGTCAGAAAGGGGAATCTGATACAAACTCAAGTGCGTGAAGCGAGTGGAAGTGAGAAAATTCATGCTAATTTTTCTAGAGGTCCATACTTACCTTCACCGCAACAGTCACGGGCTGTCTCCCTTGATCACCAACAACATCCATTTTCAAGGCGCCTCCAAATATTCGCAGTCCTTACACAACAGCGTACATTACATTCACCGCAGCAGTCTGGCGCTCTCCCTTGTTCACCAACACAATGCTCCTCCCAGCCCAGCACAACTCAGCCCAGCAGTCTGGCGCTCTCCCTCTTTCTCATCTCCCACCTGCCCCCCTTCTCCCCCTCCCTCCCCGTCCCCTCCCCACCCCCCGCTCATCCCCCCCTCCCCTTCTCTCCCCCTTCCACATCACTCACCTTGCGTTTCTTCAGCACCAGCTGCAGCCGGTCCTCCAGTTGCCTCAGCTTGTGCTTCCGAGTCTTCTCCATGGGCCCTTCTGACTCTGCATTAACAGCCAGCACACACGACACAACGCACGGCACACGGCACACGACACACACGGCACACGACACACACGGCACACGACACACACGGCACACGACACACACGGCACACGACACACACGGCACACGACACACACGGCACACGACACACACGGCACACGACACACACGGCACACGACACACACGGCACACGACACACACGGCACACGACACACACGGCACACGACACACACAGCACACAGCACACGACACATGACACACGGCACACAGCACACACAGCACACAGCAGAGCACATCACATAAAAAGTCTGAGTAATTTTATCAAGCTGCCTCAGCTTGTGCTTGCGGTTCTCCTCCATCTAACCTTCAGACTCCTGTGCTGACGATGCGCACACAGCAGACACCACACGCACGCACGCCACGCCACGCACGCCACGCAAGGATCTGGCAAGGGTCTGTCAAGGGGTCTGACGAAGGTTCTGACAAGGGTCCGGCAAAGGTCCGGCAAAGGTCCGGCAAAGGTCCGGCAAAGGTCCGGCAAAGGTCTGAACCTCTCCAGCTGCCTCAGCTTGTGCTCGCGGTTCTTCTCGAAGCTCGGACAGAAGAGAGGAAAAGAAGGGAGAGTAAAGAAAAGAGAAAAACAGGCGGAAAGACATGAGGAAAAGGACATCGAGATGAGATCTGCTCGCGGATGGACGCCGGGTCGCTGCGTTGGACTTGAGATTTACTTGAAAAACACATCATAGAAACGAACAGCGCGAGGGCGCACTCGCGGTGCTGAGCTTGGCGATCTGCTTGCGGATCGCGGACGGGTCGCAGCGCATCACGCCGGACTCGCGGACCCATAAGTAGCCATCGAGATGAAAAAACACGCAAAGGGAAACGAATTGTGGGCTTTGATGCGCTGGCGGCGCTGAGCTTAGCGATCTGCTCGCGGATGGACGCGGGTTCGCTGCGTCGGGCTCGAAACTTCACAAAAAAAAAAAAAAAAAAAAAAAAAAAAAAAAACATCAGGGAAAAAGAGCAAGGCGGGAGGACGCACTAGCGGCGTTGAGCTTGGCGATCTGCTCGCGAATGGCGGCGGGGTCGCTGCGCAGAACGCCGGTCTCGCGGACCTTGCGGCGCTCCACCTTGTTCTTCTTGATCTCGCGCTTCCGCTGCTCCTTGCGGAACGAGTCCGTCGGATTCATCGTCCGCCCGCCTTTGGTCTTCCTCATCTTGCCGTATGCTTGGTTGGATTAGTAGGTCTAACAATGTATGTAGGTCTGACAGTGTATTTTAAGTATTACTCAAAACTCGATGATACCAACAACGCGATATTTCAATGGGGAACTAGCTTCGTCGAAGACTTCTTACGAAACGGTGGGACAACGGTTAGACAGTGCTCTGAGGCTCTGACACAATACGCATGTGCAGCGATCGTAACAAAGTATCACCCAGAGGTCACTAAAACGGATGTCTCAAGCTCCACGGGAAACGGGAATCGCACGCCTACCTTGCGCAGCGATAAGGGCAACGAGAAAAACAACAGGCCAGAACGACGGGATGGAGATAGAGCCTAGAATGATTATAGAATCAGTGAAAACAAGGATACGAGACAGGCCTTGGAGGATCTCTGCAACATGAAAGGCGAAAAACGTTTCGGCGAAGAAACACTCAGTCTCAAGGACTCCACTTCGCCACAGTTCGTCAACATGGGCGTACGAACAGAAGCGCCGCCCGTGGGGCTCGAACCCACGACCACAAGGTTAAGAGCCTTGCGCTCTACCGACTGAGCTAGGGCGGCTTTGTGCCGTGAAATAGTGTACAAACATAAAAGTTTAATTATAAGTACCTCCTTAGCGCCACATCTTTTGCGTTGTCTCGCATCGCCCGCAGCCATGGCGCGAAACGAGGAGAAGGCGAACGCCGTGCTGAATCGCTTCTGGGCCGCGAAGCAGGAGGAAAAGCGCAAGCCGCGGGAGAAGCGCCCTTTCCTCGCGTCCGAATGTCGCGACCTATCAGACGCCGACAAATGGCGGCAGCAGATCTTACGCGAGATCGGACGGCGAGTAACGGAGATTCAGAACCCAGGGTTAGGCGAGCACCGACTTAAAGATCTCAACGATGAGATTAATAAACTCATACGGGAGAAAGGGCACTGGGAGAAACGGATAGTTGAGCTTGGCGGTCCGAATTACGCGAAACAAGGGCCCAAGATAACTGACGCGGACGGTAAAGAAGTCGGCGATGGAGACGACGAGCTGCCGGCCGGCTCGGCGACCGGCAAGGGGCTTGGTTACCGTTACTTCGGCGCTGCGAAGAACCTGCCGGGCGTTCGCGAGCTTTTCGAGAAGCCGACGGCGCCGACTAAGAAACGGAATCGGTACGAGCTTTATAAGCGTATCGATATGGACTATTACGGGTACAGGGACGAGGAGGACGGGATCCTGGTGCGGCTCGAGGCGGAGGCGGAGCGGGAGATTTTAGCGAAGGCGGTGCGGGAGTGGGAGGCGCTCGAAGCGGTTAAAGCCGAGGCGCGCCGCGCCGTGAAAAGCGGGGAGGAAGCTTCGATCCGGGTTGAGGCGGATCTGCTAGACGAGCTCGGCGCGCCTATTGACGCCCGGGGAATCCCAGCCCAAGCGGGAGAGGAAGCGGAGGAGGAGGAGGAGGCGGAAGCGGATCGCGAGCAAGCGGGGGAGCGCGCGAGGCGCGACGCGTCGGCGTCAGATGCGGCGTTGGACGCGGCGGAAGAGGCGGCGCTGGATGCGGTGGGCGGGCGGCGGTTCGTGGCGCATGTGCCGCTGCCTGACGAGAAGGAGATCGAGCGCATGGTGGTGGCGAAAAAGAAGGCGGAGCTCTTAAGTAAGTACGCGAGCGCGGAGCTGGTGAAAGAGGAGGAGGAGGCTAAGGAGTTGCTAAACATCAAGCGGTGAGGATGAGGATGAGCGGGTGACGTTAGTTACATGTAGGCTGAAACATTAGGAGGTTGAAATGCCTGCTGACGTGGTATGATTGGAGGGGACATGGCATGCACGGGCAGAGGTGAGGCATTGCTGGAAGTGGAGGGGGGAGTGAAGAAGTTTATATTGAGTGGTGATGAGATGACATGGAGCGGCATGGGCATGCTGAGGTGGCATGTTTGGAGTGGATGTGGCGTGGATTTGGGAAGAGAAGGGGGGGGGGGGGGGGGGGGGAGGAGGAGGAGGAGGAGGAGGAGGAGGAGGAGGAGGAGGAGGAGGAGGAGGAGGAGGAGGAGGAGGAGGAGGAGGAGGAGGAGGAGGAGGAGGAGGAGGAGGATGAGGAGGAGGAGGAGGAGGAGGAGAAGGGGGAAGGAGGGGAGAGGAGAGGGGAGAGAGGGGGAGAGGGGAGAGGAGAGGGGAGAGAGGGGAGAGGGGAGAGGAGAGGGGGAGAGAGGGGAGAGGGGAGAGGAGAGGGGAGAGAGGGGAGAGGGGAGAGGAGATGATGAAGGATCGAGGAGAGGTGGAAGGAGAGAGGAGAGGAGGAACAGAGGAAGGAGAGGACAGGAGAAAATGAGGAAGGAGAGGAGAGGAGAAAATGAGGAAGGAGAGAAGAAATTGGAGAGGAGGAGAGGAGGAATAAGAGGAGGAAGAAGTAGAGGAGGAGAGGAGGAAGAAGAGAGGAGAGGAGGAAGAAGATGAGGAGGAGAGGAGGAAGAAGAGCAGAGAGGAGGAAGAAGATGAGGAGGAGAGGAGGAAGAAGAGAGGAGAGGAGGAAGAAGAGGAGTTCGAGGAGGAAGGACTACTCGCGGAGGTGTTGTGTGTGGCTGAACAACAAGGTGGCCTTTGTGCCTAGTAGAAAAGGACAGGCTGATGATGATGTTAGGTTTAGGGCAGGAAGAAGATGAGAATGACGAGCTCGGCTGATGTACCTTTCACAACACAATGTTATAGCTTATCTGACTAATGCAATGGAAGAGGAGATAGTACAGTAAGTGCGCACATGCTTTCCAAAACTGGGCATCCGAGCATCTGTCACCCCCGGCATGTAACGCACAACACGACAAATGATTTCACAGTAATCTCCGTTATCCCTTAACATTCAACCAGGGCTTTTCAGGAAAATTTGCTGAAGTGGTTGGTGCCTCAGAAAGGTGTTTGACTTAGGGGCTGTAGGTTTGCTTAGGAATTGGCTTGAGGTGCAGTAGGGTTGCCTCAAGCAGCTCTAGAAGACATCAGGGGGGGCAAGGGGGGTCCCTGCCGACGGTCTTGAACGAGGTCTGAATCTGCCGCAGCAATGCCTCATCCCTGGGAGTGTGGAGGGCGGGAGAGGAAAGAGGGAGGAATGAGATTACTCCCAAGTCAGGCCATAAAGGGGTTCCTGCCGACGGTCTTGAATAACATAAAAATCTGCCGCAGCAGTGCCTCATCCCTGGGATGGGAGTGTGGGAATGGGGAGAGGAAAGGAGGAGGAAAAGGGAGGACAAGAGAGGAAGAAACGAAAGTACTTTCAAGTCAGGCTCTGAAGGGGGTCCCTGCCCACGGTCTTGAACGAGGTCTGAATCCTGCCGAAGCAATGCCTCATCCCTGGGAGTGTGGAGGCGGGAGAACGGGGATGGGGGAGGGAGAGAGGGAGAGGGAGAAGAGAGGGAGAACCGAAATGACTTGGAAGTGCTATAAAACGTTTCCTGCCGACTCAACGCCTCTTTCCGGGGGGAGAGGGAGCGGAGGTGGGGATGGCACAGGAGCAGAGACTGAGAGTGGGGGGGATAAATGAGTGAGAAGGAACAGCTGGTGAGAGAGAATAGCTAGCAGGGCAGTGACACGCAAGGAGAGTTGAGACTTACGTTTTCCAGAATTCATTCGGTGCGTTGATGAAGTGTGCATAGAGGTTGATCTTGGTGATAGTGAGGGGCAGACGGAGGAGAGGGGAGACGGGAGCCGTAGACAGAAGGAAACGTACGTTTTCCAGAATTTATCCGGTGCGTTGACAAAGTGAGCGTAGAGCTTGTTCTTGGCAGCGGTGACAGTGATGAGGGCGTGGCCCAGCGGGCTGTCGATCTCAAAGTCGTAGTACAGCTGGTTGCTGTCAGGGTCCCGGTGCTGCCCCTGCTTGATCTCGTCCGCTGACAGAATCAAATCCTGCAAGCAAGAGGAGGGTGAGGGTTGGAGGGAAAGGGGGAAGTGGGGGGAAGAGGGAGGGAGGGGGGGGGAAAAGGGGAAAGAGGGTTTGGTGGAGCCTGGAGGTCCGGTAGAAAGGGGCTATTTGCTGCGACTGCACAATATCGCCCACTGAGGATCAAATCTTGCATGTAGGGGGCGGAAGTGAGGGAGGAGCAGGGGTAGCGGGAAACGGCCGGTGAGGGGGCAGGTGTATTGCCGTTTGGGCCCCTGTGAACAATACATGCTTTACTTACATGTCCTTGAATCGTCACCTCTCCATCCAACCAGCTCACATAAGATCATATCAGACACCCGCTTTTCACTCTCCATCCAGCATCCTATTAGATGACGTCAGCTCCAACGTCACTCTCCATCCAACCACACCACTTCCATACCTCTCCTCCCCATGCCTTTCACAACCCGTCAATCACCAGTTCCACAACCCCTTCCATCCAACCACTTCCAGAAGGCCTTTCACAAACCCTTCCCCTTTCCCTCCGCCCACGGGTTCCTTCACTTCATTCAACTAAAACTTCTGGTAACAAAATCCGTTTGACTTACGCATCAAAACTCCAACAGAGAAGTGGCATGTAGCAAGTCTTTGGCACGCCGCGAGAACTGTAATTGCGATTGAAGTAGCCATCAGTTCCTTACCGTCAAACGATCTCACGCACTGCAGGTTGACGTCGGTTCGGGAGAACTTCTCAGAACCCGACCAAGTTTCGATTCGAGATGACTTTTGAGTCGACTCAAAAATCGCACTGCAGGTTGACATCGGCTCGGGAGAACTTCTCAGAACCCGACCGAGTTTCGATTCGAGACGGTGAGTTCTGAAACGTGCTTCCAAGGCGATGTTTAGGAGGTGTTTCGAGATACACGCACCTCCAGGTTGACGTCCGAGAGAGCAATGTCGCTCAGCACGTTGTCTTTTACAGGTGCGCCTTGTCTCTCTCTAGGTCCGACAGAGCCTCGCCGCTCAGCACATTGTCTTGTACTAAAAACTTTTTATGGTCATACGATCCCACGCACCTGCAAATTGACGTCCGAGAGAGCAATGTCGCTCAGCACGTTGTCCTGCGGGGGGAGACGGCGGAAGCCTGGCGCACAGAGAAAAACGAGACGGGAGGGAGGGGGAAGGGGAGCAGCATTGCGGGATGGAAGTGGATATTCTGACACGTAGTTTCCGCTTCTCTTAAATCGACTCAAAGGACGTCCGGCAGAGCAATGTCGCTAAACACGTCTCTCAGTTAAAAGAGTCGGCGGAAGGTTGGCAGGAGACGCGGTTGGGGAACGCAAGCGGATGTGGTGTAGTGCAATTCGCGCGAGCTTCTTCCTCCATCAATGCGTATAATCACTACTGCAGCAGCGCGCGGACTCGTGCAGGCACTCAGCGCAGCCGCACTCACAAGTTCTTATAACGGTATTCGCGGTTGATCGGCAGTTCAGCACACCTTTACGAGCCACTCCAGCGCTTGGCGTGACACAACGATGCACTCACCTGCAAGGAAGGTGACGTAAGTCTTCACGTTGCGATTCTTCGGCCAGAAGAATTCGCTGTCCGTTCCATTGGTACCCTTCTCCACCTTGGAGATCGTGCGCTCCTTCCAATCCTCGGGAACACCGTAAATGTACTCCGCCGTCGCCTTCTTGCTCACGTTCCCGCCGTACCCGCCATAGGACGACGCGCTAGCAGCTGTGCCGTAGTACGTCTTTAATTCCACGTCGGCGAATGCGGGGTCGACGGAGCCGCAGAAAAGCGCTGCCGTGGCGGATAAGGTCACCGCGGCTGTGCCGAGCAACTTTGCCACGTCAGCGGGTTGAGAAGTAACATCATCCTTTTGCCTCTCGGCTCGGCATTTTAGCGAGGCAATGCGAGTCGACGATGAGGGGGTGGGAGTGTGCGAGAAGGAGGAGGCGGGGAGCGAAGCAGACACGCCAGCAGCGACGGTTAGAGCTGCAGGGAGAGACGTCACGGACGCCATAGCTCAGCTGCGAAGACCGAATTAAAAAAGAAGCTTTTAACCAGCGCTACGGACCACCGCTACTCACACTCCTCGCCCTAACGCCAAGGACCTTCTAGGACCTAGTTTCCTGGCTGCCTGAAACAATCTGTATTACTGAACTGAGTAGCCAGAATCCAGACTGCCTGTCAGTCTTGGTTTAGGTGCTAGAATGCGGAAGAGTCTGGATTCTGGAACCTTGATTCTTGATTTCGGGTTACCAGAATTGGGTGGGTGTGGGGAGGAGATGGCGTGGCACATGGTGATACTGACGAAATTGGTGATTGGGGAAGGGAATATCAGATGACGAATCACACGAGGGTGATGACGTGGAACAAAGATTGATTCAGCCCTAATGACCCCTGAATTTTCTTGACATTGCCACCCTGACGCGTGCCATCCTACTTTTCGCGTGTCAGCCACCATGCTGTATAACGAGAGCATAACTATAGAAACATGACTATAACACAAAGAAACAATAAGCCTCGCTTCATCCAGCATTTTAAACCTTATTCCCCCCTACCCCCTCTTACGACATGGCTAAACATTGCACCACAAAGGACACGCAAGACCCTCTAAGGAATAGCACCGCTAAGCATCATGGTGCGAGGGAACTGTTTCACAAAAGAACACTTAAGACGCTGTAATGCCACTGGATCCCACTCCCCAGCAACTCCCACTAATCTACATAGCAAGTCTCCTGCGGGGATCCCCAGCGACACTTCCACCAGCAACACTGGAACCGCCAGCAGCAACGAGCCCAGCAGCCTGCAGCTGCTCCTGCTGCCGCTGCTGCGCGGGGATGAGGAAGTAGAAAGCCGGCTCGTTGCGCAGCGCTGCAGGCGGATCGATGTCGTCCAGCACAAACTCCTTCATGGAGCGCGACACCTCGTCCGCTTGGAACGGGCAGCTGCCAGAACGGGAGCAAAGGGAGAGGGGGAGTGGGAGTGTGAGGGGCTTGTGGCGGTCATCCTGCAGGCAGCTCTCTCTGAAACCTGTCATCAGTACTTACCTGCTGAATTGTCGCGTGCATGCACCCCGTTCGGCCATGATTCTTCCCACACGCATGCACCATGTTCTCTTTTGAGTCGACTCAAAAGTCAGCTCTTCCCACCTGTCACAAATTTTCTCAAACCTCTTGTCCTCCTTGAGCAGGAAAGGGTGCATCTTGGGTCATCAGAGACCGCATCTCAAGTCCCAGCTACTCTCTCACCTCTTGTCCTCCTTGAGCAAGAAAGGAGCGTCCTCTGTCATCAGCGCCCACATTTGCTCGATCACAGCAGGGTCCACCCCCGGCGACCCGTCCTTGTCGTCCTCGAACCATGTGCAGATGTGCGCCAGCTGGGTCACACTCAGGTCGGGGCACATGCGCTGAATGTGCTGCAGCTTGCGGCCGGGCTTGTTCTCGTCCAGCTGGAAGGACAGGCGGGAATGGGAAGGGATAGCATGGGGAGCAGAAGCGAGAAAGGAAGAGGGAAATTGGTAAGGGGTGAGGCGAAAGCATGTGCTAGCTGGGTCACGCTCAGGTCGGGGCACATGCGCTGGACGTGCTGCAGCTTGCGGCAGGGCTTGTTCTCATCCAGCTGGAAGGACAGGGGGAAATGGGAAGAAATATGTGGGGAAAAGGGGAGTTGGGAGTTGGGAAGGGGGAAGGGGGAGGATGGAGAGAAGAGGTGGGAGGATGGAGGGGGTGGGTGATCAAATTAGCTGTGGATCAACATCAGTCTAGTCATGTGTTGATTGCAACATCAGTGAGCAACACTCACCAGGTAGTACAATGGCAGATGGTGTTAACCAATGTGAGCTGACTACATACTATCTGTATCATTAATATCTGTTGAGTGTAGTTTCCATTCAGACAGGCACTCACCAGGAACCCAACGGTTTGGCGAATGTGCTTGATGTTCTCGATGAGCGAAGATGTGAGGCTGATGGTGTCCACCAGCGTGGCGTCCAGCCATTCGTCCACATTCCCCAGCCAATCCTCCAAATCGCTCATCCCCGCCTCCATCGTTTCGCCGTTCGTGAACGTGCACGGCACCCACGGGCAGTGCATCATGACGCTGAGGGAAAATAGGGAAACACAGGGTAACAGCGAAACAATTATCGTCAGTGTAACAGTTCATTCACAGAGTCCCCGCTGCATGTTCCTGATCATTCATCCCCGCCTCCATCGTTTCGCCGTTCGTGAACGTGCACGGCACCCACGGGCAGTGCATCATGACGCTGCGGAGCAAGGGGGAAACACATAGTATTGCGAGCATGTACGAATAGGGTTACCATAAACTCGCCATACTGTTGCAACAGCTTCACATCCACGTATTGCAGCAGCTGCGACATGAACTTGCGAACGAGCAACACATGGCGTGTGCACTAGTTCGGGTGCAGGCAGTGCGTACCTGACTCCTGAGTGGTGCAGTGCGGTACCATGCATACCTGTGCGGTGCAGAGTGCTTCTTACCTGTTGTAACAGCTTCACATCCACGTATTGCAGCAGCCGCGACATGAACTCGCGCACCAGCAGCACTTTTGGGGTGTGCGCGAATTGACGTGCAAGGAGTCCGGTACAGAGCGTTTCTGTGCGGTTAAGCGCGTAACTGACCGGTGCAGATCGTTTCTCAACCGTACCTGTTGAACAGCTTGACATCCACGTATTGCAGCAGCTGCGACATGAACTCGCGCACCAGCAGCGGCGGCACGTAGTTCCCGCGGCACTCGTCCACGAAGCACCTTAAAGCCCCCATCAGCCCCTCCCAGAACATGGTCATCTGCCGCCGCACGTTTCCAGGCGTCGGCACCAGCTTGTGCACAGAGACCGTCGATGAGCCGCTGACTGCCGAGCCAGAGTCGGGGAAGTCGTAGCCTGGCTCCTCCACATTCACAGGAGGCGGCTGGTGGACCCGGGGGAAGGGGAATAGCAGGGAGGGCAAGGCATTGGCACCAGCTTGTGCACTGACACGGTCGATGCGCCGCTGACTGCTGATCCAGAGTCGGGGAAGTCGTAGCCTGACTCCTCCACATTCACAGGCGGGGGCTGGTGGAAGCCAGGGTGGAAGGGAACAGTTGGGGAGGGGGGGTGTAGCAGGAAGGGCAAGGCATTGGCACCAGCTTGTGCACGGCATGGGCACCGTAGAGGCGCCGCTCTCTGCTCAGACAGATTCAGGGAGCTCGTAGAAGAGCCACCTCCCTGAACAACAGATTCAGATACGCATGCACCCTCTTCAGACGCTGAAGGGTATTTTTGAGAAACAGTAATTTTTGAGAAACAGGTATTTTTGAGAAACAGGTATTTTTTAGAAACAGGTATTTTTTAGAAACAGGTATTTTTGAGAAACAGGTATTTTTGAGAAACAGGTATTTTTGAGAAACAGGTATTTTTGAGAAACAGGTATTTTTGAGAAACAGGTATTTTTGCACAATCTTCTCAAAAATACCCTTCAGCATCATGAAACACAGATACGCATGCACGCTCTTCAGACGTCCCATCACAACACACCACACCTCCATCCTCCATCCAAACACCGTACCTCCATCCACCGTAAAACAGATATGCACCCTCTTCAGACGTCCCATCACAACACACCACACCTCCATCCACCGTACTCACACGTTCCCTTTACTCAATCTCGCATCCTTACCTGCAGCAGGTCGTTGAGCAGCAGCGAGATGCGGTGCTTCATGGCATCGCGCGTCACCACATACAGCCGTCCCCCTTATAGTCACACTCGTATTGTCACATTCTTATTGTCACATTCGTTTTCTCACACCTGTTAGAGGCATACCTGCAGCAGGTCGTTGAGCAGCAGTGAGATGCGATGCTTCATGGCGTCGCGCGTCACCACGTACAGCTTCTCAATCTGCACTCCCAGCTGTGACTTCGCGACCGTGTTATCCATGCGGCTCGGTCCACGGGTGTTCTGAAGGGTGGAGAGTGGTGGGAAGGGGTGGAGAGTGGTGAAGTGCGGTGAGGAATGGTGGAGATGGGTCATGAAACGTATTCTGCGGACATCAGGTTGAGGGCTATTACTATTCAGCTCATAAAGTAAACCATCAAATAAGTTCCTGCCATCGTAAACGCCTTCTTTTTGCAGTAATCTTTGTACATTGTGGATGGTTTGTATATATATCTGATAAACGTGACTTAGTTGATTGCCACTTAACAGACCTGCATCAGCGATAATAGTTTTTGCAGCTTGGGATTCTTTTTTTACACGGTCTGCATGTGCTCCGTCAGCTTGTCAAACGTGTTCATGCGACATACCCCGCCTTTCCCCCTTTTTTTTGAGTCGACTCAAAAATACCCCACCTTCCCCCCCTTTTTTCCACCCCTCAACTCACCAGGAAGTGCAGGTGAACAGTGTTCGACAGCCAGTAGCACCGCAGGTCATTGTTATCGGCCTTGCACACGGCCTGCATGTGCTCCATGAGCTTGTCAAACGTGTTCATCCGTTCCACCTCGATCATGCTCCAGTGCACCATCGCCTTGTACACCATACACGCCATCACCGGCCGCCCACGGCTGAAGCCTAGATTTTGTCGGACACACTCCATCAGCATTTCCTGTTGAAGGGGAGGGGAGGGTGAGGATGATGGAGAGGCAGGAGGAAAAATGAGCCTTAGACTCTGTCGGACACACTCCATCAGCATTTCCTGATGTGGGGGAGTTGGTATGGGAAGGGAAAGGGGGGTTCGAGTATGAGAGGATTTCCTCTTTCCTCTGAGAATGAGAGGAAAGAGGATTTCCTCTGTGCCTCCATCCGTGTTCCACCTCGATCATGCTCCATCAAGTGCACCATCGCCGTGCACCATCTCCAGCATCTCCTGTGGTGGGGGAGTTGGTATGGGAAGGGAAGGGGGGTTCGAGTATGAGTGGTTCTCTCTTCCCCCCCCCTTTGAGGCGCCTCAAAAGTTTGTTCCCTCCCCCTCCTTCATTCGCTCCACTTCAATCATACTCCAGCACGCTGCACGCATTGGCCAATAACCTCACTCTCCAACCCCCCTAACTGCTATCACATCCCCTTACTATGCTTATCCCCCCCACCCCCCCTCCCCCCTCCCCCCTCCCCCTCACTTCCTGCTTGTGCACATACACGGACATGCTGTCCGCTACGTCCCCTCTGCCTGCTTGTACCCCTCCCCCCATTCCCCTTTTCCTACCCCAACCCACATATCACTCCCCCTCCCTCACCTCCTGCTTGTGCACATTCACGGACATGCTGCCCGCTACGTCCCCTCTGCCTGCTTGTACTCCCCCTCTCTCACCTCCTGCTTGTGCACCGACATGCGCCGCCTTGCCCGCTGACAGCACCACGATCTGAAACTACCACCCACTCGACCGCATACCCCCCTGACTGACCGCCTCCCACCTTGTCCCCCCATCTCAAGCCCTCACCTCCTGCTTGTGCAAAAGACATGCTGCCCGCCTTGCCTGCTTCTTTGCCTCTGAATGCTTTTACCCCTCCCCCACACCTTCCCATCATCCCCTTTTCTCTCACCTCCTGCTTGTGCACCGACATGCTGCCCGCCTTGCCCGCTGAGAGCGCCACGATCTTCTGGTGCAGCTCCCTGTTCTCCTGCTCCAGCATCTGACGGCTGGGATCGCAGCACAGGGCATCGCATGCCACGGGGCGAAGGGACGAAGGGGGAGAGAAGAGGGGTTAGGATGAGACAAGAGCATCGTTAGGCACCCAGTATCGTGACAAGGCACAATGCTGCAAGAGCATCTAGGCAGGATACTCTACTCTGGTGAAACTTGCAGCACCGTTTAGGACATTGCATATCAAGGGCACGTGCAGGGGAGAGGCGCAGGAGAGGCAAGAGAATAGAAGACGGCTGGGAAGAAACAAGGGCATCTGCTGGACCTTCCAACTGCTTTTGTTATTGTTCATATGGCAGCTACTATTACAGTTCTTGCTTATGTTTAAGTTAAACTTTGTAGACTGGATCGCTTGTATTTATCAGCACTGTATACTGTTGCTACTCACGCCGCCAGCTTCATGCGCATTTCGCTGAACTTCGCCTCCATTTCGAGAATCAGCAGGTCGCCCGCAGCCGCCAGCTCTTCCGCCGCCTTGGCGCGGATAAACTCCTCCTTCTCGCGCTGAAGCGCGTCTTCCGCGCGCGAGTTGGCATCGGCGTACCAACCCTGAGGGGGAAGGACAGATGTGACGTTGGGAGGGTAGGACGGAGGGACGCTGTGTAAGGACCGCTGCGCTCGCTACTCTCACTCTGGTCACTGGCACTTGTCCCTTGCTACAGTCCCAACTCTGCTCTTTTCTCCTCGTTATAGTCACACCCACCTGCAGCATTTTGTCGAGCTTCTTGGGTCGCTTCTATGCCCGCGCGCCTCTATCCCCTCCACCCAACCACCACCACACTCCGCTCTTTACATATACCCATAGGTACGTGTCTCTCGCTACAGTGACAGATTGATTACTCTATAGTCACACCCACCTGCAGCAGCTTGTTGAGCTTCTTGAGTCGCTCCACCTGCCCGCCCTCCTCCTTCATCTCGTTGATCCACCGCGCTAGCGCGTCCATATCCTGACCCCTGGACCGCAGCGCATTCTGTGGGAAGAGAGCGTGGGGGAGGAAGGGGGGAGGAGGTGGGGGAGGTGGGGGAGGAGGTGGGGGGAAGACGGGCGGGGAAGGTGGGTGGGGAAACATCACTAACATCACCGTATTATAATCTCTAAATATGCAGTTCTCTGTGTTCCCTGCGTATAATCACTAGCGTCACCGCATCATAAGCACTTCTAATCACTCACCACGTCGATCTTGAGCGTGCTCTTGAGCTGATCCAGCAGCTGGGTGGGACCGTTGGGCCCTAGGCACATGTGGCAGAGTTATAGTCACACTCCATACAGTCACACTCCATGCAGTCACACTCCATGCAGTCACACTCACCACGTCGATCTTGGGCGCGTTCTTGAGCTGATCCAGCAGCTGGGTGGGACCCTTCACGGACGCCATGGCCTGTATGCGCTGCCGCAACACGCGGTTCTCCTGCTCCAGCATCGTCATTCTGGTGGGACGAGGGAGAGAAAACGGAGATGGGTTGGAGGGGACAGGGGAAGTGGAAATGCGAGGAGAGGGAGGGGGTTACCACACGCCATGGCCTGTATGCGCTACCGCAACACGCGGTTCTCCTGCTCGAGCATCGTCATTCTGGAAGTGCGGGGATGGGGTTGGTGGGGAGAGTCGGGAGAGGGGAAGTGGAAGTGAGTAGAGAGGTAGGGCATGCACACTCGCCATGGCCTGGATGCGCTGCCGCAGCACGCGGTTCTCCTGCTCTAGCATCGTCATTCTGATTTGTGGGGTAAGAGTGGATCGGGGCAGCAGCGTGAATTTTACTTTTGAGAATTCTCAAAAATAAAAATTCATCTAGCATTGTCATTCTGATTTGTGGGGTAGGAGTGGAGAGGGGCAGCAGGGGAGGGGATTGGAAAGGAAGACAATTAATTAATTAAGAGACGACTTGTCCTGAAAGCGTCTGCAACGAAAATATACAAACACACGTCAGGGAGAAGTAACGCAAAAGGCTTGATCTCACTCATCCCCTCACTCTCGCTCCCTCCTCACTCCCTCACCCCCACACACTCACCCAGCGAGCCGCTCTTTAAGCGCGCCGAGCTTCCCGTCGAGCTCCTTGTCCTTGAGCATGCGGTGCTTCACGGCCGCAACGTCTCGCATGGGCGCACGCACTCCTCTCCAACTCTCTACACCCTGTCTCACACCCTTGACTCCCTTTTCACTCACAACCACAAACTCACCCAGCGAGCCGTTCTTTAAGCGCGCCGAGCTTCCCGTCGAGCTCCTTCAGCATGCGGTGCTTCACGGCCGCAACATCCTCCGCGTCGTCTGCCATCGACGTCGCCTCCCACGCGCGCAGACTCTTCTCGTCCGCCCACGCCTTCGCCTCCGCGTACCTTCACTCATAGTTACAACGGCAGCAATGTTTGGAAAGATGAGGTGACTTCTAAGCTTTTTTTCACTGTGCCCACGCACACAGTAGCAATGGTCGGAAAAACGCAACGGAAAAAACGAAACGAAATAAAAGAGCATCTCAAACATTCTTTCGCCTCCGCATACCAGCTCTGCAGCAGCTTGTTCTGCTGCTTCAGCTTCGCAATCGCGTCGCTCTCCGTGCGCGTCTCCGCCAGCAGCTTGCTGAACACCTGCAGGTCGATCGACCCCTCCGCGTTCCCCGCCGGCTTCGGCGGCGCCGGTTGCGGCGGCGGGGCGGGTTTGACCGTTGGGACGAGCATCAGCGCGTTGTTCGGGCCGGGCTGAATCGAGACCTCCGAAGCCGCCACCGACTGCGCGTCGCTGTTATCCGCCGCGCCTCCCGCCGCGTTCCCCGCTGCGATCGTCGCCGCCACGTCCGGCACCATCGCGCCCTCCGCCGCCAGCCCCGGGAGGTTCCCGAGCCTGCGGCTCAGGCTCGGGTGCTGCCGGCGCGGGTCGGAGGACTGGGAGCGCCACGCAATCTGGCTCGACGCGATCGAAACAGCGTCGCCCATATCCGACTCAGCGTACGCCGATCTGCGTACCGCGCCTCCGCCATAGGCGGCGGAGCTTCCGCCGTACCCACCGCTTCCGCCAGGGGTTGCGCCTGCGCCTTCACCGGGGGGCTTGTAGAAGCGGTAAGGGGAGCTTTGCGTGCGCCAGGGGGAACCGATTGCGCCAGCAGCCCCTCCTGGGGGAGGAGTCGCCTGCGACGCCGCGTGCGACGCGTGCGACGGGATGTCGTCGGACGACACGAGGCTGCCACGTGTTTGCGACGCCCATCCAATGCCAGACAGCGAGTCGTCCTTATCCTCCTCCTTATCGTACCCAACAACGCGTACGGCGGCGGCAGCGGCGGTGGCGGCGGCGGGAGGAGCAATCATGGCAGAAGACGGAGGCGGCACGTAAGCAGGCCGCGCGGGTGCGGCGGGGGCGGGGCTCGGGCGGGACTGTAGCGACGCGGCTTGCTGCAGTGCAACGGGGGGGCTTCCGCCACCAGCGCTTGGCGCGGTGGGCGCAGGCGCAAACGACACCGTCCGGCGGATCTCCCCCGGCTGGCTCGCGGAAAGCGCCGCTCCGCGGGAGCCGGCGGTGGCGGGGCGCAAGGGGGTGGCGGAAGGATGTACGGGGGAGGTGGTAGCTGGCGCTGCGGCAGGTACCCCTGCCGCGGGATGTGCGGGTGACGTCATCAGGCTGGCGCGCGGCGGCATTTCCGACATGCTTCGCGCCATCCCCATTCCCCCAGCGCCCGCCACTCCCGCCCCCGCCACCGCCGCCGCTGGCGCTCTAACCTTACTGCCGGCGGGCGCGGGCGCGGGTTGCTTCGGGCGCGCAGCGTCTATCCGCGCAACCTTCGCGCGCGCGTCCTTCAGTTCGGCCTGCAGCCGCGCGACCTCCGCCGCCTTGATCTCCTGCTCCGCCGGCGCGTCCGCGCGCCTTCCGCGCGCCTCTTTCAGTGCCGCGAACAGCCGTCCAACTTCCGCCTGCGCGGAGCTCAAGTCTTCCGCGGTAACCATGCTGGGCGCGGCGGGCGGAGCCATGGACTGCGTGCGCGCCATGCCTAGCGGCTCCGGCGCAGCTGCTGTTGCGGGCGCGGGGGTCGCGGGCTTGGCGGCGGTCGCGCTCCGTTCCATCAGGACGGGATTCTTCGACGCGAGACCCGCGGAGCCGACAACGGGAGGGCGCAAGCCGCCAATGAACTGCGCGAGGGGAGGCGGAAGTGGAGGGGCGCGGTCATGATTGGGTGTTCCGGGTGGGAAGGAAGGAAAATGGGAAGGAAGGGAAGGTTGAGGGAGGGGGGGAGAGGAGTGGGGGAAGGAACTGGGGTTGATCGGAGCGGGGGATCTACGATTGTTTTTTCACACCAACCAATGAGAACCTCCAGCCAACCAATAGCGTTTCCTATCAACCAATGAGAACGTACCGAAATTTCGTTGTCGTTCTTGTCGTCATCGTCCTCCTCCCCCTCCTGCGCACCTCCCGGCGGATATTCCGGGATGCTGGCCGGCAGGCTCTCGAGCACGCTACCGACGACGCTGCTGCCGTCTTCCGACTCGTAATCCTCCACGTCGATGCGCCACTTGAGCGCCTCCCCGCCCGCGTCTTTCGCGCCGGCTATCGCGTCTGTCATGACTGCTGCTGCGCCATTCGCGGCCGTGTTCTTCGCGGAGCCGTCCGACGTGGCGTTGCCGCCGCTTTCGGCGGCGGCGGCTTCTAAGCCACCCGACATGGTGCCTTGAGAGTTAGGGATTCGACTCCAAGAAATAAAGAGGGAACCTATAAACTGTAGTTGCGTCGGCAGGAGATTGAAGCGAACTAGACAAGCTACGTCGCAAACAATACAAGGTAGACGAGTACAGTGCTATCTCTTAAATCTTAACTTCACTTCACTATCCACTAACAACGGACGTTCTCAACCAACCACCCAATCCAATTTTGCTTGTTCAGTGGGTCCACAATAGTATCCTGCAAAATCTAGAAACAAAAAGCCAGACGCTGTGCGTAACGAGACCTGTTTCTCGTCGACCGCTGCCGCTACACGAAGCCGCCTAAGAAGCGATCCTTCTAGAAATAAGTTGTGCGTGCTCGGATAAGGCGGAACCCGCAAGTCTATCTCGTTTCCCAGGGCTGGCTTCCTAGCGCTGGTAAGGGTTCTGCTTGCGAGATGCGATGCGACGCTTACAGCCGTTCAGGGGAGCTCTGGATGCCTCTGGAGGAATTTTGTTCCTAACCCTACCTGACGTCACCAGCCTCCTCCCATGCCTCACAGTCCCCCGTCACCGTCACGCTCCTGGTCAAGCTAACCCTAATCGCACGATGACTCGCGTCTAATACGCTTCACGTATCTCGTTGCGGAATGACGGGCGCCGGAGCTAAATCAGCGGCAACAGCTCGTGCTGAACGGGAAGTGGTGGAGCCATGAACGCGAGTCGCCTCTGCTGTCAAATGTCGCCCAAGTTTGGGTGACTGACGGGGTGAGCGCAAGATCGAGTTTGTAAGACACCCATAGATTTCGCAGTGTTACCTGTTTTCTTTTCGATTGTGAAATAGCACCTTCCGCACCAGTGTCACTCTGCTTGCGAACAAATTTCTATTTTCGTTGAACGAGATTCTGCTCGCACATGATCCACGATTCCTTCGTGTCCGCGCTGTGTACGGTGGGTGGGACGTGCCCCATGCGGAGCCGTGTGGGAAATGTGCGGTCGCCCGTCACAGTACATCTCGTGCAGGACTTCGTGACTCGGTGACAGCCAATAGGAACAAAGGCTTCGGCGACGCAGGCGGGAGGCCAGGGCTGTGTGGGCCGCTGCGCCTGGCGAGTCTTCCCGCCACTCAGCTAAGTGCCACGCCAGCGCGGCTCGTAAAAAAAGCAAAATGACAGACGCGTAACACTTGCTTTTCCGTATTGTAAAACAAACACTATAAATATACAAAGTCACACCTTTTTATACTGGTTCATTTGTTCAAGAGAACAAGCATATAATAGGTTTCATTAGCGAGAAAGGGTTTGATTTCAGAGTATATTTGCAGCAGAAAAAAGAAATGAAAACCTTACCGAAGTTGTAATAATTTTTGTCCCCTCCCACAAAACCCAGGATTTCAACAATATGGGTTATTACCACAATATGGTATGTGCGAAGCACAGAGCACTCAATTGGCTTCTGTTAACACTCAAGATGCAGGTTGGTTGTCTTTCACCTTAGCGGCATACTCCACAAAACGGTCCATATCTGCCTGAATAATGCTCTCCACTAAAGGGTTTAGGCTCTGCAACAGGGATGGATGGAAGATTGGACCATTAGCTTAGCAGCACCAAATGACGAGATGATAAACTTTTTACCTTCTTACAGCTCACATCAATTTAGATTGAGATGCATATGTGGATAACGTACCGCCAGAACAGGGACAAGAATGTCAGGGCACTGGTAGGTCAGAGTCATCTGTAACAATGGGTCACAAAGGCAGTTTCAAGATGTAACTAAACAGTTTCAACCAGCAGTGTTACAAAACATTGACACCCAGCAATCCCCCTTATTTCCCCTCCTCACCTCCACCTTGCAGCCATTGGTCCCTCGGGGAAAGAACCTCACGGCTCCTCTGCAACAGTGGTGGTGGTGGTGATGGTGTTAGAAATGAGACGGTAGAGGATGCAAGGAGAGCAGTGAAGGCTGAGTCTTACTTTGGAAAGTCCAAGAGAATGGAGAAAGGAGAATGCAGCAGGGAGAACGCAGTGAGGCAGTGGCAGTAAAGATATGCTGGAATGGCCGAAAAGAATGTCTGGGATTGTGTAGAGGAAGAGGAGCGTGGTCCCTTCGTACCTATCAGGATTCGTCCCTTCGTACCTACCATGTCCTGCACTTCTATTCTGATGCAGTCGTGTGCTTTCGCAACGCATGTCCTACTGCAATGCACGGACTATTGCAGGGTGAATGTTCATATGGGAGTTACCTATTAGGGACCCCATCCACTGAGCGCCACTGAATTTTCTGATTCGCAATGGGCTGGGGGTATACACAGGGACAGGGGAATGGAAGAAGAAAGAAAACGTTTCGGTTGAGAAGGACTCAGAAGATTCTGCTTATACTTAACGGGCTGGGGGTCTGGGGAAAAGGGCGGATTGATGGAAACAGCTTAACTTGTGCTGAACCTGCTTACAGTGAGTTGCTTGGAGAGCCACGAGAACTCCAGATCGCGTCCAAATGCAGTGTATTTGAGGGTCCACTCAGAGAACTCCGGGGTCTCTTGGAGTACCTGATGACGTGGCAGAGCAACAGGTGAACTGGGATGTGTGCACCTGATAAGGGGAATCCATGGCATGGATAGCATGATGGCACATACTGTAACACGGAAGGAAATGGAGTGCTACAAATGAATAGTGATAATAACGAAACCATGTCTTTGACAGTTAGATGTGGTGGGGGGACTCCTCCAACAAGGAGTCAGAGACACCTTCACCGCTTTCAACCCACCTTAACCGAGGTGATCCATGGCATCCAGTTGGGGACTAGCTCGCGATCTGACCAGAGGTCGTAGGCCAATGAGAGAGGAATGCTGGGCGCATCAGCCACTGCTCTGACGCCACGTGGATCCACCAGCGTCCGTTTGTGTGCACGCAAGGCAACGAACAGCGTGTGAAACAGGGGATGAGAATGTGATGGAAAAGAAAGAGATACAAACGCATGATACGTGTCGATGAAAGGTCCAAAATATCTCTAGAGATTCGAGAGAATGCTGACAAGCAAATGCAGACACGAAGGTCACTTCTAGCAGCGTGTCGCAGCGTGCCAGCATTGTGTCGCAGCGCGTCGCAGATTATCGCAGTGTCGCAACCGTGATAACGTGAATGACCTTCTTGGTCGACTTGAAGCCATTATCACTCACTTGCATTCAAGCCACGTGGCGGTAACTGATAGGCGCCTGCGCAACGGGTGCTTGTCACGCGGGGACACGTTGATGGCGGAGGCCACGGAAGGAAGTATTTGCTTTAACGGTGCTCCTACAAACGAGGACGACATCCTGCGACAAATACTCGCGCGATTCAGCAAACACTGCGTTTCCACCGCTGTAGAGGCAATGGCGGGCTTACTATTCCGTGCAGCTGCCTCAAAACTCGTTGCATCTGCCCGCATTATACACGCAGGAATGTGAGCAATCGCCATTGCCGGCAATGGCGGAAACAATGATGCAGAATAATCTACAGATGAACTACGTTGAAAATCTGAATGATGTTGAAGACGTGGCTCGGCTGCTCACAGATTACAGCATGCAGGATGGAGACAAAATCCTGCTGTTTTGACAGCTCCACTACCGTGCATTTGCTAAATTTATCACTGAGCACAAGAAATCCATTTCGAAACGCCTATTCTGACAATCTGATTTATGGATTTGCAGCCAAGCAAACAGCCGACTGAGCATCGGTCAGGACTCCAACATCGAGGGAACGAAGCGCTTGTATAAAATTCGTTCCGAATGGTAACGCTATGATAAATAAGCACACTAAATTCACTGCTATGCCAAGCCTGCATGAATCTCTTTCTATATTAGCAGAAGCCCAGCCCACTACACTAATACGATACACATAAATGTGAACTTGATACTGGCAACATATCTTCTTGTTCACGATGGGACGGGAATAAGAATAGGGCCACCAGGATTGTGTGAGAAGATGGATTCATGGCTATCTATAAGCACCATGATAGCCTCCACTATTGCTGTTTGTGCTTGTGTTGGCTCCTCTTCCAAAGGGATCTCTGCACACCAGAAAAAACAGAGATGCATTGTTAGAGTCAAGAGACATGCACCACACTTTCCATCCAACTCCACCAAAAAAAAAAAATAAAGATATTATAATTTCATGCGCACATATGCACACAAAGAACCTTCGGAACCCGGCAGAAGGCAGGAAGATGGGCTCCACTCTGTCATGCCTGGCCCGACATGCACACCCAGAGTAAACACACTAAATGCACATCCACACACAGATGGATTAAAGTACGAGTCCAACTCCAGAGGAAGAGTCGCTGAAATATCCAGGACTTCCTGACTTACTCGGAACAGAAACTTGTTGATGATTTGAGGTTACCCCAAGACGCACGGTCTCTCACGCACACATACACAACCAAACAGCGGATACGCAGTGGATAAGTAGCGAACAAGCTAGACCAGGGAGAATATATGTGCCGGCTCACCAGGAACAGACGATTCTCCGTTTGCCTTGACAACTGCCGGCCCATCAGCAGCAGTTGCAGCAGCAGCAGCAGCACTCACTCCATCCCCCACCCTCATTCCCTTCTCACTCTGTGCTCTCCTCATAGCAGGACTCGCCATACCATCCGCACCACCCACACCATCACCACCAGCAGCAGCACCACCACCACCAGCAGAGGCAGAGGCAGCACTACCCTTGGGAGTCAACGCAGGAGGGGAGGAGGGGGCCATTAGGCTCGGTACATCCTCACTCACTCTCCCACTACCACCACCACGACCACTACCGCCAACCCCCGTGCTCTTGCTAATACTGCTACTATCCATCCCTCTGCTACCGTCCCCACCATCCCCTGCTGCTGCTGCTGCACCTGCTCCTGCGCCTTCCCTGGTTTCGTCTAGACTCAAGGAGGAGAGGGAGGGGGAGCGGGCAGTTGAGGAAGGAGGCTTGGAGGAAGGGGAGGATTCGAAGGGGCCAGAGGCGGAGGACGCGTGGTGGGAGGGCGAGGGGGAGGGGGAGGGGGACGGGGGGACCTCTGGTCGCGGCCAGAGCAGGACAGGGGCGAATTCGGCTGCTAGGCTTTGAGCGTCCATCTGGGGGAATGGAAGGGCGTAGGGAGGGAGGGAGTGGGAAAATGCTTTTTGGAGTGCCTCAAGAGGCGGTTGAATCGCTGCAACATGGAGACTAGCACCCCAACCTACAGCCAACCTTCAAAGCCTTCTCACCCCACCCCTCGCCTTGGTCACATCGGCATGCAGGCTGACTTGGAACAGCAGGCACAGCACAGCATGCAGCGTCTCGAGATTCACAGGTGGGGGACCGTCTGTAGAGACTAACACACCAGGAAGGAAAAAACGAACAAGGCTAGCCCTCACCTTGCTGACATCGGCATGCGGGGTAACTCGATACAGCAGGCACAACACAGCATGCAGCATCTCAAGATTCACAGGTGGCAGCATGTGCAGCAGTCGCCTGAGCTGCGCGACCACACTGCTAGCACACACCCAACCCCCACTTAACCTTCAAAACCCCACACCCGTCCTCACCTTGTTCACATCAGCGTGCAAGCTAACTCGGTACAGCAGGCACAGCACAGCATGCAGCGTTTCCAGGTTAACTGCAGGTAGTGTGTGCAGCAGGCGCCTGAGCTGCGTGACGTCGCTGCTGCCGACCGTGGCGACCCCAGGGAAGAGGGCGAAGGTCATGAGGGGCTCGGGGAGGCACTTGAGGTACACCAGCAGCAGCTGCCCCACGTCTAGCGGACTGGTGTCTGGCGGGATGTCCGCATTGGGGTCTGGTAGGTGGGGGGACGAGAGAGGGGGAACGGAGGGACGGGGAGTGGGGTGGGGGTTTGGCTCAAGATTCAGGGGAACACGTGAGAGCCATGGCAAACGTGTGGGACAATTCTGGGTCAGGGGGGAAAGACTTTGAATCAGCAAGTTCGCTGTGCAACAGAAATCAGTCTTTGCTGATCAGCATCAAGATGACTTCCTAGTCAAATCAAATCTTTCTTAACCATGTCATCGCTCTCTCATTGCTCACGCGTAGCTCACCAGTATCGAACATGTGCATGAGTCTTTTGACCACATGCGAATCGTTCTCCGACTCGAACAAGTACTCCGTAACCAAGCCTGGTGGTAACCACATGTGGAACACGACCAAAGGACGAATAGCACATCAAAGTGAAAATGTTTAGGATTTTTTTGCCAAATTATGTCTCGGCCCCTATTAATGAAGGATGGAGAGAGCCAACCCACCAGGTGCTCTTGAGTTTCGAGACATCTCGAAACTAGATGAAGGTGGAAACACCTACAGACACGCAAGGTTAACATTTGTAACAGCTTGTGACACTGGAAGAGCGTTCGGCACGGTGCAGCCCACCGTTTTGCAGGATGAAGTTGCAGCACTGGATGACCACGAAGGGCACGGCTGTGCCTCTCTGCCTGCTCGCGAATGCATCTAAGGGCGTACCAAACACTGCCAGAGGGTGAAGCGAGCAAAGGGATAGCAGAGTCACAAGGCAGCGTGAGCTGTTGTAGAATTCTTCAAAATCGCCTCAAAAGGCGCTTCAGAAAGGCCTTCAGAGAAATTCTATACACTGCCAATGGGTAATGCAGCCTGTAGAGAAGCCAGTTTGCTAAGTAACACGAAAACACATGGCGAGAAGCTAGTCGAAAAGGAGTAGCAGATTGTGAGAAAGAGGTTTAGAGAACAGCTGAAGGAAAAGAATAAGGGGAGACGCGAGGAAAGATCGAAGGCAAAGAGAGCCCTTGCAGAAACTAGAAGAACTGACATGCAGGCTATTTGATGAGCCAAGATGGTGCAAGGGAAATGCAGAAAAAGAATTGGAGAAAAAGAAATGGAGCGACGGCAAAGCGTGGAAGTAAGTAGGGAGAAGAAAGGCAAGCACTTAAGAGAATAAGCAACCGTCACCTAGTGTGGCGTCACCTGGAGCTCCGGGCCGGCCCTGGCACAGACGGGAGTGCGTGTGTGTGACAAGTGCGAATGGCAGGAAGGGAGGAAGTGAGAGACGAGAGGGTCCGGTGAGATCAGAAAGCCAGTGGCGAAGGAAAGAGGCGATTGGGAGAGGGCGCGATCAGGGAATCAAGAAAGAGATTTCGAGGTAGACAACAGTAGGGACGTGAGCAGAACGGAATGGAAGGTGCATGCATGCGCGTGTGTGTTAGCGTTCGCGACAGTGGAAGACGAGCGGGGAGCGAGGGAGAGGGGATTCGAGGTTTGGGGGAGTGTGAGGGGGTGTGAGGGGGCGCGAGGGAAAGGGGAAAGGATGGAGACAGAGTGAGTGCTTACCCTCCGCCAGTCCACCTTCTGGAGAAGCCCCTTGCTTCTCTCCATGCCATTCGCCGTGAGCTGGGATCATGGGCAGGGCACCAACAGGTTCACCAGCAGGACACATAAATACGCAACGCATAGATGGATGCAATGAGCTGAGTTTCTGGAGAAGAATGCTGGCAGTAAGAAGGAGCTCGAGAAGATCGAGAGCGAGTTTGGAAATGCTGGGCAGTAACCGTAAAGATAACGACAGTCGAGAATACTGAGAGCAGCAGGCAGCTACGAGACTCCACAGTCCGGATTTGGATGCGATTGCTAGGGGAATGCATCTGGCATGAGGAATGATTGTTCAGAAATGCTTCAAGCTGAGCATACTCCGACAATCTGACCTCTGCGATTCCAGGCAGAGTCCGTGCGAGGCTCATACCACTACAACCCCCCCGTTTCCCACTTCTAAGACTCTTCCAACGATCCTTGACTTCAGATTCACAACTTTTCCACCTACACGATCACCCTTCTCTGCTTGAAAATCTCGTAACCCAGAAAATCCCACCAGTACGATTTCTCTCTTTATGAAAACCTCACCCCAATGAGCTCTTCATACCTCGGTGAGCTGTTGACCGACGCGACTGGCCTTGACTTTCTCCGTAGTCTCCATGAGCCCCTGCTTCAGCATCGACCCCGTGTCAGCCGCCACGCGAGCCGTGGTTTCCAGCCCGGCCTCCATTCTCGGAAGCACCTTGGTGTTCCAGCTCTCCTTGGTCGACTCCCACGTGGTATGCATTCGCGATTTCGCTCCCTCCGCGGCGACGGCCGCGCGCGTCGCCGCCTCTGCGACTTTCGGCTGTACGTTCTGCTGCCATGAGGTTTTCACCTTGGCTCCTGCCTCGCCGGCAGCGCCTGCGACGGCTGATCCCGCTGCTTTCAGCTTGAAAGCTGTGAAGAGTTTAGATGTAACGTGGGAAAGCATAGGAAAGGATTAATAAGATAGATGTATTAGCAACAAACTGATGTCGATGTCGTCAATGCCGAGATTCGCTGCTCAACGAAATGTGTTGGGCGTGTGAGGTGAAAAAACAAGAACAAACTGAAAGTAATCGCAAACGCTTGAGACGAAGCTGATGCAAGAACAACCCCCAGGCGCATCGCTTGTTCCTATTTTAAGGATGCCGCTGAAGAGCTGTATGCGATAGTACAAATCGGCTTTATCCTCAAATGCGGGAAACGCGGGGACTTACAGGAAGTGGAAATGAAAGCGCCTGCCTTTTCCCGCCAACCAGGAGCTTCTTGATCTGCCATCTGGCCTCGTGTCTAGAAACCAGCCACGGTACAAGGAACCAAGCGACCGCTGTATTCCAGCGGACAAATCTCAAAACGGCTATATCACAGACGCCATTCGGATTTGTGAACGAATTCGTCAGAACACGAACAGATCCGTTTCTGTGGGAGAGCTACAAAGTCTAACAGCTTGCTAGCATAAAAAAAGTGGCCAGAAGTCTAACGCGCTTACACAGTGAATGCAGTCGTGACTTCACTACTATGCTAAAGTGATAGCAAAGTGAAGATGCTTTCTCAACCTGTCACCTTGCCATGGCTGTGGTGGTCTTTCTGGGACGGATTTGGAATCTGCAGGGAATGGAAATGGAGAATGGTGTTTGGCTAGCCATGGGGGGTTGTGGTGTGGCTGTTGTTGGTGTTGTGGGAATGGTGTCTCATACCAGGTGCTCGTTACCGCTCAGAAACCTACTCACTGTAATCCAACCGTTCTTGCTCGCATAAAAACCTACTGAACCATATCTGCGTAAGCTCATCCGACACTACCATGAGGAAATGGAGGGGGGTTGGTGAATGGGAAGTGTTGGCGATGGAATCGAGGGAAGGAATCAACAGGAGATGTGTTGGCTGGGTGGGAGACGCAGATGTGCGATAATGGAATTTGTTTGGTTCCTGAAAGCATGGAGCCGATGCGTAATCTGAACGGTCCGTCCTCGAGATCTGCTGGGAGGAATCGATCGACCCAAGAATGTGCCTGTAACGAGCGCTGGCACCCAACAGGGATCCCTCAATTGGGAAACAAATGCTCCTATGTAAACCTTTATCTTCCACATCATTGCAAACTAGTGTAATCGGTTTCTTCACGTTTGAAATTCTCGGAATCTGAGGATTCAATCGGGGACAGCTCGTGCTGGATTTGCAGCGGGGCCAAGTTACTGTATGGGGCGTTCACCTCGAGAACCAGTCTTGGGAATGCCGCGCAACTCACTTCGTTCTGTTCGTGTGTTTCAGAAAGCAGCTTGGTGCCTAACAACGTTCCTGTTGATGAACTAGTGAATAGTAGCTTCGTTGACGCTGATCAATATTTTATTCGTGACTGCGATTCGAATCCATCTCTGATCAGAAATTTGATCGCTGCTGCATAAGAAGTCGAATAATCATGTTCGCAAGGCGCCATTCGTGAGAATAAGCTTTGAAAGAACTGGATCACGTGTCTCTAGTTGTTTCAACCTGTTCTGGATGTCTCACTGAATGCTACAATAGTCCCGGCAATGGAACGCCGAATTCGCAAAGATCCCGGAGGTGCCTCTCTGACACCAGCATCATCTGATCTCCATCCGCGTGAGGAAAACGGAAACAACGATGGCGATAGTAGAATGAAGAAGGCAGCTGGTTCTGGAACCACGAGTAGCCATGGATGGATCTGGATGTCTATGCTGGCGACACTATACGGCCTGCAGCCTGTGATCATGCGGAAATGCCTAAGGTAGCTGTCCTTCCGCTCTTGACACGTGGCGAATCGTGACCGCTGTAGGTGTTTCCGCGGTTAGATCTGGATATCCATTCTGGTAATGCCATGTAATCATGTGGAGATGATTGTATGGTACTTGTCGAGTTGTTCTGGACGCCTCGCTCGAGGTATTCGCGTCATATCGAGCTTGTCGTGGAATGCACTCACGAATTCTGTCCTTCTTGTACCGACTGCGACCTCTGACTTCTTATGCTTCTGATGTCTTACACCACCCATAAGGCAGTGCTGACGCCATCATCGTCAGCCAAGTGATGGCTGTCGACATCGCCAAGGTGGGTTACGTGTAGTCCGCTTCTCGTTGGTGCTTTCTCCTATGCTTTCTCCTATGCTTTCTCATATGCTTTCTCATATTCTTTCTCATATGCTTTCTCCTGTGCTTCCGCTTGTGCGTTTTACTGAGCGTTCCACTGTGCTCCACGCTATGTTTTGGTGTTGCGGTTCAGTCCAGCTCAGCGTTACAAACCAGTTCAGTGCATCATTACAATGGAATTCACTTCAGCATCGCTAATCCATGTCCTTTGATGCTTTCAATCTCCTCACAGATCATCTGTTCTCTCGCTGTGGTGCTTCTTGACGGATCAGCCTGGCGGTTATGGCACAGCTGGCGGATAAGAGAGTTCCTACAGGGATCCATGGTGCCGGCCTTCGTGTACACCGTGCAGAACGTGCTTATCAACATCGCTTATCGCCACCTGCACCCGGTCACCTTCGCCATGCTTTCTCAGACGAAGCTTCTCTTCACCGCCCTCTTCAACTTCATTTTCCTCAGGTGATGTTCGCATCGATTTCGCCCTCCTTACGTAACCATCACTCAGCACATGCCAGTGGTTGCACTGTTATCCGCATACCATCCATATTCTTACAACATCAGAGCTCTTTTTGGTTCTCCATTCCTCATGTGCTTTTGCAGCCGAACTTCACTCAGGCGTCTGGCTGGTATTACTCGACTACAGAATACAACAAAAACGCACGACTTTTTTCCATTGTCGTCCAACATTTCTTCCTGCAGGCAGAAGCAGTCTTGGCGCCAGGTCTTTGCCCTGCTCACTATACTCGTAGCAGCTGTGCTCCTCTCCATCGCCGACCATGTGCAGCTCTCCCTCTCCTTTGAGTGCACTTTTTCCCACCCCATACGCGCGTGTTCTGCAGGCAGAAGCAGTCTTGGCGCCAGGTCTTGGCCCTGCTCACCATGCTCGTAGCAGCTGTGCTCCTCTCCATCGCCGACCATGTGGAACTCTCCCTCTGGGGGGGGAAGGGGGCGGGCGAGGGAGGCGGGGAAAGAAAAGAAGGGAGTGGAGGGTTGACGGAGAGTCTAGCGGCGTCGGTGGTGTTTGGAGTGGTTCCCATGCTGGCAGCGTCTGTCACGTCTGGGTTCGGCTCCATGTACTGCCAGTGGGTCTCCCAGGTACGTGCTCTCATCTCGTCTACTACCTCCTGAGGTGATTTGTGAGTCCGACAAATATATGCCCTTGCTGGCAGCGTCTGTTGTATCAGGGTTCGGGTCCATGTACTGCCAGTGGGTCTCCCAGGTACGTGCTCTCAGGTTGTGCTTCCCCCTCCTAGTGTCACGCTTGTACTTCCATCGTGGCGCCATCATGGCGCTGTACAACCCCCTGTACCCTGCCTTCCTGATATTGTTGCACTTGATGGCTTATTCTAGGAGCCTCTCTGCACCTCGCTCTCCTTTTCCCACTTCCCGTTCTCTCATCTCCCACTTCCCGTTCTCTCATCTCCCACTTCCCGTTCTCTCATCTCCCACTTCCCGTTCTCTCGTCTCCCACAGGTGAAGGGCCGCAGCTCCTACCTGATGACCGTCGAGATGTCCTCCTTCAGCTTCTGCCTCCTCCTCGCCTCCCTCCTGCTCGTACCCTCATCGCATGATGCAGTGCGCATGAGGCAGCTCGGCTTCTTCCACGCCTGGACCCTCCTCTCCACGGTACATATCGTCCATCCGGCTCCCCAACATCTAGCGATGCTGCATCCTCCTCACACAGCATTTCCATCCCCTATCTCGCTCGTTTCACATGCCCACCGCTCCCAAGTTTATCCCCATTCGATCAATCCCGCACAGTCTTGACGTTCTTACCCTTGCTCCTCTCGAATGCAGCTCATCTTTTCGTCTTCTCTTCAGTAGTTTTAATCTCTCCCACTTTCTCTTTCTGCAGGTGCCCATATTAAACAACGCACTGGCAGGCATCCTGGTCGGGGTGGTGGTGCAGGTGTCTGGGGGTCTCAAAAAGGTATGTGTGACTGTAAATGGGCGCATTTGTTCGTGCCTGCACTGTGTGATGATTATAGCGCAGTGTGATGATCAAAACACTACTGGTGACAGCAGCAGCACAGCTGCTGGTCGAAGGGGAGCCTCCCCCTCTGCTGGTGTGGTTGGCGTTCCCCTTGGCAGTGGCCAGTACTCCTCTCCTCCCTTACTCCCCTTGCCCCTCCTCCCAATCACCAGGGCTTCGTGATGATAATAGCGCTGCTGGTGACAGCAGCAGCTCAGCTTCTCCTGGAAGGCGAGCCTCCCCCACTGCTGGTGTGGGTGGCCTTCCCCATGGTAGTGGCCAGCACCCACATGCATGCTGCATACCCGTATGTGGAAAATAACGATTCAGATCGAAGGAAGGCAGAGTAGAGGATTCAATGCTTCCCTGGTACGAACAGTTCTCTCCTCCATAGTTCTGATGGTGGCATTCCCCATGGTGGCATTCCCCATGGTGGCATTCCCCATGTTGGCATTCCCCATGGTGGCATTCCCCATATGGTGGCATTCCCCATGGTGGCATCCCCCATGGTGGCGTTCCCCATGGTGGCATCCCCCATGGTAGTGGTCAGCAGCACTTACGTGCATGCGGCCTACCCATACATGGAGAGGAAGGGGACGGGTGGGGAGGAGGATTCAGATCAGGAAAAGACACAGAAGAGCTGTGCCTCGTCCCCTATTGGTATGGACAGTGTTCCTTTCCCCTGCTGGCAGTGCAGCTGGTGATATTTCCCAGGGTAAATAGACCATACGTACTAATTATTTATTTACCTTGGTTCGACCATTGAATCTCTTGCACCTAGCTCTTGCCGAGTTTGTCAAGCCTGTTGATTTTTTCCGCATGCAAAAGGTTTGTGAACCTGTTTTTCCTTCACAGATTTCTGCAAAGCTGGACACCCAGTAGATCAACATCAGAGATGAATTTGCCAATGTACATATCAGGTAGCAGCAATGAGGCGGCCACATGCACTGCGTTGCGTCCCAAGGCTGTCAGTCACACACGGACTGTGACGGATGAAAATCGGCGGCGGCGCGATCCGACGGCTAAGATTGGACAATTGATGGAACTGTTACTGGAGCAAGTACAGTTGGACGTTGTGACACGGGGATTTGTTTTCTGAAGTGCTTGAGCTGAGCATTTTTCTGTTCAGGCCATGGGGAGGGAGAGATGAGGGGTGAGAGAAGGGGGGTGAGGGGTGAAGTGAGGGGTGAGAAAAAGGGGGGTGAGGGGTGAAGTGAGGGGTGAGAGAAAGGGAGCGGTTGGGAGATGCAGGGAGAGCGGAGCGAAGATGAGGGGTGAGTGGGGCGGAGATGCGGGCAGGGGAAAAATGAGGGGCGAGTGAAGGGGGGAATGCAGCAGTGGGAGGTGGAGAAAGAAGGGAAAGAAAGGAGATGAGGGGTGAACGGGGAAGAGAGGGGGACGAGGGGAGAATGCAGAAAAGAGCTGAGGGGAGATGAGGGATGAGTGGTGACGGGATGCGACAGAAGCGGGGGAGGGAAAGGGGGGTGGGGGGGGGGGGGGGGGGAGGAAACGAGGAAAGAGCGCAGGGCATTCAGCGAAGGGGAGATGAGGTGTGAGCGGTAAGGGTATGCAATGAAAGCGGGGAAATGAGAGGGGAGGGGAAGGGGGGGGGAGGTGGTGGGGGGAGGGAGGGGAAGATGGGGAGAATTGAGTGAAGAACAGAGGAGACATGAGGGGTGAGTGGTGAGGAGATGAAATGAAAGCGGGAAAAAGAGCGGAGAGGGGGGAGGAGGGGGGGGGGGGAAAGGGAGGGGGAAGATGGGGAGAATTGAACAAAGAACAGAGGAGACATGAGGGGTGAGCGGTAAGGAGATGGGGACGGACGGAGCGGACGAGCAGGGGGGACGAGGTGAGAGCGGAAGAAAATGAAAAAAACCCTCCCCACCCAACCACACCCAACCGAAATCCCGCCACCCCCCCTCTTCTCTCCCCTCCCCCCCCCCCCTTCCCCCTCCCCCCTTTCCCCCCCTCCCTCCCTCTCCCCCTCGCCCCCCAAACCTCCTTACTGTTCTCCTTACCGTTTTTTACGTCTTGCGTCGTAACCGTCCGGTTCAGACCGGTTCAATGTGACTTTCTCTTGATCTTCTAAGGACAACGAATAGGCAGGCACCAAAGATATTGACGCGTCCGCGTGGCAACTGTTAACATATCTATGTGTCCGGAAACGTGGAATGCCCTCCCCACCCAACCACACCCCGCCACTCCCAACCACATCCAGCTACCCCCCTCTCTCCTCCCTCCCCCCCCACCCCGCACACTCCCTCACAGCTCACCTTTTCCTTGTTTTACCGTCTTGCGCGGTAACGGTCCGTAATAACCTAATGACATCGAATGCGCGTACCGACGGCTACCACGTCCGCATGCTACGAGCTTACAGATCTGCGTCCGCAAATCGATGCCAGTAATGTGTCCGCAAATGGTATTGCTATGTCCGCAAACGGCATTAAAGTGTCAAATCGACGTTGTCAATCCGTTCAGAAATGAAGGTTTACTTCGCAGGCCGTAATCTATAAGCTGAACATAAATCGTAATAGGCTACTAACGGTACTTGCTTCATTACGTGAGGCGGCTCATATTAAACTGCGCGTAACAACCGCGACTGACTCCATCTACAGCGCTAGGACTATATTTGCGCTTAGATCGGAGCAGCCATGCGCGATGTAAGGCAAGAAGCGACGGTAAAGAGCTTAACGATTAGATCTAACGAGGACTAAAGACATAGTTGACGAGGACTAAGGACCTAGATAGTACGATGAGATGTGAATCGGGAACTGAGCGCTGTAGATGTGAGTGGGTTGATATTGAATGGTGGTTGTGAGTCGGTGACGAAATCACCCTCGAATCCTATTGGCTTACAAAATTTCTTACAAACCCTATCCCAACGCCTCCTTGCCCGAACTTTGTTCACAAGCTGTGGGAGCAGCTAAAGTTCGTGACAGCTCAGCAGGGAAAATTTATCGACCAGTTACCACACCACTCCGCATTTTACGCAAACCTAACAAGCGACAACTGCCATGCCAGCTTCCTCCTAGAAGGTTACTCCAGCCCATCTCCAAACTACATAGTATGCTCACAAGCCCCATCCACCAGCCATACGTGCCCTCAAAAGCCTCGTTCGCAATAATACACAATGCAAACTAAACTAAACAGAAACTCTAAGCTGAAGATAAACAGAAATTCTATGCTGAAGACGAGAAGTGTTCATTGTACTGCCACACTGTACACATTTCAGCTGCCACCAACTTCATCCCACAGCTCGACCGTTGACCGCGACTTCAGCTATCCCAGCACTCTGACACACAAGTCTTGAATCGCCGCCGCTTGAGCATCGCCAAGTCTTGAACCACTTCCTCCGCAGATCCGCCGCCGCTTGAACATCGCCAAGTCTTGAACCACCGCCCCGCTTGAACATCGCCAAGTGTTAAACCACTATTTCCGCAGACCCGCCGCCGCTTGAACATCGCCAAGTGCTGAACTCTTTCCTTCGCAGATCCGCCGCCGCTTGATCTTCCACTTACCGTTGACCCTTCTTGGCCGCTAGAGGCAAATGCCTCTAGCGTTACACCCGAACACCGCGTTGAGGTGAGGGCCATTCGTTCGGGACCCTGTTTGGGAGGGGAGGGACGATAATTTCGGAAAGGAGGGACGATTAATTTGAGATGAGAGCAAGGAGAACGACGCCTCAGGAAGAACGGCCGTTGAGGAGAGGGAAGAGGAGGAGGAGGTAAACGCAATCTACCCACCCCCCCCACTAGCTCCCTTAATCTAACGCTCCTAATCGTCCTAGCTGATTCCTCCCGAGTGCCTGACAAAGGGAGGGGGAACGGAGGAGTGGGGATGGGGAAGGAGTCAAACTCCAGCGCAGCTCCGCCGCTCGTTTGCTCCGATGTCCGCCGATCCGCCGATCCTCTTAATCGCCGCGCCGCCGCCTCTCTGCTCCGACGCACCGCCGTCGCTCTGCGCCACCGTCGCGCCGCCGTCGTTCCTCCGCTCCTCGCGGATCCTGCTACAAGGGCAAACGGAATGAGTTAGTACGAGTGAAGTTAAAAAACCACAAAAACTGAAACGACACCTCACCTTAAAAGTTGTTGACGCCGTCCCCGCTCTCGCTTGAGCTCCCGTTCCTGCTCCTGCTCCTGCTACAAGGGCAAGCAGAGAAAGTTAGTATGAAGTATTGAAACACCATCATAACTGAAACGACACCTCACCATGATGGTAGGTTGCTGCCGTTCCCGCTCCCGCTCCCGTTCGTGCTCCTGTTCCTGCTACATGGGCAAGCAGAGAATGTTAGAATGGAGCAATGAAAAAACAATCATAACTGAAACGACAACTTACCATGATAGGAGTTGCTGCCGTTCCCGCTCCCGCTACTGCTCCTGCTACAAGGGTACACAGAAACTGTTAGTGAATTTGAAGAAACTTTTCAAGTAAAATTGAAAGAACACCTTACCAGGGAGGGTGGTTGAAGAAGTGCCGCCAACCGCCGTGCGAAGGGCCGCGCGACGAGAGAAGGGTCGCCAACCGCCGAGCGACGAGAGAAGGGTCGCCAACCGCCGAGCGACGAGAGAAGGGTCGCCAACCGCCAAGCGACGAGAGAAGCGTCCGAGCAAAGCGCCGTGCCAAACATGCCGCTACACTAACTGCAGGTAACAAGGAGCACGGTCAGAACCATAAGATAACAAAGCGTAACAGAAAACAACAATAAACGAGATAAAAACGACGACGAAAAAGAGAAGTGTCGCCATGCGACGAGACGCGTCGCCGAGAGCCGCACGAAGCGCCGCGCGACGAGAGAAGCGTCGCCAACCGCCGAGCGACGAGAGAAGCGTCGCCAACCGCCGAGCGACGGGAGAAGCGTCGCCAACCGCCGAGAGACGGGAGAAGCGTCGCCAACCCCCGAGCGAAGCGCCGTGCCAATCGCCGTGTGGGGAGAGGCGTCGCCAAGAGCGCGCCAATGGCCGCTCCACGGAAGAAGAAACGCCGCCAGTCGCCGTGCGAAGCTCCAAAACGGGCCCTTCACTAACTGCATGAAGCAACGAGCACGGTCAGATCCGAAAGATAACAAAGCGAAACAGACAACAACAATAAACGAGAAAAAACGACGACGAAAATGAGAACTGCCGCCATGCGACGAGACGCGTCGCCAAGAGCCACACGAAGCGCCGCGCGACGAGAGAAGCGTCGCCAACCGCCGAGCGACGGGAGAAGCGTCGCCAACCGCCGAGCGGCGCCAACCGCCTAGCGCAGCGCCGTGCCAATCGCCGTGTGTGGAGAGGCGTCGCCAAGAGCCGCGCCAATGGCCGCTCCACGGAAGAAGAAACGCTGCCAGTCGCCGTGCGAAGCTCCAAAACGGGCCCTTCGCTAACTGCATGAAGCAACGAGCACGGTCAGATCCGAAAGATAACAAAGCGAAACAGAAAACAACAATAAACGAGAAAAAACGACGACGAAAATGAGAACTGCCGCCATGCGACGAGACGCGTCGCCGAGAGCCGCACGAAGCGCCGCGCGACGGGAGAAGCGTCGCCAACCGCCAAGCGACGCCGCACCACGGAAGCGCCGTCAATCGCGGAAGCGCCGGAAGCACCGTCAATCGCCGAGTGAAGCTCCACCAACGGGCCGCTTCGGTTACTGCATGTATCAACTTACAAGGTTAGCTATAACTTAGATATAAAGATCAACAAAGCGAGGAACATTAAAGCGACGAAGAACAATAAAGCGACGAAGAACATTAAAAGCGGGTGCCTTACCAAGCTGAAACCGAAGCTCCACTAGCGACGGCCAAACCATCAAGCTGCCATCGGCGCCGCCGTGTGAAGCGTCAAGGTCGCCTCGCCGTCGCAATGCGTGATCTAGAAGAAGGGAACACTGAACTTACCGAGATGAGCGGCGAGACGAGCTGAAGCGAGGTGACGACGTTAAAGCGAGAAGGAACGAGGTATACTGAACTTACCTCCACGAGGGTTTTGATTGAAGATTACACGGGGGGAGTGTTAATTGAAGCCCACACGGGAGGAGATTGAAGCCCACACGGGAGGAGATTGAAGCCCACACGGGAGGAGATTGAAGCCCACACGGGAGGAGATTGAAGCCCACACGGGAGGAGATTGAAGCCCACACGGGAAGAAGGCCACCCGGGAAGAAGGCCACACGGGAAGAAGGCCACCCGGGAAGAAGGCCACACGGGAAGAAGGCCACACGGGAAGAAGGCCACCCGGGAAGAAGGCCACACGGGAAGAATGCCACCCGGGAAGAAGGCCACACGGGAAGAATGCCACCCGGAAGAAGGCCACACGGGAAGAAGGCCACCCGGGAAGAAGGCCACACGGGAAGAATGCCACCCGGGAAGAAGGCCACACGGGAAGAAGGCCACACGGGAAGAATGCCACCCGGGAAGAAGGCCACACGGGAAGAATGCAACCCGGGAAGAAGGCCACACGGGAAGAATGCCACCCGGGGTGAACGCCACCCGGGAAGAATGCCACCCGGGAAGAACGCCACCCGGGAAGAATGCCACCCGGGAAGAATGCCACCCGGGAAGAAGGCCACACGGGAAGAAGGCCACACGGGGGAGTCTTGTGGAGACCACACGGGGAAATCTTGTGAAGACCACACGGGGGAGACTTGTGAAGACCACACGGGGGGGGGAGTCTTGAGTGCAGCTCAAGCTGCAGTGGCGTTTTTAACGGTAGTTCTCGCGGTGAAAGACCGTGCCGCGAGAACCTCGGCGTCGTACAAGGATCAGCTCGAGGCAGCGCAGCTTTACGAATCTCTAAGCTACCCAACCCATCCCACCCAGCTGCAGCATGCCAAGTGCTTCCTCTTGTACGAGCCAGTTGGCTTCATTAATCACAAACTGCTCCTTGGAGCTTGTAGCCTATAGTCCGTTTACGGTAGGAGAAGTTCTTGTGAAGATCCTTCAAGTGGAATCGCGAAGGATAAATCTGAAAATGGACTCCATTGATGGTACTTGAGTGTGTTTTGGTTGGGAGGTATGGGATGCTCGCTGTGAGCGAACAGGCTGCAGGAGAAGACAGAGATTCTGTTTCAGGTGCTCAAGAATCAAGTCAGGCAGGAGATGCAGCAATGAACTCGATTCGAGCATGGTGTTCGGCGCAGGCCGCCCCGCGCGACAGAAGCGCGCCTTCAGTCCGAAAAGTTTTGTGCTGCTGGGTGCAGTGGGGTGCGACACGGCAACTCTTTCAGTGGGGAATTGATTGAACAAGTCGAGAGCAGAAAGCTTGCGGAAGGAAACAGAGAAGGAGATGAGTCAGAGGGGTTGTGTTTGGCGCAGGCCGCCGCGCGTGGCAGAACCCGCGTCCTGTTCGAATTTGATGCGTTGCTGCTGGTTGCAGCGGGGTGCGTGCGATAGGGCAGGTTATCCTAGGCCAGAGTGTGGGAAGTGTTGGCATTGGCTGGTTGGATTTACTCGATGGTGGTGGAGATATCTCGTTGCTATCAACGGTGGAGATTTTCGAGATTGGGATGGTACAGTTCTTGATGACTGTGCTGTGGGGCCCACATAGATACTGTTATGCCAGTGAGGCGGCTGAAATTGGTTCTGCTCTGCACACGCGCAAACTCGATTGCAGCACAATCTGAACATTGTCAAGTTCACATGTACAGTTCACTGTTCTGCACATGTAAAGTTTACTGCGAAGTTATTACATGTGGAGTTTGAATTCATTGTGTTGCTGCAATCGAAACTTCTCAAGGCGCGTATCATCAGCGCACAGGTTTGTGCACAAGTTCGTGGCTGGGACAGCTAGGAACTTTCTAGGAGGAGGCTGACGTGACGCGCAATTAGTCAAGTTTTGCGTGAGGTGCGGGGATGGTAAAGGGTTGGGGCGAAATTTATTTTTTGGCTTGACTTTTGCGAAGTTGGCTGCTATAGCAACCCGCTTGCCTGCCTGTGAACCAGGTTCGGGCAGCTGAAATAGCGAGGTGTGGTTGGGATAAAAATGCACGCGAGCCAATAGAAATCGCGGGTGCTTCCGTCACAGTCGCACAACCACCCACCATCCCATCAGCTCTCGCTCAGTTCCACCTGCAGTTCTGTGAAGCATCTTTCCGTTCAGTTCAGTTTACTTTTCCAGTACTTCAGTTCAGTCTGTTAGATCTAAGCGCTTCTTGGTTTACATCTCGCATGGCTTCCCGGATCGCGCATGTTAAGACTTAGAACCGTAGATAGAGTCAGTTGCGCGTTCTAGCCGTAGTCTGATAGTAGGCGCTTCACGTAGTGAAGTACGAATTGCCATTTGCGTGTTGCAGATGTTCGTACAGTATCCAGTAGTGCGATTTTTTTTGGTGGATGCATTGCGGCCCGAGTTGTAACGTTCATTTGCGGTTGAATCATAGCGTCGATTTGCGGGCACATTATTAGTATCGATTTGCAAATTGTTCATTCAAAAAATATGTGAGCACTTACCATGCGGTCGGCATTGATAGTTTAGGCGATTAAGCGAAGGCAAATTTCTTTGGATCGCTTCCACTCAAGACAGTAAAGAAAGGGAAAGGAGAAAGGCAAGCGGTGAAAAAGGACATTTCTCATCTCTCCCCCCTCTCCCCTCGTCCCTCCCTCCCCCCCGGCCCCCCCCCCCCCCCCCTCCCCCCGCATCTCTCCGCGCTCCCCCTCATCTTTCCCCCCTCTCCCCTCGCCCTCCTTCGCTCTTCCCTCACCGCTCCCCCTCATCCCCCCCCGCTCCTCATCTTCCCCCACTCTCCGTTCGTCTCCCCCCCTCTCCCCTCTTCTCGTCTCCCACTCACCCCTCATCACCTTCTTCTCTCCCATCATCCACTTTTCCCCTCCTCCTCACCACTACTCTCATGTCTCCTGCTTTCTTCCGCTCTCCCCTGTAACGAGTCGTGTTTTGTGTCGACTCAAAACACGACCCATCATCCTCTTCCCCCCTCTTCCTCACCACTACTCTCATGTCTCCTGCTATCTTCCGCTCTCCCCTGCTCTCTTCCGCTCTCCCCTGCTCTCTTCCGCTCTCCCTTCATTTCTCATTCCCCCTCACTCACCCCTCATTCCCCCTCACTCATTCCTTTTCCCCCCTCACTCATCCCTTTTCCCCCCTCACGCATTTCTCCCTTCGTCTCCCTCTTCCCTCTCTGTCGACTCCCCCCCCCCCCCCCCCCCCCCCCCCCCCCCCCCCCCCCAATTCACCCTTATTCTCCGCTCCCCTTATTCTCAGCTCCCGCTCCTCTCATCCTCCTTTGTCCCAACCCCGCCCTCCCCCCCCCCTCCCGTCATCTCCACACCCCTGGTCACCCGTCATTTTCCCGTCCCTCATTCCCCTCCCCTTCCCCTCCTCCCCCTCCAGCAACTTACCTCTCATCTCCCCCACACCTACCCCCTACTGTTCCACTGCCTTGCATCTCCTGGGCAACCCATCTGATCTGACACTGACTTGCATCTGTGACTTGCCTCTGTGACTTGCCTTTGCAGCACAGGAGGCGGTTCTTCTCGTTTGCCTTGTTACTGGTAGTGATTGCTTTGGTAGTCAAGTCAAGCCAATTGATCCCTGCCAGTAGATTTCTTCCTGTATTGCTTTCTATAATGTCTACCCTACCGATTTTCCTACACCTCTTTTCAGTCAGAGGCACCCCTTGTCAGACTTATGCAGTTCAATCCTTTTACTGCAATTTAATGTGATTACGTGCAATACGAGTCTAACAGGAGGTTCCCCTGCTAAAAATATTGACCACAGTAACTTAAAACCGGCAGCCCAAATTGCACAAGTTTTAAAAGGTTGACGCGAGGGGGTTTTTCGGGTCTGGGTTTTGGCGAGTGATTCCGATTTCGCTTTTTTTAGTTTGTTTCGCCAAAGCCAGCCTGCCCTGGTATTTCGCCCTGGGGGCTGGTTCAGTCCCCAAAAGTCCCAAATTGCAGGTGCGCTTCTTTTCAAAGCTTGGAAACACTACTTCGTCAAGTTTTAAAAGCTTGACCCGCGCGCTCCGCAATTTGGGACGCGGGCTTTAACAGAATGGAATCACATGCGGCACAGAAGGCAAGTGAAGTGCTGTGGTTTAGCTCAGAATGTCTTTCGACAGGAATAACAACGACAACAATGAGAATACGGGACTGCAAGAATGAGAGGAGTTATTTGTGGAAGATTGCTACCTACGAGCGTACCAGCAATATGGTAGTGCTGACAATAAGGCAATAATAGCATCATTAATAATAGTATTAACACGAGAGAAGCTGAGGGGAGGGAGAGTTGGCCAGTCGTCAGCAGTAGGGCGAAGCTGAGAAAAGGGGAGGGAGAGTCAGGCAACTAGTTCCTGCGGGGGAACCTGGTGGGTGAAGAGACAGCAGTGCTGGTTCCCTCTTGAGCCAGCAGCAGGGAGAAGCTGAGGGGAGGGAGAGAAACACTCGAGACCAGCTCCCTCTCCTGCTCACCCATCTCCCCTTCCTCTCCTTCCTCTCCTTCCGAGTCACTACCAAGTGCGTGCGCAATCTCATGATATTCACCCACTGCTGCGTGCCCATGCTTGTTCTTGTAGCGGTTAGCACCCTCTGCTGCCACATCTTGAAGAGCGGTCGCCAGGTCAGCAGCAGCAGCAGCTGCTGCCACGTCAGCAAACATCAGAACGTCCACCTCAGCGTTGAAGCGCACGCGGGAGGGCGTTCGGCGGCCGTCGGATTTCGGAGTGATGGCGTCATGTGAGGTGTGAGTGTTGTCATGGCTGTCCGAAAACAGACTGAGGGAGGAGAGAGCGTTGTCATGGCTGTCAGAAGTGAGGGTATGTGCGTAAGGGAAGTTCAAGGAGAGAGCATCTGAGGAGAGAGCATTGCCATGGCTGTCAGACGACAAACTGAGGGACTTGCGGAGGTTGCGACGGGTAGTGGGACGGGGAGTACGGTCATGGATATGAGAGGAGCTTTGAGCAGACAGCTGGGGCTCTGCAGGGTGATGCGGGTCATCTGTAGAAGTGTGGGGATCAGTTGTTGCGGGGGGAGCGCCGCTGCCCCCGCGGTTGTCAAGTGTCATACTCAGTGACTTGCGGTGCCTTCTGCTAGGACCTGGGCCACAGCTATGTGACGAGATTTTATGCAAGTCAGAAGGGTGGTGGCCGTCAAAAGTTGCAGTGCGAGGGTCGATTGAGGCACGAGCAGCGCCACAGCTGTCGAATGTCATGCTCACGGACTTGTTTTGAGGCGCCTCAAAAGCACGGGCAGCGCCACGGACTTGCGGACATTCGAATGTCATGCTCAGGGTCTTACGGTGGCCTCTGCTTGCGGCAGGATCAGCACGAGGGTTGCCACGAGACGGGGTTTGGCCCAAGTCAGAATTCTTGCGGCTGTCAGGCGTGGAGGAGGTGTAAGGGTCGATTGAGGCAGGACGGCCGCTGCTGTCGAACGTCATGCTCAGGGACTTGCGGTGCCTTTTGCTACGATCCGGACCACAGCTACCCGACGAGCTTCGAGTCTGCTTATAAGGGGGATGGGAGTCAGGCGTGGGAGGGAGAGGATTGCTTGCGGTGGGGGTGGTGCCATGGCTGTCAAACGTCGTACTCAGAGACTTGCGGTGGGTGCGACGGGTGGTGGCGGTGGTGGTGGTGGTTTTGGCGGTTGCACTGCTGCTCCTCCTGGTAGTGGTGGTGATGCCAGTTCTGCCGCTGCTGCTGCTGCTGCTGCTATTGCTTCCAATGCGCTGTCCTGTCCCGTTGCTGCTACCAGCCCTGTTCACACCGTGGCCGCCTTGCTGCTGCTGCTGCTGCTGCTGCTGCTGCTGCTTCCACCAGTGCTGAGGCCGATTGCTCTCCTCGGATTGACTCCGACAAATCTGCATCCCTCTTCCACTTCCACTCTCTTTCATCCTCCTCTCCAACCCCTCTCCTCTCCTCTCGCCACTGGTCACACCATGACTTTCCCTCTGTTGCTGTTGCCGCTGCTGCTGCGGCTGCCGCGGCTGCTGCTGCTGCTGCTGCTGTTGCTGCTGCTGCGGGTGTTGCTGTGGTTGCCGCCAGTGCTGAGGCCGATTGCTCTCCTCAGACTGACTGCGACAAATCCTTATCCCTTTTCCACGTCCACTCTCTTTCATCCGCCTCTCCAACCCCTCTCCTCCTTTTGTGCTGCTCGCCATGCTTCGCGGCACTGCAAAACACTCCTCCTTTTCCTCCCTCCCCTCCTCCCTCCCCTCCTCCCTCCCCTCCTCCCTCCCCTCTCCTCCCTTTGTGCTGCTCACCACGTTTCGAGGCATTGCAAAACACTCCTCCTCCTCCTCCTCCTCTTCCTCCCTCCACTCCTCCTCTTCCTCCCTCCCCTCCTCCCTCCACTCCTCCTCCTCGTCCTCCTGATCCCTAAGCGGCTCATACGAGTCGTTATATTGCATGTTCACACCTACCTGCTGGTATTTGTTGACAGGGTTACCCGCATACAAGTTCCCCTCCTCTACCTGATGGTACTTGCTGACAGGGTTAACCGCAGACATGCCCGTTTCCAGTAAGTACACGCTCGGGTTAATATCAGATGTACCCGGAAATGGGTCAGGGTTAATCTCAGAGTACACTCCAAATTGATTACTTGCTTCTTCCCCTGCAGCCACCTCTTCCGGTTCCGCTTCCCCGTCTCCTAGTTGTGGCACAAACCGATGTGGTCTAACCGAGGTTGCAGCGGAAAGGGAAACCGGAAGGGGATGGGAAAGGGGAGTGGAAACGGGAAGCGAACGGCAGTCAGAGGGTCGAGCGCTTTTCTGATGCGACTTTTCAGGCGCCTCAGAAGGAGCAGAAGCGGGAAGTTGACGGCAGTCAGAGGGTCGAACGCTTTTCTGATGCGGCAGCAGGAGACTGCCACTGTTGCCGCTGGTAACCTGGTTACTGCTGCTGGTAACCCAGTTACTGCCATTGGTAACCTGGTTACTGCTGCTGGTAACCTGGTTACTGCTGCTGCTGCTGTTGATTGTAATCTGGCTACTACTAAGACTGCTGCTACTGCTGCTGTCACTTAGCCAATAGTGCTCCCCACTTTCGGCAGCAACAGAACGACTAGCAGTAATAGCAGCAGCAACAACATCAGCACAGCCGGCAGAGTCAGCAGCAGCAGTATTATAACCACCTCCCCCAATCTTCTTCTCTTCCTTCTCCCGTTCCTGCCGCTGTTGCCCCTTCACTTCGTTGTAGTCACCATCTCCCTCCCACTCTCTGCTGCTCCTCCAAGGCTGTGTATTGGCTCGCTTCAGTATCCCTGCTTTAGGAGACTTGGAAGCTGACGACTTAAATCGAATTGCTCTGTATGGGGTATAAGGTTCAGCTCCACCTGAATTGTCCTTCTGCTGCTGCTGCACGCTGTGATTATAACGAGAATGGGAATGACGAGGCGATAAGAGGTGCATATAGCGAAGGGAGTCTGTGGAAATAGCTTGCACGCCTGGGATGGATACAAACGGGGGCTGCGCCCTCGTTACTGTCACATCTCCTGCCCCACCAAACGTGCTTGTAGTAGCGGATGTGCTTGTATTGATTGACCTCGGGTCTGTTTTATGTCTGACCAGCGCTGTGCTTCCATTGAGGAAGAGTGGGGAAGGGACAGGGTGACGAAGCTTGGCTGCTGCATCCAACATGCTTGTTGGAACAGGTGGAGTAGAAGCGGAAGTGCTTGTATCGAATGACCTCGGGTCTGTTTTATGTCTGACCAGCGCTGGGCTTGCATTGAGGAGGGGGGGGGGTGGGGAGGGGCGGCGAAGTTTGGCTGCTGCCCGTGCGGCAATCACAGCAGCAGACTCGGAAGGTAGAGAGGGAGATGCAGATATAGACGAGACAGAGGAGGAGAGAGGGTGGGGAGACGGGGAGGAGGAGGAGGCGGAGAAAGAGGGGAGGGCAGACAGGAGAAGGGAGTTGGGAGGGTGTGGGTAAGGGGCAGCAGGGGGGTGAGAGAGGGATGTAGCACCAGCAGGGAGAGAAGGGGAGGTGGTATCTAGGACAGGGTGGGAAGTGGAGGTGGTATCTGGGGGAGGGTGGGAGTGGTTGAAGGAGCGGAGGAAGGATTGGATGGAGTGCTGCTGGAGGGAGGAGGAGGGCGAACGGGGAGAGAGAGGGAGAGTCGTTCTAGCCAAGATGTTGCTGCGCTGCTGCTGCTGCTGCTGCTGCTGCTGCCACGGTGGCAACTTCACCTCAAGTGAAAGCCCCTTTCCCCGCCCCTTCAGCTGCAGCTGCATGTGCTGTTTTGGCTGTTCGTATTGCCCCCCATTCTGCTGCTGCTGTGGCTGCTGCTGCTGCACACCATGCTGCTGCTGCATCCCTGCGTGCTGCATCCCTGTGTGCTGCATCCCTGCGTGGTGCTGCTGCCATGCCTGCAGCTCTTCCTGCCTGAACTGCTGTCTGCTTCTGTCTCTCCTCTCATAAATCGAGCTCACAGACCTCTGAGGGTGCGGTGATATTCTAGTCGACTCTCTGTATTCGTGACTTGAACCCTCCTGTCCCTGGTTGTACTGCAGTCTGCTTCTGTCTCTGTATTCGTGAATTGAACTGAGAGAGCGCTGAGGAGAGGGAGAGTTCTGAGTCAACTCAGGAGGCGCCTCAACCTGTCTGTAATGCTGCCGGCTTCGGTCTCTGCTCTCGTGAATCGAACTGACAGGTTGAGGGGAGGGAGACTTATGGCTCGACTCAAAAGCCACCTCTCCTTGTCTAAACTGCTGCCTGCTTCTGTCTCTGTATTCGTGAATTGAACTGAGAGAGCGCTGAGGAGAGGGAGAGTTCCGAGTCGACTCAGGAGGCGCCTCAACCTGTCTGTAATGCTGCCGGATTCGGTCTCTGCTCTCGTGAATCGAACTGACAGATCGTTGAGGGGAGGGAGACTTGTGACTCGACTCAAAAGCCACCTCTTCCTGCCTGTACTGCTGTCTGCTCATGTCTCTACTCTCATGGACCGAGCTCGCGGACTTTCGAGGGGAAAGAGGTGGCCGGGATTGCACCAACGCTTGCTGCTGCTGCTGCTGCTGCTGCTGCTGCTTATGCCACGCTCCCTGCTGCCATTGCTGCTGCTGTTGCTGCCATTGGCCCTGCTGCATGTGTCCCTGCTGGTGCTGCTGCTGCTGGTGCTGCTGCTGCTGCTTCCTATCTGAGAGTGTCCCCCTCCTAATATCTCCCTCGTTGCTCTCGGCACTACTATGAGAAGAGACACTGCTTTCAAAAGAAACGTCCCTTGGTAAAAAACCAGCATTTGACTTTTGAGTCGACTCAAAAGTCGCTCACCTCGTTCCCCTGCGACAAAAAGCTGCTTTCATAAGAAATATCCCTTGGCAGGAAACCAACAGAAGGACCGATGGCGACAGCAGCAGCAGCACCACCCCCACCCCCAGCAGCAGCAGCAGCAGCACCACCACCAGCAGCAGCAGCAGCAGCAGTACTACCAACAATGCCCTCCGCTTGCTCTCGAGACGGCCGACGTTCCACTGTCACTGAGTTTTGAGGGGCCTCAAAAGCCGTTTGCTCTCTGAACGGCTGTCTTTCCACAGCCACTGAATTCCACCGCCGGTTCACCCGAGCAGCAGCTTTCGCAGCCACTAGCCGCATGGTGCTGCTGCTGGTCGTGCTGCTCACACCAGTGCTGACACCAGTGCTGACACCAGTGCTGACACCAGTGCTGACACCAGTGCTGACTCCTTCCGAAGACAGAAAATCAGCCCACCGCTGTTCCGACACCTTCCGCTCCAATCGCTGCACGACACCTGGCGCTTGCCATCCCTCCCTTATAGCCGACTCAATAACAGTTGATTCGTTACGAACAGACTCGTTAGTAGACAATCCGCTAGTGGCTCCAAAAGCTGCTGTAGCAGCACCAATGTCAGCTTCTCTCATTGACAACCTTCGACCACCCCACTTGCTCCGGGCCGCCTCAAGACTCTCCAAAACCACCCACTCGTGCTTTTGCTCCTCCTTGTTACCACCACCACTATAATCACCACCATCACCAGCAGCAGCTGCTGCGGCAGCGGCAGCAGCAGCAGCAGCAGGAACACTGGCTGTCCGCCAGATAGTAGATGTGACAGGCGCCCCTCTTTCACTGTCATTCGTCACACACATGTTACTGCGGTTACCGCTGGTGTTACCACCGCAGTTACCGACGTCGTTCCTGCTGCCCGTGCCGCTTTCACTGCTGCGGCGGCGGTGGTGAGTCTGCTGACTCTGCCCATGCTCCCAACCACTACGCTGCCCGTGATTCTGCCCGCGATTCCGCCCAGAAATCTGCCCGTGGTCCTGCCGCTGCTGGGGAAAATAGCGTGCCTGTGCAGGGTCGTGGGAACCAAAACCATTGTGCCATCCCATGCCACCACTACCACCCACAGAAGGGACAGCGGCCGCAACAGGTGTGACTGTAGCAGCCCCATACCCAGAAGTACCATCCCCACTGCCATTCCCCGTGTCATCACCAGTGCCATTCCCAGTAACACCAAGGCTGACAGTGCGACCAACACCACCAGCAGGGGGTGCGGCTCTATGCTTGGGCGATTTGAAAGCTGAGCCGGATCTTGGTGTCTTGGGCGTTAAGGGGGGCAGTGGGGAGCGCGATCTGGAGGATGATGCAGTGACTATCAAACCACCACCACCACTGCCACTGCCACTGCCACCATTACCAGCAGCAGCTGCCGTCGCAACAGCAGCAGCAGCAGCACCGCCACCACCGCCTCCACCACCACTACCAGCAGCAGCACCGCCACCACCCCCTCCACCACCACTGCCAGCAGCAGCACCGGCAGCAGCAGCAAGAGGAAGGTCCTCAGCGCTTGAAGGCGCAATGAGGGGAAGAGACGGAAGGCGGGATCGGAAGAACCCGAGCTTGCCTGGGCTCTTAGGCTGCAAGGAGGCAGCGGAGGTAGCAGAGGAGGAGAGGGAGGAGGAAGAGGGGGGAGGGGATGCGCTGGGACTAACTCCTGCTGTCCTCCCCCCATGCCCCCTTCCACCCCCTCCTCCCCCTCCTACCCCTCCGCGCCATTCTCCTCCCCCCTCTCCACCCCCCTTCCCTCCCCGCCCTCCAAGGTTCACTCGTCCTGCTTCTCCCCCTCCCCCCCAAATGCTACTGCTTTCCCTCCCTCCTCCTGTGCTATTCTCTGGGCCAGACAGGCTTCTCCTCCTTCTGAAACCACTCCCTCCTCTCTCTTCCCCCCTTCTCTCTTCTCTCACCTTCTCCTTCTCCTTCTCCCTGCTTTTCCCTCTCCTCTTCTTCTCTCTCCCCCTCTCCCTCCCCCCTCGTTCCCTCTCCCTTTCCTTCTCTCTTTCCTTCTCTTTTTCTTCCTTCCACTCGACCGCGATAGCCCTAGCCTCCCTCTCTGCTGCTGCTACGGCGCTGCTGATGGCAATCGGACGGCCGTCAGACGAGACAGGGAGGATTGTACGGCTGTGATCGTCTGTGTATTTTCGCCAGCATGCCTGATACGGGTATGATGGGGGGAGTGGAGGGGAGGGGGAGGCGGGGGGGTGCGGGGGGAAAGGGTGAGTGGATGGGAGGAGAGGACGTTGAGAGGATAGCATAATGCAAGGGAAACAAACAATTATGCAAACAAAATTATAAAGGAAGACGACGAGGAACAGATTGACGAAAAAAATTACGAACGTGCACATTTTCAGATGTTCATGTACTGATTACTGGGCAAAACATAACAAATAAAAATGGGGGGCGGGGGGCAGTGTTGGGTTGCACGTGCGCGTGCAGGAAGCGGACGAGGTAAACATTCTCATATAGAGTTTTATACGTATGAGAAAAAAATAGAACGTAACAAAACTCGCCTGAAGTATGTTTGTGGCGAAAACGTCGAACTCCGGTAGCCAGGGGTCCGGCTGCACATGCGCGTGCAGGAAAAGCTGCCACGCCGCGTTCGCCTGCGCCACCACCCCCAGCGCCCTACCCGCCCCCTGCTCCGCCACCCGCATTCGCGGTAGGAATGATGGCTTGTCCGCTGTGGGGGCAAAGGGGAGGCGTGGAGGGAGGAAGGGGAGGGGGAGGGGGAGCAGGTGGGTAGAGGAATGGAGAGGGGAAGCTGGTAGGGGGAGCAGTCGGGGGGAAACTGAAAGGGGGAGAAGGGGGGAGAGTAAGTGCGAACAAAAGCCAAGCATCAGTCCTACTTATTCCCTTCCGTAGCCGTCCTGATATCGCGTATGCTCACCTGCACTTGTAGCGTCACACACGGCCAGCCACGCGTAGATTTCTTCCAGCCTGCCCGGCATGAACTCGGGCAGCTCATCCAAATTGTTCAGCAAATTCGCCACGGGATCCCCTCCACCAATCGCAACCACCACCCACGCCAAACCTTCCTCCCGCACCACCGGAATCGCACCAATCGGCTTCACCGTATGCACCTGCCCGAGTTTCGCGGGCTGACGCGACAGATCCAAAACTTCCACCGCCGTTCCGCATCCCGAAACATCGCCAAATTCGACCTCTCCCTCCTCGGGATCCTGCCACGTCTGCGGGAGCGCGCCGATGTGCCATGGCGCGTCGCGAGCAAAATGCGACGGTTCGCCGTTTCGCGAACTCGGAGTAACTCGTAACGGCGTGTATTCTTCCGGCGCGAAATCGTGTTTCGCCCACGTCCCTCGCGGAGTCGTGCAAACGAAGTTCAGCCACGTGTTTTTCCCGTATAAGGGGATATTATGCCACGGCGACACTATACAACCGTCCTTATCTAGAAACATCATCCTAAAACCTAGCGACCCTGGCGAACCGAACTGAACCGCGTGGCCTTCCCCCTCCGCCTCGCCCCATGAATCTTCAGGAACTTGCGGCTGCTGACGCGTTTCGTCATTTTCGCGACTCTCACAGATACTAAAATTAGGGTCATCATCAGGATAGTGATTTCCACCAACCGATCTGCTCGTTGGGAATATCAAATCTCCCTGATTCAGCGCGATCGAATCCGCGCCGCGTTGCTCTAAAAGCGGTGCGAGCGCCGCATCTGACGGCGGCGATCGCGCAGGCGCCAACACGGGAAGTGAGTTGAGTCGAACCGGCGGCGGACGGTTCTTTTCGTTCTGCTGTCCGTTCGGTGGCTGCCCGAATATCCACGTGGCCTTCTCCCTCTGCGGTGCGACTCGGCTACTACTGGAAGTGAACGGTCGCTGCCACATAGTGCCGTTTATCGCGCGGCGCCCGCGTGAGTTTCAAAAGTCACTTTTGACGGTCACATCGACGACCGGATATGAACCGCTGCCGCATGTCCGCCCCAGCGCGTTCGCCGTGAATTGCGGCGTCTCACGAGGCTTCCGCCGATGCGGCGACTGACTCAGGTGACGTGTCTGATGTGGAAGCTACATTCGACAGAATCGCGCGCCGCCCGCCGAAGCATCAGGAAGCAGTACGACCTACCGGCGGCCACGGGGCCGTTTACGAGTCACGGTGAAGCCGACACGTCATACGTATCACAGGTATCGTCCGTGATACGCGCGTATTACCAGGCGCACATGAAAGACATCAGAATCATAAGAAACTTTATTGGACTAACTAGTACCGTGCGTGACAAGCACAACCCTAATGGTACGCACTGAGAATTTTCAGGGGAAAAACGTCGCGCTCTGATGTGATCGTGTCCTGCTGTGAGGATGACACGCACGGCATGGTAACGATGCTTCGAACTTCAAATTGCTTGTTTTGGTCCGCCTGTTGAGTGCATTTTCAAATCACGATTCACGAATCACAACCAGAAACACATCTCACGTGGTTGTTGAAGGGAGGAGAGGGATTGGAGCAAGGGTGTGAGAGAGACGGAGGAGGGAGGCGCTGAATCACTAGTGCACGTTATGAAAGGTTGCAAGCTGCTTCAACCACACGGTCCGCTCCGCACCCCACTGCTCAAGGGGCAACGAAGTCAACTGTGGGAGAAAGATGGGCAGTGCATAGTTTTGCTGCTTTCTGCACAGGTTACTGTACATGTTGACACGATGTGAGTTGCTTACGACGAAAGTGCACAGTTTTGTCAAATATCCCCATCACTCAGGAGATTTGTTATGCCTTGAAATCTCTCCGCTGTGTAAAAATAGACCTCCACTTATTGTTTCACTTTATTGTTCCCATCATGCAATAAGTGAATCAATAAGTGGAGGTCTATGTTAACACAGCTTTTGGGAAAGCGAGAAAGAAAATTGCTGGACACCGATTCCTGCAGCCTGCCCAAGTGCCATCCCGCACAGCTTGTGTATTCACGGTCAGCTGTGGCCTCTCGACGCACAACAAACCGCCACGCGCAGCGTTAAAAGTCGCCAAAACCGACAGCTTGACCAAGCTTGCAGTGCCACAGTCACTTCACACAGGCCGTTGGTTTCCAGATGCGGAATGCGTACAGAACAAAAATCTCGATAAGGAAACAAGTACACTTATTCAAACACTTCGTTATGTTTATGCTTACATGCTTTTGCTAACCAACGGTTTATTCGAATGCTATTATGTGACTGTACATGTTATCGAGGGGCCCTTAGAAATGTTGAGCTTTCTGAGGCGCTGCGTTTCATTTCGAGACTATGGGACGTCGGCAGCAGTAATAACGGGCCTTAGTTCAGGCCATTCGCGCGCTACACAAGGTCGCTCATGGACCCGTTATACATAGACGCTTTGCATTTTATTAGTAAGAAGTAGAACTATCAAGGCGCAGCATTACATTCAGAAGGTTCCGCATCAGTCCGAGCGGTTCGCTCGTTACGTTTCCAGAGGTTCGTCCTAGCGCCATTCGCGCCTGTCGCTGTTGGGATGGAGTGCGTGGTTCAGGGAATAATCGAGAGTAAGGTGCGTGGCTCACGGCACGGAATAATCGAGAGTAAGGCACGTGCCTCACGGAACCATTGAGAGGCATGCAGCTGCGAGAGTGCATGCGAACGCCATTTCTCCCTTGAAAGGACAGCGGTCGGAATCTTAACGATGAAAGAGATGCCCAATTTTGAGACGTCTCAAAAGTCGGAATCTTCTTTTGAGTCGAAAGAGATGCCCATTTCCTCTCTCTCCCACTCCCTATCCCCCGCCTCCAACAATTATCTTCCCCCACCCCCGCTCCTCTCCCCCCCACCCCCACCCCCACCCCCACCCCCACCCACCCCCGCTCCCCTCCCCCCCTACCCCCCCCCCCCCCCCACCCCCCGAGTACCCTCTCCCTCCCCCTCCCGTCCCCCGTCCCTCGCTTCCCCCGGTCTCTTCCTTTCCATTTCCCCCTCCCCCTTCCCCTCCTCAACCCCCAACCACCAGCATGTGCGTGCACTGGCGGAGCTTATAGAGGGGATGACAGGCGCCAGAGAAGAGAAGCTGGATCTACACCAGTTGGTGTACAGAAACGCACCTAATATAGGTATTGTGGGAGAAAAAGTGTTCATGCTGCAAGCATCATATGCGTGCACTCGTGGAGCTTATAGAGGGGATGACAGGCAGGAGGGAGGAACTACACCAGTTAGTGTACTGAAGCGCACCTAATATAGGTACTGTGGGAGAATAATATAGTTACTGTGGAACGCATCTAATATAGGTACTGTGGGAGAATGTGCATGCTCCATGGTCCATGCTCTATGCTCCGTGCTTCATGCTTCACGGACCATGCATCATGCCCCATCCGCCTACTTTTGAGTCGACTCAGCTTTTGAGTCGACTCAAATGCATCATGCCCCATCCGCCTGCCCCATGCCCCATGCCCCATGCCCCATGCCCCATGCCCCATGCCCCATGCCCCATGCCCCATGCACCATGCCCCATGCCCCATGCCCCATGCCCCATCCGCCATGCCCCGTGCCCCATGCCCCATGCATGATGTATGATGCATGATGTTAGGTCTAGGATCATCCCTACTAGAGTGGAGTGACTACAGTGAGAGTGCTTCTGTTTCTTCATAGTGTTCCGCCTCTGCCACTGCCACTCCCTCTATCTTGTGTATCCCACCAGGAGCAATACCCTTTGTCTGTCTACCACTCCCTTGTACCGTGTTGGTGTTGTACCGTGTTGTACCGTGTTATACCATGTTGTGCCGTGTTGTACCGTGTTGTACCGTGTTGTGCCCTGTTGTACCGTGTTGTGCCGTGTTGTACTGTGTTGTGCCGTGCCGTGTTGTACCGTGTTGTGCCGTGTGTGTCGTATCAGGAGCCATACCCTGTGAGGTCCGGCTGGAGTGCCCTCTCAACTGCACCCCACCCATATGGTATGCCATGCATGAGTCATGACATGCACGTGGATGGCATACAATGCATGGTATACACGTGGATGGCATGGTATGGACAGGGATGGGGAGCCTTTATCTGTTCAGGGTGTTAGTGTTAGCCCTCAATCTCACACTTTGTATTTTGTACTTTCTATATCCTAGCGTAGTGTAGTTTGCACTTTGTGTTTGGTTGGGTGTACACCTACATCCCAACCAAACCCAAATGTGATCTCCAACCCACCAATTGGAGATTGCCTTGGGATTACCCCCAATCCCCAGATATTGTCACCGATTCCCTTCCCCATCGATTCCTTGCCCATCCTGGATATACTGAAAGAGCTTCAAGCTCATTACTAATGCATGGATTCTAAGCTTAAGTTCTGACACAGGGGCATTGTATGATGCCATGCCATCCATGTTCATACCAAACTCGAAACTTGTTGCTTCTCCCCTTTCCCCCATCTCCAGGACCATGATGCATGCACGTGGGGTGGTGGGCGGGCGGTGAGGGGAGCAGGAGCAGACGGACTGGCATCACTCATGTTTTGAGTCGACTCAGAGCAGACCAGCTGGCATCACTCATGCGCAGCATAGTGCTAGTGAGGAGGGCATCCCCTTGTAGTTTTGAGTGAGGGGCGCCTCAAAACTAGCATAGAGCAGGTGACGTGAGGGCATCCCCTTCTCTTCCTTCTCCCCCAAGTCCTCTGTCCCCTGCTTCCCCCCTCCCCTCCTCCCTCTGACATTCAGGACCATGGAGCATGTGGGGCTGGGCGGGCGATGAGGGGAGCAGGGGCGGACCAGATGTCTTGTCCCATGCCCAGCATAGTGCAAGTGAGGGCATCCCCGTCTCTCCCCCCTTTCTTCCCCAATGGACCATGGTGCATGGGGGGGGGGCGATGAGGGGAGCAGGCGCGGACCAACTGTCTTTTGAGACGTCTCAAAAGTCAGGCGCGGACCAGCTGTCTTTTGAGACGTCTCAAAAGTCAGGCGCGGACCAGATGTCTTGTCTCGTGCGCAGCACAGTGCGAGTGAGGGCATCCCCGTCTCTCCCCCCTTTCTTCCCCAATCAATTTTCCTGTCCCTTGCTTCCCCCTCCCTCCCCCACACAAACCAGGACCATGACACATGTGGGGGGGGCGATGAGGGGAGCAGGCGCGGACCAGTTGGCATGTCTGGTGCGCAGCATAGTGCGAGTGAGGGCATCTCCTTCAGTGATACACCTTGTACCCGCTATAGGCCTCCGCCTCGACCACGAGGTACTGTTCTGGACTGGTCTGGACCTGGCATAACAAAGTTTTCTGCAAGGTTTTGCCAGCTACTTTGCTGCGGCTGTGCAGTTCGTTTCGGCGTCGGCCTTTGTTCGTTTCGACGTCGGCCTTTGTTCGTTTCGGTCAAGGCTAAGGGCTTTAGATGTCACCTCCAACCAACCCGGTCTCCTTCCGTCCGTCCCTTTTCTACATACCACAGCTCATTCGTCGCGGCTCTGCCTTTGACTTTGTCCATCGCTCTCACGTCATGCGGCTCAAGGCCTTTGCTCCGCTGCATGTGCCTCACCCCCTGCCCCTCTTACTTCCTCTTCCTTCCCATTCCAACGATCCACAGCTGATTCGTCGTGGCTCCGCCTTTGACTTCGCCCCTTGCTCCCAGCGTTTGCCCCGCTGCGCCTGTCAACCCTCGCCCCGTTCTCCTTGCCTGTAGAGAGGGTGTTTTTTAGACGTCTCAAAAGCCCCCCCCCCCCCCCAACATTCCACCCCTCAGCTCATCCGTCGTGGCTCCGCGTTTGACTTTGCCCATCGCTCCCACGCCATGAGGCTCGAGGGCCTTGCTCCGCTGCACCTCTCACCCCCCTCTGCCTCCTTCCCTTCCTACCCTGTTCAATCCCCTGCAGCTCATCCGTCGCGGCTCCGCCTTTGATTTCGCCCATCGCTCGCACGCCATGAGGCTCGAGGCCTTTGCTCTGCTGCGCCTCTCATCTCACCCCCTCCCCATCCCCCCTCCTCCCCCATCCAATTCTCCCACAGCTGATCCGTCGAGGCTCCGCGTTTGACTTCGCCCATCGCTCCCACGCCATGCGGCTCGAGGCCTTTGCTCCCCTGCGCCTGCCCAGGCAGCATGCAGTGAGCGACGCGCAGCCGCTGCCCTCTCTGGCCGGGCTGCATGTGGTGGAGGTCACAGCTGCTGCTGCTGCTGCTGAGACCTACACGGAGACTGCTGCTGCTCTCAACTCATTTGCCGAAACAATTGCCCCGTGAGTTGAATCTTACTTTGACTGCTTCTGGTACCACATTTGCCTGATAGGAGACTCCCAGCTGCTGCCCTCTCTGGCCGGGCTGCATGTGGTGGAGGTCACAGCTGCTGCTGCTACATGCGTTTTCCCAAACCAACCCCCCTGCTCTGCCCTCTCCCCCGTGCTATTCCCCTCAGGGTGCCTCAGTTACCTCAGTATGTTGCCTGCTGCTGCGTCAACTAAGTATTTCCATCCCACCAAGTGTCAACCCACCCCCCATGCGCCCACCATTTTCCCCCCTGCTCCCCCTTGGTATACCCCAGTTTGGTTCGTCTATCAAAGCCCACCATTTCTGCTGGCCTGCCACCCCATTCCCCATGCCCCTTCACTTTTCCCTAATTTCCCCCCTGCTCCCCCTTGGTATACCCCAGTTTGGTTCGTCTATCAAAGCCCACCATCTCTGCCGGTCTCTCGCCTGCTGCTGCTTCAACTGCCGCTGCTGTTTGCCCCGCCTAGATTTGTGCTGGAGGAGTGTACATGTTGCAAGATGCAATAATAAAAAGTTGCCTGCAATTTGTGTTGCTCCCATTTTCCCAGAATGTGCAAGCAGAATGCTCAACCAGCAGAGGTGCGAGATAAAAAAATGCAAACCTAAAAGTATTTTACTCTCCACTGTGTGTCTCACTACAGCGTAGCAGACATATATGGTTTGACATATCCCCCATGGCATTAAGTTACAAGCACATCACCATAATTTCTGGTTGTAACTTATGGGTGTATGATGTGGATATATGGGCTTTATAACTCTACAAAGATTACCGTACAAGCTGTAAGGATGATCTCATCATACCATTATTTCAAGAAAAAGGTTATCCCAACAAAACAAAACCTACAAAATTCAGGGGGGAAAAAACTCAGCATTTAATGCTTTGTAGCCATTTCATTAGTTACAAATAATAGTCACCCTGCTTGGAAGTTGCTTTCAAATCCTTAAGCTTGCGCAGGATTTGAGTGTAGTACTCCTGCAGGTACTGCTCGAGAGTGGTGGTGTCCTTGGGATCCAGCCCTAACAGCTTGTACGTCTCCGTCATGGGCGCTGAGAACACTGCGTTGCTCGTCAACACCTGAAGGCAAGAGGAGGAAAGGGAGAAGGAGAGATAGGGTTTGATGATGGTCCGCGGGGTGTGCAGGCATGAGGAGGGCAACAATGAAAAGTAATGTTTCTTTCGAGGAGGATATTGCAGTAAGGTGCTTGCTTTGTCAACCATTAACAATGCCATTGAGTAATCACTGTGATTGCTTAGAAGCGACAGGTCGTCTCCCTCATCACTCATAACCCACTGAATGCCAGATTGCCTGCCATGTCAGCTTACCTCACTGAATGCCAGCCTGTCAGCCACGTCAGACGTCCACTGGAAAAACTGCATGATCTTGCGGGTCAGCTTCAGCACCCCCACTGGCACTGTTGTCACCTTGGCGTCCTGCCCTGCCAGGCGCTCACACAGAGCAATCACCTGGAAGGATCAAGTGCGCGCATGGGATGAAGAGGGGCAAGGTGCATTAGCTTTACAGGCGTGGTCATGCGAGCCATGACCTGAGTGTCCATGAACACGCTCCATCTTCTCTGGCCATGTAGTGACTTTCGAGTCGACTGAAAAGTCATCTCATGAACACGCTCTATCTTCTCTACCTTGCATGGCTGCATGAACACGCTCTATCTTCTCTGGCCACCTGCTGACCTAGAAATGCAGTAACACCATTCGCCTTTCACACTAAGTGAACCCTTGGCTGGTGTACACCAGTTTGAGCATCGTAAGAGACTTTAAAGGCGCCTCATTAGTCCTTTCCCACCTGCTGACGCCTTGGCTGACCTAGGCCATTTTGGGAACCCTAAGAATAAGCTGGCCTGGGCTCACCTCCTGTGTGGTCCATGCCCGGGGTCCGGCGAGGGTAATAGTCTTGCGGTAGGTCTTCTCGTTCCTGAGAGCAGCCATGGTCATGCGAGCCACGTCCTGTGAGTCGATGTAGGCAATGCGGGTGGTGGCGTCTGTGCCCCACACGGATTGCTCCTCGAGAATCGGCACCGCATATTGGCCAATCAATGCCTGCACCGAAACAGCGACACATGGAGGGACGGAGACAGTTAAGTCCAAGAATGTGATGCGCGTGGTGGTGTCTGTTCCCCCCGCGGACTGCTCCTCCAGAACTGGCGCCATATATCAGCCAATCAACGCCTGCATGGACGTTGATTCACCCGGAGGGAGGGTTGGGGGAAGTGTTGGGGGGTTTGATGCATTAGAGCCAATGTAAGTGATGCGCGTCATGGCGTCTGCATGGCTGCGTTACAGGAGCCTGGTTTACCAACAGAAGGGCGCTAAACATTAAGCTAAATCTTTCGGGAACTCGCGCGAAGCAAGCGTGAATACAGGCTGCGTTTCGTTCCCGCATGGCATGGCTGCGTTAAGAGGATTTTGTTACTGAGAAAGAGGCGCCATTGAGTACGTTCATTGCTCCGGTTATAGAGCCATGTAACCGCGGATATACATCCAATTCGCACCTGCATGAAGCCGCAGAGGCGGATGGTTGTATAATTGAGCGTGCTCTGCTCCAGAAACTTCTCCGTGCAGCTCTTGATCTCCATCAGCGGCACCTCGCCGTCCCACCCACCCACCTACCGTTGCAAACATCCCTACATGCTAGCTTCAACAGCTGCGTTTCGCACCTGCATGAAGCCGCAGAGGCGGATGGTAGTATAATTGGGCGTGCTCTGTTCGAGAAACTTCTCCGTGCAGCTCTTGATCTCCATGAGCGGCACCTCGGGGTGCTGCTCCGACTCGTGGATGGAGAAGAAGAGGTACCGCTGCACGCCCATGGCCTCTCACGATGGCCGTGGTGCAGCCGATGACGGTGTGCGCGCCCATCGCCTGCGCCGCCCCACCCATGCAAACAGCCCTACCTGCTTCAACAGCCGCGTTCGAACCCGCATGAACCTGCGTTTTCGTACCTGCATGAAGCCGCAGAGGCGGATGGTGGTGTAGTTGAGCGTGCTCTGCTCGAGGAACTTCTCCGTGCAGCTCTTGATCTCCATGAGTGGCACCTCGGGGTGCTGCTCCGACTCGTGGATGGAGAAGAAGAGGTACCGCTGCACGCCCATGGCCTGCGCCGCCTGAATCAGCGCCACCTTGCCGTCCCAGTCGACTGTACGAATTGGCTCCTCGGGACGGCCAGTCGCGCAGTCGATCACCGTGTGCACGCCCACGAGCGCCGCCGGGAGGGTCTCTGGGCGGGTGAGGTCGCCCTGGAGGGGGGAGAGAAGGGAGACAGGGAAAGTGGAGAACGGGATTGAGTTCATCGTGCGGATTCACCTCTCAATGGCCGTAGCGTGGTCGATGACAGTGTGCACGCCCAGGAGCGCTGCAGGGAGAGTCTCTGGCCTGGTGAGGTCGCCTTGGTGGGGGGAGAAGGGTGATGGACGAACAGGATTCCCATTGACAACATGAATGCTCACATCGATGACGTCAGAGGTCATATTGACGACATGAATGCTCACAGTGATGACGTTAGAGGTCACATTGACGACATTACAGGTCACATTCGGCATTAGAGCTCACACAAACGACAATATGTGAATAACACGGGGAGTCGCATTAACGTCAATAAAACTCGTATGGACAATAGTAAAACTTGTGACTGGAAAACAAAACTCACATCGACGACAGTAACGCTCCAGTCACGCAGCAAATCCGCAGGCTCTGGTCGAGGCCGCACGAGGCAGCAAACATAGAATCGACTCAAAGACAAATCTTTTAGTCGGTGATAGAACTCACATTGACGACAGTAGCACCCCAGTCACGGAGGAAGTCCGCGGGCTGTGGTCGAGGCCGCACGAGGCAGCGAACATCAAAACCGTCGTCCAGAAGCTTGCGAACGATCTGACGGCCCAGAGTCCCCGTCGCTCCCACTACAAGCACACTCGTTGTACGCACAGGCGTCCCTTGAAACGCGGTTACCGCCGCGGCAGAAGCGGCGGTTACTGGAGGAATGGCGGAGGCGGAAATGAAAACGACATTTGTACGGGGAACTGGCGCTGCGTTAAAACTGCGGGAGTCGCAGGAGAGAGAGACAGCCTGATTCACCAGGTCACGCGAAGCCAGGCTTCGCAGGGTCACATTCTTCGCAGAGCTTCGCAGCTCGCTTCCCAGCGACACGGATTTCAGCTGGCAGAACGAAGAGGCAGACATTGAGACGGCCATGGCGAAGAGTTCAAATCTGCGAAGGTGTACGGGCCTAGTCAAAAGAAATACGAACTATGGCCACAGGTAAAGACTTCTAGTATTGTGACATGCAAAATCTTCCTGCAGCCTATCGTTGTCTGGTCTTTATTTGAGGTAAGCGATGCAAGCAGATGTCAAATGGCTGGAATTGGGTGGGCGCTGGGCACTGGCCACGAATGAAAGACCTAATGCCGTTTAAAGCGAAATTAGTAGCCTTCGGGGGAGAATCCACGGGAAGGGAGCAAGTTTTAGCTAAGTTCTAGAATAACTGAATATTGTTACTTAATGCTGGAGATGGTGTGGAGTTTTCGAGGTTCGTGCTTGATCGGACGGCCACCATGTCACCGAGTTGGTTTTCGATTCTGTTCCACACCAACCCCGCGAAGGACAACTGGAAACACACCAAGCGAGGGATGGAGCTCTCAAGGTGACACGCAGTCCCGACCTACGTGGATAGTGTCAACGCTCGCCTAGTGCGATTGGGTATCAGAGGAGATTCTGACGTGGCGTTCGTGAATCCCTGAACCTCCACGCTCGCAAATGCATTACCAAAGGCCGTAACGCCCAACACGCGATTCGTTAGTCCCCATTACAGAATCTCCAAGAATTCTCGATACAGACAGCCCAAGCAGCAGAAATGCATATGCCTTGTATGACGTGTAGTGACCTTTAACAATGAGGCATGACTTCAGACTAATCTTCTGCACCAGATCCTGTTAAACCTATGACTAGTTGGACATGAGACTCAGAAGTTGCCAGGCGTCTCACAAACTAGCTTGCGGTTAAATCGCACACATATCGTTTGTTGGTGGAGTTGATGAGGAAAGGACAGTTACATCTGTTTTGAGTATAGTAAGAAATGATGAGGAGGCAAGACAGCTACAGTACCATACATCTTAAATGAAAAAGCTGGCAAACAAGCAGCATAACTAGGGGAATACGGTGATTTTTTAGTCGACTCAAGAAGAGCTACTTCGGCTTGAATCAACTTTGTTTGTGACATAGCAGCATCCCTAAGTGCATGGGGGAGCCTGAGGGTCCACTAGTGGAGAGGAGGAGGCGGAGGAGGCGGAGGAAGGGGAAGGAGACAGAGAAGAGGAGGAGCGAGAAGGGAAGCGAATGGGGCAGGTGGCAAGGCAGGGAGTGAGAAGCACAGGATCGGTGTCTCTTGGGGGGGCATGCACTCCGAATTTGAACTGGTGGTAGGGGAGAAAAGAGGGGAGGGTGGGGAGAAAAATGAAGGACATGGGGTGAGAGAAAAATGCTTCGAAGCAAGGCAGGGAGTGAGGAGCACAGGGTTGGTGTTCCGACGGGGGACATGCACGCCAAACTTGAATTGATGAGCAAGGAGGAGGGGGGAACGGGAAGGGGGAGGCATGAGCAGCGGCATGCCCACGCTTGCTTAGCCAACCAAAGCACTTACTCAGCAACCTACAACCTGGTAACCCGCTCCTCCCACCAACCCAGGATCCCAATCACGAGATGACTTAAGACTCGACTCAAAAGTCAACCCGCTCCTCCCACCCACCCAGGATCCCAGTCACCACAGTCACCTGGCACCTGTTGTCCTCAAAGTTGGGCTCCACAAGCAGTGGCACCCCCATGTCACCTCAAACAGGTAAATCAGTTCCTAGTAACCCTGTAACCAGCTCTCCCTATCCACCCAGCCGGTACCCCAGGCAGTCACCTGGCAGCTGAAGTCCTCAAAGTTGGGCTCCACAAGCAGCGGCAACCCCATGTCCGCTGAACCATCTTAACCAGCCAAAGCACTCTACTATCAACCTGAAACCTGGTAACCAGTTCCTCTCACCAACCCAGTCACCACAGTCACCGCAGCCACCGCAGCCACTGCAGGCACCGCAGGCACCTGGCAGCTTAATTCCTCAAAGTTGGGCTCCATCAGCAGCGGCACCCCCATGACCACCTAGCCAGCTAAAACGTTCCACCCCCGTAACCGGTAACCCGGTAACCAGATCCTCCCTTCCACCTGATTTCCGCTGGCAGTCACCTGGCAGCTGAAGTCCTCAAAATTGGGCTCCATGAGCAGTGGAAACCCCATGTCTGCTGAACCAGCATAAGCAGCAGCACCTGACATCCTGGTAACCTGGTAACCGGAGTCACTCACCTCGCAGCTGAAGTCCTCGAAGTTGGGTTCCATGAGTAGAGGCACCCCCATGTCCTGAAACATGAACGCCTGTGTTGGGGGGAAGTAGGGGGAAAGGGGGCATAGGTGTGAGGGGAGAAGAAGGCGCATGAACAGCGCGAGTTGGGCTCCATCAGCAGCGGCACCCCCATGTCCTGAAACATAAACGCCTGTGTTGGGGGAAAGGGGGGGGGGGGGGGGGGGGGGGTAGTGGGGGTAATGGGGAGAAGGGTATGGGGGAGAAGATGGCGCATGAACAGTGTGTGTTGGGCTCCTTGAGCAGCGGCACCCCCATGTCCTGAAACATCAACGCCTGTGATGGGGGGAAAGGGGGGGGAGTGGGGCCAAGTGGGGGGGGGGGAGAAGGGGAGAGAAGGGGAGAGAAGGGGAGAGAATGGGGAACGGTGGAAAAAGGTGTAGGGGGGAGGAGGGGGCACAGTAGGTACTTACTGGGATCGATCCATAAGCAGTGGCATATGGTGAGGAGAGACAGCATAGGCATAGGTGCATGCACGGGTATGTGAACACACCCCTCCCCTGCCACAGCACGTGCACACGTATGTGCATACAGATACCTGCATTCACATGCCTGAGTGAGCTCCTTGCACACGTGAATGCAGCTGCCAGCACATTTCTTCTCATCCAGTGCGCATGTGCATGCCCGTGCATGCATGCGAACATGAATGCATGCATGCGTGCATGAATGCGTGCATGCGTACATGAATGCATGCATGCGTACATGAATGCATGCATGCGTACATGAATGCGTGCATGCGTACATGAATGCGTGCATGCGTACATGAATGCGTGCATGCGTACATGAATGCGTGCATGCGTGCATGAATGCGTGCATGCGTCCATGAATGCGTGCATGCGAACATGAATGCGTGCATGCGTACATGAATGCGTGCATGCGTACATGAATGCGTGCATGCGTACATGAATGCGTGCATGCGTACATGAATGCGTGCATGCGTACATGAATGCGTGCATGCGTACATGAATGCGTGCATGCGTACATGAATGCGTGCATGCGTACATGAATGCGTGCATGCGTACATGAATGCGTGCATGCATACATGAATGCATGCATGCGTACATGAATGCGTGCATGCGTACATGAATGCGTGCATGCGTACATGAATGCATGCATGCGTACATGAATGCATGCATGCGTACATGAATGCGTGCATGCGTACATGAATGCGTGCATGCGTACATGAATGCGTGCATGCGTACATGAATGCGTGCATGCGTACATGAATGCGTGCATGCGTACATGAATGCGTGCATGCGTACATGAATGCGTGCATGCGTACATGAATGCGTGCATGCGTACATGAATGCGTGCATGCGTACATGAATGCGTGCATGCGTACATGAATGCGTGCATGCGTACATGAATGCGTGCATGCGTACATGAATGCGTGCATGCGTACATGAATGCGTGCATGCGTACATGAATGCGTGCATGCGTACATGGATGCGTGCATGCGTACATGGATGCGTGCATGCGTACATGAATGCGTGCATGCGTACATGAATGCGTGCATGCGTACATGAATGCGTGCATGCGTACATGAATGCGTGCATGCGTACATGAATGCGTGCATGCGTACATGAATGCGTGCATGCGTACATGAATGCGTGCATGCGTACATGAATGCGTGCATGCGTACATGAATGCGTGCATGCGTACATGAATGCATGCATGCGACCATGAATGCGTGCATGCGTACATGAATGCACATACCTGCGTGGGCATCTTGCATGTGTGAATGCAGCTGCCCGCACACTTTGACTCGTCCAGGAACTTGCACTTCTCTATCTTCACCTGGTGGTGGGCGGAAGGAGAGGAGGCGGGAGGAACAGAAGAAAGAGCAACAGAGGGACGCTGAGCCCTCTTTGATTCAGAGGGATGCTGAGGGGGATGCGCACACTTTGATTCGTCCAGTGATTCGTCCAGGAACTTGCACTTCTCCACGTTCATTGAGGTCGTTTTTGAGGCGCCTCAAAAACGACCTCAATGCACAGGAACTTGCACTACTCCACGTTGCACCTGGTGGTGAGGGGGGAAGGTTCGAGCGACGGAGACACAGGAGAGTGGGCAACAGAACAGAGGGGCATGAGACGACAGGAAAGAGAGTCGCTGCCCAGGAATGTCCTTGGGACATCTTCCACTGAGCAGCAGCGCTTAGGATTAAGCTTAAGCAAGTAGGAAAAACAGTGTAAATCTAACACTGCCCAGGAACGTCAGGACAGGCAAGAGAGTCACTACCCAGGAACGTCAGGACAGGCAAGAGAGTCACTACCCAGGAACGTCAGGACAGGAAAGGGAGTCACTACCCAGGAACGTCAGGACAGGCAAGAGAGTCACTACCCAGGAACGTCAGGACAGGCAAGAGAGTCACTACCCAGGAACGTCAGGACAGGCAAGAGAGTCACTACCCAGGAACGTCAGGACAGGAAAGAGAGTCACTACCCAGGAACGTCAGGACAGGCAAGAGAGTCACTACCCAGGAATGTCCCTCCCACTAGCTCCATATGCACCATCCCCTCCCACTAGCTCCATATGCACCATCCCCTCCCACTAGCTCCATATGCACCATCCCCTCCCACTAGCTCCATATGCACCATCCCCTCCCACTAGCTCCATATGCACCATCCCCTCCTCTAGTCTGGACGTACAGTCTCAGCGACTCACCCCCGGGCGCTGCTTACGACCGTCCTCCATCTCTATTTCCACCACCTTGCTGGGCCCCATGAGCCACTGGCAGGCATGTGGGCATGCATACCACCCACGCAATAACCATACCCACCCACACAGGCACTCACCCCCGAGCGCTGCTTGCGGCCGTCCTCCATCTCTATCTCCACCACCTTGCTGGGCCCCATGAGCCACTGGCAGGCGAGGTGTGTCACCCACGCTGGGAGGGAGGGAGGGAGGGAGGGAGGGAGGGAGGGAGCACCGCAGCACAGATCTGAGGCCTGCACGTACTGTGATATGAACGATAGCTCACCTTTCTGTGCTTACTTCTTGAGCACAGAACGACATGCAGAGTATCAAGCACAGCACTTTTTTTTTAGGTGCCTACCACGGAGTATCGAGCACAGCAGTGAAAGAAAGGCAGGAATGACGGAACCGAGTATAACGTAACAAGTCGGCTCAACAGCACACCGCCCTTAACCACACAGCACCGCACACCGCCCTTACCACACAGCACCGCACACCGCCCTTACCACACAGCACCGCACACCGCCCTTACCACAGAGCACAGCACACCGCCCTTACCACAGAGCACCGCACACCGCCCTTACCACAGAGCACCGCACACCGCCCTTACCACACAGCACCGCACACCGCCCTTACCACAGAGCACCGCACACCGCCCTTACCTCAGAGCACCGCACACCGCCCTTACCACACAGCACCGCACACCGCCCTTACCACAGAGCACCGCACACCGCCCTTACCACAGAGCACCGCACACCGCCCTTACCACAGAGCACCGCACACCGCCCTTACCACAGAGCACCGCACACCGCCCTTACCACAGAGCACCGCACACCGCCCTTACCACAGAGCACCGCACACCGCCCTTACCACAGAGCACCGCACACCGCCCTTACCACAGAGCACCGCACACCGCCCTTACCACAGAGCACCGCACACCGCCCTTACCACAGAGCACCGCACACCGCCCTTACCACAGAGCACCGGACACCGCCCTTACCACACAGCACCGCACACCGCCCTTACCACACAGCACCGCACACCGCCCTTACCACACAGCACCGCACACCGCCCTTACCACACAGCACCGCACACCGCCCTTACCACACAGCACCGCACACCGCCCTTACCACAGAGTACCGCAGCGACTCGTCCACCCCACAACGGAGCAAAGAACCTCTTGAAGAGCGGCAGGAGGAAGGGCGGGAAGTGGGCTCGTAGAATCGTCACCTGATGGGCGACGGGAGAGGGGGATGGGAGGAAGAGAGGGAGTAAGTGAGAGAGGCAGAAAGAAGGGCGGGAGCGAAGAACCTCTTGAAGAGAGGCAGAAGGAAGGGCGGGAAGTGAGCTCGTAGAATGGTGACCTGATGGGCGGCAGGAGAGGGGGATGGGGGATAGAGAGCTTAAGAGAATATACATCATGCATGTGACTATAACGAGCAGCACACACAGCTCACTGCGTCCAAATTTCTCTTCCTGCCATCCGTGTGCATCAGCAGCAGCGTGTGTACGTGACTATAACATGTCATGCTCATACGATGCTCCTGGCATGTGGCATGCCATGTGGCGTGCCATGTGGCATGCCATGTGGCATGCCATGTGGCGTGCTCACGGCATGGCATGGAATGACTCACCGCGTCCTCCTCGCTCTTCTTGCGATCCGGATGCATCTGCAGCAACTTCCGCGCCTCCTCTATCATCCCATCATACCCCTCTTTCGGCGAGGTCCATCCCACCACCTGAACGGGCAATGAACAGCGGGATAGGGTAGGGGGATGGAAGTAGAAAGGGAGCATGCGCAGAGGGGATGCATCAGCAGCAGCCTGCGCGCCTCCTCTATCATCCCATCGTACCCCTCCTTGGGCGAGGTCCATCCCACCACCTGAAAACACCATGAACAGTGGGACAGGGGAATGGAGGCGTGTGCGCAGAGGGGATGTATCAGCAGCAGCCTCCTCGCATCCTCTATCGTCCCTCCTTTACAGCAGCAGCCTCCTTTACAGCCCTCCTTGAGAGAGGTCCATCCCACCACCCGGAAACACCGTGAACAGTGGGATAGAGGAATGGAAGATGGAGGAGTACGCGCAGAGGGTATGCATCTGCAGCAGCTTCCTCGCCTCCTCTATCATCCCATCGTACCCCTCCTTGAAAGAGCTCCACCCCATCGTACCCCTCCTGAGAGAAATTGGGGGATGGAAGTGGGACAGGGGAAGGGAGGTGGGATAGGGGGATGGAAGTGGGACAGGGGAAGGGAGGTGAGATAGGGGGATGGAAGTGGGACAGGGGAAGGGAGGAAGTGGGACGAACTGAAGGGCGAGGGAGACTCAGGTGAGGGCGAGGGCGAGGGCGAGGGCGAGGGCGAGGGCGAGGGCGAGGCATCAGCTGCAGCTTTCCGGCTCGCTCTCGCACACGCCAGTCTCAGTTCCTCACCTTCACATTTTGAGGACCCCATTTGACATCACACCTCACTCCTCTTGAAACAGAATCAGTTTCGAGATGGCTCAAAACACCGTGTTTCGAGAATCAGGTGACCTGAACGCACCAGATAGACCCGACTTGCTCTCACGAGCCTCCAGAAGAATTTAAAAAACATCCGGCTTGCTCTGGTCACACCTGTAACATCTTCCAGTGAGCAGCAGCGCTTAGGATTAAGCTTGAGTCACACGGTCACACCTGTAACTCAACTACCCACTTTCGCCCACTTACGCCACCTCCCCCCACCACTGCTCACATCCACAAGTTTCTGCCTGAAGTTCGCGAGCGCGAGCCGGCCGAACAGACCCGGATTGTACGGCGGACTTTCCGTTATTGCTCCAGCTGCTGTTTCGCCTGCTGCGCCACTCGCGCTGTTCACAACAAGGCTTCGTCTGGTCTTAGAGGATTGTGAATGAACGGGCTTTCCGGCGGAGAATGCAGCCAAAGTCGTCCGCGGCGATCCGAAGGCCGTCGCGACGACGACTCCCAGTCGTTGCCTCGTCGCACAGTAACCGGTCGTCGCTAGTGGCTTTCGCAAGTGCGAATCGCACAATGGGATCCACGATGGAGATCGCGACGGAATTGGAGGGCGATTGCTTGATACTATACTATTCGCTGCGGACGGACGGCTTGCGACATGAGACGCCATGACGAATGCAGCGACAACTGGCTGAGACAGGAGCACCAACGGCAATAGGAGAAGATGCACTGCTGATGGAGACTGTTTCGAAACGTACGGCGCGTTTCGAAACCGAGAGGCGAAAATAGAGCGGTCAGTTCGCTGCAAGAAATAGCATAACCCAGTCAATGCCAGAGAGAAAACCACCAGTTAGCCGCGCGCAAAAATTCTTCCCTCTCCCAGCCACATGTTCAGGTAGGGGCTGACCGAATCAAAAAGGGATAGCCTTTGCTGCTGCGCGGCCCAGGCTCTCTAGGGTGGAGCGCGACGCGGATTATCGGCCTAGGGATGATCAAAACGCATTCAAACAGACGATCTCCGACGGGGTCCGCGCGTCATGTAACAGCGATGCTCTTGCGACGTCATCTAATTTCCGAGCTGAAACCAGGCTCCAGCTGCCGGTTTGTGACGTGTCGCATTTTGTATTGGATGCCGCAGCCAATGATACACCCTGCGCCACCTGTCCATGAGCAACAAACTCGGAAGAAACTGACGGCCGGAAAGTTGACCGTCAGTCTTTGTTCCCATTCACTTGTTCAAACTTCCTACGCTGCACAGTTTCAAAAGGTAGTATGTCGGGATGATTGTCGCCCGATCACAAGCTGGGTATTTGAAACGTTGCAGAACACGGCCTCCCCACGTTCAGACACCAAAGGTGTTACGTCACCAGTTTGAAGTTTCTGGTCACATGCAAGCACCGTCCTCAACTTGCTGTATCCGTTATGGGGTATCGGTGCTTCAAATGCGTTCTCCAGATAGCGTCTTGTATATCATACAATCTTAGTTGGAAACCAACCACTTCGATTAGTTCATGATGGCTTAGAGAGGTCACACAATGTCTTCAATGTCCAACAAGCCACCACCATTCGATCCTCCACAAACCTTTCTTTCCTCCTTCCCAATCCCATTACCAGTACTAGTACCACAAGTCTTGTTCAACAAAACCTGTTGGACCCCCAGAACCTTGCTTCTTACCCCTCCTGCGACGCCTTCTAAATTTGACTCTCCTAAATTCCCACCCTTCAGGGCTTTGACTGCCAACTGGCCGCATGCCCCTGCAATGTCATTCCCTTTCTCACGCCTGATGGTGGTCCGTAACCCGTAACCCTCTCGTAACACCTTCTGAAACGCCTCAGCAGCCTCGGGAGTGGATGGCCGATAATCAGCTACCACCTCTGTGTGATTGTATGGAATGAGATTCACCACCTGGAAGAACAAAAGTACAGGATTACCATGGTTTATACACGCAGTGACATAAGGTCAAAGCTTCGGACGCTTGCAGAACTGTCAAGTAACAACAGCAGCTTAAGGCTGAAACTGAGACATGCACTGAGTGATAAAAATGTGAGGCAGTTTTTACCACGTTGCGTGATTGCAGAAGCAGCCCAAGCTCATGTGCCACAGTGACGCTGTCATTCACCCCTCCTAACAGGATGTACTCGAAAAAGACTCGCCTGCCACTGCACACACATGGAAAGGGAAGGTTACACTGTGGACATATCATCTGGATCACATACAGTAAAAAAAAAAGAGGGAGGGGGGGTGAGTGTTTTCGGGCCTGTCCTAACAGAATGTACTCGATATAGACTCGCCTGCCACAGCACATAACGTGCATACCTTCCCTCATCTACATGCGGGATCACTGTATCGTACCTGTCCTTTTGGTAATCGTCCACTGCTTGCATGAGCTTTTCTAGGGGGTAGGCTCGAGCCGACGGGACGATGGAGACGCGCAGAGGTTGTGAGGGGGCGTGGAGGGAGAGAGCGAGGTTGACTGAGGGGAAGGCGGAGGCGAAGGAACGGATATGCGGCACCACACCCACCTGATGGGTGGAGGGGAGGGTGTGGGGAGCGCAGGGAGTGTGGGACAAGGAGGTAGCGTGGGAAGGGGAAGGAGCGTGGGAAGGGGAAGGAGGGTGGGAAGGGGAAGGAGGGTGGGAAGGGGAAGGAGGGTGGGAAGGGGAAGGAGGGTGGGAAGGGGAAGGAGGGTGGGAAGGGGAAGGAGGGTGGGAAGGGGAAGGAGGGTGGGAAGGGGAAGGAGGGTGGGAAGGGGAAGGAGCGTGGGAAGGGGAAGGAGGGTGGGAAGGGGAAAGAGCGTGGGAAGGGGAAGAAGTGTGGACCAAGCAAAGCATGGCAGAGACAAATTGCAAAAGGACCAACTGTGCAGTGCAAAGCAAGTGATGGGACGTACGGTCGAGATGGTGATGTGGCTGGGCGACATGTGGAAGCCGTGAGACTAGACATGGATACTGTGAGCACCTGTGGTACATACATACATCTGGCACATATGTTCATGCAAGGCATGGGACTTACTGTGGAGACAGGCGATCTTCAGGCATAATTCTCAGTAATGAAGCTAGGCTTAAAGCAAAAGAACAAACAGCTAGTATTGTACTCGCTGTGTGGTACATACATCTGGCACATATGTTCATGCAAGGCATGGGACTTACGGTGGAGACAGTGATGTGGTTGGGCGACATGTGAAAGCCATGAGGAGCCACCATGAGCTCTACTGCTGCCTTCACTGCCGCATGGTTGTTGAGCGGCTCTCCCATGCCCTGGCAGGAGTGAAGGAAGAAGGGGAAGGGAGGTGCAGCTAAATCAGAGACGCACAGCCGAGTGTACATGAGTGCACGTGTTTTTGAGCTGCCTCAGAGAAAGCACCATGAAGCCAACACGCATGCAGGCATGCACCACACAGGAAAGCAACGTGCATGCACGGAAGTTCCATGTTCTTTTTGAGAATTCTCAAGTTCCATGTTATTTTTGAAAATTCTCAAAAACCAGCATTGCAAACACACCACGCCAAGTCAACGGCATTCCATGAAGGCAAAAAGTTGATTCTTGAGTGAGGCGTCTCAAAAAACAACGTTCATGCACGAACGCGCCATGTTCATGCACGAACGCGCCATGTTCATGCACGAACGCGCCATGTTCATGCACGAACGCGCCATGTTCATGCACGAACGCGCCATGTTCATGCACGAACGCGCCATGTTCATGCACGAACGCGCCATGTTCATGCACGAACGCGCCATGTTCATGCACGAACGCGCCATGTTCATGCACGAACGCGCCATGTTCATGCACGGACGCGCCATGTTCATGCACGGACGCGCCATGTTCATGCACGAACGCGCCATGTTCATGCACGAACGCGCCATGTTCATGCACGAACGCGCCATGTTCATGCACGAACGCGCCATGTTCATGCACGGACGCGCCATGTTCATGCACGAACGCGCCATGTTCATGCACGAACGCGCCATGTTCATGCACGAACGCGCCATGTTCATGCACGAACGCGCCATGTTCATGCACGAACGCGCCATGTTCATGCACGAACGCGCCATGTTCATGCACGAACGCGCCATGTTCATGCACGAACGCGCCATGTTCATGCACGAACGCGCCATGTTCATGCACGAACGCGCCATGTTCATGCACGAACGCGCCATGTTCATGCACGAACGCGCCATGTTCATGCACGAACGCGCCATGTTCATGCACGGACGCGCCATGTTCATGCACGGACGCGCCATGTTCATGCACGAACGCGCCATGTTCATGCACGAACGCGCCATGTTCATACACGAACGCGCCATGTTCATGCACGGACGCGCCATGTTCATGCACGAACGCGCCATGTTCATGCACGAACGCGCCATGTTCATGCACGAACGCGCCATGTTCATGCACGAACGCGCCATGTTCATGCACGAACGCGCCATGTTCATGCACGAACGCGCCATGTTCATGCACGAACGCGCCATGTTCATGCACGAACGCGCCATGTTCATGCACGGACGCGCCATGTTCATGCACGAACGCGCCATGTTCATGCACGGACGCGCCATGTTCATGCACGAACGCGCCATGTTCATGCACGAACGCGCCATGTTCATACACGAACGCGCCATGTTCATGCACGGACGCGCCATGTTCATGCACGAACGCGCCATGTTCATGCACGAACGCGCCATGTTCATGCACGAACGCGCCATGTTCATGCACGAACGCGCCATGTTCATGCACGAACGCGCCATGTTCATGCACGAACGCGCCATGTTCATGCACGAACGCGCCATGTTCATGCACGAACGCGCCATGTTCATGCACGGACGCGCCATGTTCATGCACGAACGCGCCATGTTCATGCACGAACGCGCCAGGTTCATGCACGAACGCGCCATGTTCATGCACGAACGCGCCATGTTCATGCACGAACGCGCCATGTTCATGCACGAACGCGCCATGTTCATGCACGAACGCGCCATGTTCATGCACGAACGCGCCAGGTTCATGCACCGCGCCATGTTCATGCACGAACGCGCCATGTTCATGCACGAACACGCCATGTTCATGCACGAACGCGCCATGTTCATGCACGAACACGCCATGTTCATGCACGAACGCGCCATGTTCATGCACGAACGCGCCATGTTCATGCACGAACGCGCCATGTTCATGCATTGCAAACACACAGAGCTCAAGCCAGTGGCATACCATGAAGACAACATTCCGGATGGGAGCTCGTTGGGAGGCCAGCAGTAGCTGCTCGGCGATCTCCCCGGCTGTGAGGCTGGTGGGGAGAGACATGGTGAAGCAAGCAAGCATGCATGCACACGCACACAAGGCATACCATGAAGACGACGTTTCGGATGGGGACTCTTTGCGACGCCAGCAGTAGCTGCTCGGCGATCTCCCCGGCTGTGAGGCTGGTGGGGCGAGACATGGTGCCCGTGGCACAGAAAGAACAGCCCATGGCACACCCCACCTGCGATCATGCATGCATGGTTCGATGGAGAGATATATGAAGACCCATGCAGGAATGAGACATGGTGCCCGTGGCACAGAAGGAGCAGCCCATGGCACACCCCACCTGCGATCATGCATGCATGGTTGGATGGAAAGATATATAAAGTCCCATGCAGGAATGAGACATGGTGCCCGTGGCACAGAAGGAACAGCCCATGGCACAGCCCACCTGCGATCATGCATGCATGGTTGGATGGAAAGATATATAAAGTCCCATGCAGGAATGAGACATGGTGCCCGTGGCACAGAAGGAACAGCCCATGGCACAGCCCACCTGCGATCATGCATGCATGGTTGGATGGAAAGATATATAAAGTCCCATGCAGGAATGAGACATGGTGCCCGTGGCACAGAAGGAACAGCCCATGGCACAGCCCACCTGCGATCATGCATGCATGGTTGGATGGAAAGATATATAAAGTCCCATGCAGGAATGAGACATGGTGCCCGTGGCACAGAAGGAACAGCCCATGGCACAGCCCACCTGCGATCATGCATGCATGGTTGGATGGAAAGATATATAAAGTCCCATGCAGGAATGAGACATGGTGCCCGTGGCACAGAAGGAACAGCCCATGGCACAGCCCACCTGCGATCATGCATGCATGGTTGGATGGAAAGATATATAAAGTCCCATGCAGGAATAAGACATGGTGCCCGTGGCACAGAAGGAACAGCCCATGGCACAGCCCACCTGCGATCATGCATGCATGGTTGGATGGAAAGATATATAAAGACCCATGCAGGAATGAGACATGGTGCCCGTGGCACAGAAGGAACAGCCCATGGCACAGCCCACCTGCGATCATGCATGCATGGTTGGATGGAAAGATATATAAAGTCCCATGCAGGAATGAGACATGGTGCCCGTGGCACAGAAGGAACAGCCCATGGCACAGCCCACCTGCGATCATGCATGCATGGTTGGATGGAAAGATATATAAAAACCCATGCAGGAATGAGACATGGTGCCCGTGGCACAGAAGGAACAGCCCATGGCACAGCCCACCTGCGATCATGCATGCATGGTTGGATGGAAAGATATATAAAGTCCCATGCAGGAATGAGACATGGTGCCCGTGGCACAGAAGGAACAGCCCATGGCACAGCCCACCTGCAGTCATACACGCATGCACGGGTGGATGGGAGATACATGGGTTCAGATTAAAGACTTCTCAGAGGAAAATCTCGTAAAACTAAGATTTTTCAGGATTCAATCCAGTATGACTGCTGCCGAGCTGTCCCACATCCAGTGTGCATGTTCCCTCATCCTGAAATAGGGAACATACATGGCCTACCTGAGAAGACACACACAGCGTGGCTCTCTCTCCCCCAGGTCGTTGTCCCCCATTGTAGCGTCCCTCTGACGCATCGTAACGCATAATCACCGCTTCTACAGTCAACCCGTCCTGTAGCTTTATCAGAAGTTTTATCGTCTCGCCATCCTGTGAGGTTTTCTCCTCCACGACTTCGGACGTGCTGGCGACAAACGAATCTTGCAGTAGCGAGTACAGAGGCTGCGGCAGCTTCGGAATGTCGGTCCAAGACCCCAAGCCACGTGTTCTAATGACATGGCTGGATAAGGAATCGGGATAAGACAGATGGACAGATGTGGAAACGAGGTACTCATAAGCGAGTATAAAGACTGGGGTTCGGAATGTCAGTATACATACTCAGGTCCGTTTGATTTTACTACATGACTGGGTACGGGCGAACGGGAAGACCAAGAACCGAACGCAAGCAGCGACTCCTACAAACCGTGCTGCTACAGCAGGCCGCCTCTGCAGCGATGCTACTCGTAGACAACTTGTTAATTAAGCTGTCACAGCCATTCCATTGTTCCAAGCTGACCTGATGATTGTCCGGCTGTGCGACTCTTTCAGCCCGTGCCGCTGCAGCAGTGCCGCGAGTGACACTTCGTCGAGCGCCGGTAACGGAGCGAGCACGCGACGAGCTACCATGATCCGCAAAATAAAATCAAGAAATCGCGCTAACGCTAGTAGCGACGGCAGCGGGTTAGCGACGTCGAAAAACGAAGAATTCGCAATCGGACGGCGCTGAACTGCCACAGATTGACGGAACGTACTGCCGAAGAAACCTGGTGTAACAACTACAGGGAGGCTACCACGGAATTTTTAGGGCAATTACTCGGGAATGGACACACCAGTGCGGCTTGGTTTCACAACGTGAACCGAATGTGCTGGTGTGGGAGAAAATCGAAGTTGCTCAGGTCAACTTCGTGCTGAAGAAACAGAAAGAGCGGGTTTATCAGAGAGCCGTGAGTGTCGCGAAATGAGCAGTGTAAGGAATTTTCCGGATTCCTTACTGGGTCACACTGCAGGCGTACAACCCCGGTTTTCGGAAAACCAGGCTCGGTCCGCCGACCTCGCCTTCCGAGCCACCACCGCGTCGCCTTCGGGTTTTCCAACCCCGAACCTGCACCCAACCATCACCGCGACCCTGCGACCTCGGCCTAGCCAACCCCGCTATATTAGTCCTAGGCCTCGTTGTGTGCTCAGTTGTTGTAATCACTTCAGCTTTATTGAGTTATGCGCACTCTCTTCTTTCACAACTTATAACATTTGGTATCAGAGCTACTTTCCTAGGTTACCCTCGCGTTTCCGGGGTAGTTTGTAGAAGGGGGAGCGATAGACTTGGTGGGCTGTTAAGCGGTCGGCCCGTGGAATAGATCCGATTATTCCACTCCGACTACGATAGCATTAACGCCTTCACCGAAGTCAGAAAAATCGCTAGCCACCCCCTGCCCGTTAGACGAAGCCTGCGACACATGGACCAGGCGGAGTTCAACGAGTTCATGCAACAGTTCCGGACGATGCAGGCCGACATGCAGACTATGTCTGCAGAAGTGGAGCGTCTTCGGAAGGAAAACGCCGAACTACACCAGGCGCGTGGTGAAGCGCGCCAGGAGTCGCCTGTCGTGGACGACGCAAGTAGCAGCACTGCACCAGATGAGCGGGTCTGGAGCGAGCTGGAAGGCGAGATGGATGCGGACGAGGCGAGGTAGGCGCAGCAGCAACAGTCACCGCAACAGTAATCGCGCGCAGCACCGACACGTGCAGCAGCGACAACAACGGCGACGCCAGCAGCGATGCCAACGGCCCCGATGGCAGCAACGGCTTTCGTGAAAATCAAGCCGACAAACCCGCCCCCGTTCAACCCGAGCGACAAGTTCGTCACTGTTTCTGCATGGTTGTTCGGCGTGGAGGTGTTTTTTAATGCTGCCATGATTTATGACGATGCCACCCGCATTAATTTCGCAGTTTCACTGTTGCGAGGACCTGCGCTGGAGTGGTGGAGGCGAACGCTGCAGCACGAAGGGACTTCGGCAGGAATAGCACGTGCGAACGACGGGACTTCGACACCTGTCACGCATCAGGCAACATCAATTTTCGGGACGGCCACGATACGCACATGGAAGGAGTGGGGCGCCGCCTTGCGAACCAGATTCGAGCACATATCCGCCTCGGATTCTGCTCGCATGCAGCTGCGTACCTGGAAGCAGCTGGCTTCGGTCCAAGACTACACCAGCAAATTCTGCAACTTGGCGGACCAAGTGGACGACATGAGCGATGCGGAGCGGTTGGATCGCTACGTGGCGGGCCTGAAATACGAGATACAGTACGAGGTCCGACGAACCCGGCCACGCAGCTTCAACGACGCCGTCCGGGAAGCCGAGTCAACGGATGCGCTGATGCAGTGGGCGAGATCGAGCTCCCGGGAGGGCCCTCGATTTCGTGGATCGACTCAGCAGCCCACGATCAACGGCGTGGATGCACCAAGCCGAGCCCTTGGGCCGTGCTTTCAATGCAACCAGCTGGGCCACCTGAAAAAAGACTGCCCGAGGCTTAAGCAGGGGAAGAAGAACGACGGAGAAGGGTCGGGAAAAGATGTGAGTCAGTAGCAGAAGGGCCACCTACTGACGAGACCCTGTCGCCCGACAATCACCATCCACACCGGGTCGTGGTACCGATCAGAGCTATCGACCAGAACCGGACGAATAACGTGGGTGAACACGTGGACTACCCTGTGCTGGTGGTGGGGAGGGTTAACGGTTATAAAATAAAAATATTCGTTGACGGTGGGGCGAGCCACAGTCTCGTCAACCTGGCAACGGCCAAAAAAATAGGGGTGAAGCTGACAAGGTGTCTGCCGGAGATTGATGCAAGGCTGGTGGACGGGACACCACTAGCCATCCGAGATGAAGCGCGAAAAATTCGGATACAGTGCGGCGACAAATTCGGGTTTGGCATGAGAATGTTGGGGACGACGTTGGATGGCTGCGATGTACTGCTGGGAGGGATTGGCTACAGCGCTTCAATCCGACGATCGACTGGACGACTGGGGCGTGCGTCGTGCGAGGATACGGAGGGAAGACGACGCTTCCGAAATGGACGGAGCCGGAGCCGGTGACGACACGTGTCAACGCGGTCAACATGCAGCGTGCGATGAACAGCGGAGCTCAGACCTTCTTGGTGCACCTGTACGAGGTGGCAGCTTCCGAGAAAATCGCGGACATCGACACCCTCTGCGCGGCAGTCCCCGAGGAATTGGCGGGCATCATTCGGAAGTATCCCGAAATTTTCGCGGATGACCTCCCGGATGGCTTGCCCCCCCAACGACCTGAGGATCATCGGATCCAGCTGGAGCCAGGAGCGCAACCTACTGTTCGGACACAGTGGCGGCTCAGCCAACCAGAGCTCGCCGAGTTGCGGGCCCAGCTGGATTACCTGCTCGCCAAGGGATTCATCCGGCCAAGCACGTCGCCGTATGCAGCGCCGATACTGTTCACGCCGAAGAAGGACGGGGGCCTACGCATGTGCATTGATTATCGGGCGCTGAATCGGGTCACGATAAAATCGCGTTACCCGATCCCGCGAACCGACGATCTGCTGGATCAACTTCGCGGAGCTCGGTATTTTTCGAAAATCGACCTGCGAGGAGGCTACCACCAAATTCGCGTGTTCGCCGACGACTGCCCGAAGACAGCATTCCGCACACGTTACGGCAGTTACGAGTTCACAGTGATGCCGTTCGGTCTGACAAACGCGCCCTCGACGTTCCAGCTCACCATGAACGGGATTTTTCGGGACATGCTGGACAAGAAAGTCATCGTGTATCTGGACGACATCCTGGTGTACAGCGCAACAAAAGAGGACCATCTGCGGGATTTAGAGGAGGTGTTCCGGCGTTTACAGGGGCATCGGCTGATTACGAAGGGGTCTAAGTGCGAATTTCTGAAGCCGGAATTGGAGTTTTTGGGGCACGTGGTTTCCGGCGACGGGATAAAAATTGACCCGCGTAAGGTCGATGCCATCGTTAAGCGGACACCGCCTACTAATATCCCTGAGTTGCAAAGCTTTTTGGGGTTTGTTAACTACGTTCGTCGTTTTGTACCTAATATGGCAGGGATAACCAGGCCACTGACCGACCTGCTGCATCACGACAGTGATTTTCGGTGGGGGGAGAGGGAGCAGTCCGCCTTCGACGCCCTCAAAAACATTTTGAAGTCACCCCCGGTTCTCCGCCTCGCCGACCCATCTCGACCGTTCGAAGTCGTCACGGACGCCAGCGATTTCGCCGTCGGCGCCGTCCTGCTACAGGACTTCGGCCAAGGGCTGCAACCCATCGCCTACGAATCACGCAAGATGCAGCCACCCGAGCGCAACTACCCAGTCCACGACAAGGAGATGCTGGCCATCGTCCATGCATTCCGCGTCTGGCGCTGCTACCTTACGGGGGCCGACGTGACCATTCGGACCGACCACAAATCGCTACAGTACATGCGCACGCAACCGACACTCAACCCGCGACAAATCCGGTGGTTGGACTTCCTCGAGTCCAATTTTCGGTACACCATCACGTACAAAAAAGGCGCCAACAACATCGCCGACGCCCTCACCAGACCATCAATGCAAAACGCGGCGATACTAATCGCCCACACCAACCCGATGCTGACGGGACTATTCACCCACGGCTACAAGATCGACAGGTTTTTCCGAAACCCGCAACAACAGGCTGCTACACCGCACGGCAAGTACTACCTAAAAGCCGGTACGAACCGGATTTGGGTACCAGCATACCAGCCTTTACGGGAGCTGCTGACGCAGGAGGTTCACGACTCCAACCTTTCCGGACATTTCAGCATCGACAAAACACTGAAGCTGCTGCAGCGGAATTATTACTGGCCGGACATGCTCACCGATGTGCAGCGCTACGTGTCAACTTGCCCGACCTGCCAAGCAATGAAGTCGTCGCGACAAAGGCCAGCCGGACTACTGCAACCCCTGGCGCCACCCGAGCGACCGTGGCAACAAGTGACGATGGATTTCGTCACGGGGCTTCCAGCTGGCGTGAGTGGTAACGACTCGGTCATGGTCGTCGTTGATCGCCTCACGAAAATGGCGCATTTCGCACCATGCCGAACGACAATCACAGCCGAAGATACAGCAAAGCTCTTCATCTCCACCGTCGTACGCCTACACGGGTTACCTTCGGCGATCATCAGCGATCGAGATCCGAAATTTACGTCGAAGTTCTGGCAGGAGACGTGGGCACAGTACGGTACCCGCCTGCAGTTTTCGTCGTCATACCACCCGCAAACCGACGGACAGACAGAACGGACAAATCAGACCATGGAACAACTGATTCGCACTAACTGCCCGGATTTTCGCAAGTGGGAGGACTCTTTGCCGATGCTGGAATTCGCGTACAACAACGCCCCTTCGGCCACGACCAGACAATCACCCTTCTACTTGAATTACGGGATGGACCCGGTGGTACCCTCATCAACGACTCTGGAAAACCCGGTACCACGATCGCAGCAGTTTGTCACGGAGCTTCAGACGGCCCGCAAAAAGGCAGCTGATTTTATTCGTAAAGCTAATACCACGGCTAGCCACCAGGCGGACAAACATCGCCGGAATATGCCTTTCCGCGCAGGGCAGTTTGTACTTCTGGACACCAAGAATTTACGACTACCGCAGCCCGCAAAACTACGGCCTCGATACGTGGGCCCATTTCGGATCATCCACATGGTGTCACCTGTCACCGCGAAGCTGCTGCTGCCCGACACCTGGAAAATTCATGACGCTTTCCACGTCAGCCTACTGCGGCACTATGCGCCGCCGCAGTCGCCAGCTGTTGCCCAGCCCCCCATCGCACCGACCGATCGCCCCGTGGCCGAGCCCACGCTGGAACCTTGGAAGATTCTCAACCATCGCGTGGATGTCACTGCTGCCGGCCGCACAGTAAAAATCCTGCTTCGTTGGAAGGAGCGCACGAGCGAGGACGACACGTACGTCGCCGCGGATTCGCTATTGGGACATCCGGTTTTGGATGCTTATTTAGCCCGCCGTGGTGTCTCGGATATTCACCACCTTTCTTAAGGGGGGGGGTAGTGTAAGGAATTTTCCGGATTCCTTACTGGGTCACACTGTACGCGTACAACCCCGGTTTTCGGAAAACCAGGCTCGGTCCGCCGACCTCGCCTTCCGAGCCACCACCGCGTCGCCTTCGGGTTTTCCAACCCCGAACCTGCACCCAACCATCACCGCGACCCTGCGACCTCGGCCTAGCCAACCCCGCTATATTAGTCCTAGGCCTCGTTGTGTGCTCAGTTGTTGTAATCACTTCCGCTTTATTGAGTTCTGCGCACTCTCTTCTTTCACAACTTATAACAAGCAGCGTCACGAAGGCCATTGTGGATACATAGCGGGGCGAACTGGCGATAGGGTTACGCTTGTGCATTATGATTGAACAGATTACTGCCGAGTAAATATTACTATTCATGAATGCTGAAACAACAGCATAAATCTCTGGATGGTGAAGCAGATCAACAGTGCTTCTGGATTCCCAACATGAACTGCTATGTACAAGAATGCCCACAAAAGCAGGCTTTTCCACGAATCAGTGCTATCCCAGAACATGGTGTGGTGCTGTCTGCAGCATCCTCTTCAACACATCCATTCCGAAGGAGTCTGACATGCTGCTCAGGCAGAAAAAAGGATGTGCATACACAAATAACGACAAAAAATGGTGAGATAGGAGCCTGAATATAAAAAGATTTGAAGGTGACTGAGGTACTTGGGGACTACGAAGAACAGTCCTAATTTTACACACCTTGGGACGGAAATTTCAAAGGGGAAAGAGACGAGGGAGGAGGTGAGGACTGGAGGCAGATGGTCTCTTTTCTCATTGGCCATTGTGAGGATCGAAAGCAGCGCCTCCCTCACATCCGCCTCTAGTTGTGTACTGCGCTGCTGCTGCTGCTGCTGCTGCCCCTGCCCCTGCTGTTGGTGCTGCTGCCATGCGACTGACAGGCCAGTAGCAGGCCTAGATGGCGCAGAAGTGTTGGTGAATGCAGCATGAGAAGAAGTGGGGGAAAAAGAGTGTGATGGGGATGGTGAAGGGGATGGCAGTGTCCCACTGGTGGAGGGGGCAGTGGTGGTGGGAGCAGTGGTGTGTATTGCACTGGTGTGTGCAGGAGAGGAGGAGGAGGAGGAGGAGGAGGGGAGGAGGAGGAGGAGGGCTGACCAGAAGCACTGCTTGAAGGGGAGGTGAGGAGTGAGACAGGAATGATCCATTGTTCCCATGTGATCTTATCTGATCCTAGGCTCAATCGGGCGGCACTTGCACTCAACCATGACGCTGCTGCGTCCTTCCTTGTGCTACCACCACCACTGCTGCCACTGCTGCCACCACCGCTGCTGCTGGTTTTGCTGCTGCTTCCGGATTTTGTGCCAGCTGTGTTGCCACCGGATGACGTGGCTGATGAGATGGAGCTTGTGATTGGACGGTGCTTCTCAAAGAAAGAAAGGCAGATCTGGTAGAGCAGGGGGGGGGGGGGGGGGGGGGGGGGGAAGACAGGATAGAATGACGGAAGGATGGTACAGTAACAAGGCTATAATGAGATGGAAGTGAATGCATGCTGGGAAATCCTTCGCCAAACCGACTGTAATACTTCAACTTTCAAGATGCAGCAGTACCCACCTGTCCCTTCTTGGTGGAGTTCTTTTCAAGCCACAGACTAAACTGGCCAATCTTCTCCTCTATTTGTCTCTCCACCTCTGCATCCCCGCACTGCACCTGGAGAACGGAAGCAGCAGCGGCGGAAGAAAGAAGGCTGCAGGTCAGAATGGAGCAAAGGACAAATATCGAGTTTACAGCAGTATAACAAGGAGCAAATATCTATGGGTAAGGTACAGTTCTTGGACATACAAGTGTGATAATAAGTGAACAACAGAGATGGCAGAGAGAAGCTCACATAGGTGATATCGAAAAGCTCTGAGTCGATGCTCTTGGGTCGCACGAGACCCAGTGCCCGATGGAACATGATGGTGTGGAGCAGACCTGGGGGGATGGGATGGAGGCGGGCGTGGGAAGAAGCGGGAGGAGAAAGAGGAGACATCTGCTTTTGAGGCCCCTCAGGGAACAAGATTCTGTGAAGGAGACCTGGGGGGACGTTGCGAGGGTGGGATAAGGGAATTTGTTTTCGAGGCGCCACAGAACAGAGCGCTATGGAACATTATGGTGTGGAGGAGGCTGGGGAAAGGAATACACGGAGGACAGAGGAAGGAATAGGGAAGGCATGGAGACGAGTGAGGGAAGTGGAGATACAGATGAGAGGAGGAGAGGAAGGAGAGTAAAGAAGAGAAGAGAAGGTCTAGTAGTACTGGACAGTGCGAAGCAACTCACATCGTAAGACCTCGCGAATTTGATAATGCTCGAGCAGCTGTCAGGGAACAAGGTCCGTGCAAGTTCATCGGCCGTGGAGGGAGGGCACACGCACAGGCGCAGACAGACCCGAACACAACCACACGTCGAGAGAAATATTATCGGCACGGCAGTAACATTCTGGGCGACAGGTAAGAACGGAAGGCGAAGGCACGAAATGACGTAAAGAACTGTGTTCAATGCGTGCAATGCGAGAAAAACAAACTCTCCATAATTGTTTTCAACCTGAAAAGCATATTGCTACGGACCGCGCAGGTGTCAACTCGGCTTCTAAAATAACTCTTTCTAAAAGAGCTTCGGTGGTTCTTTATGAAGCAAGACACTCTGCCATCACCCACCAGCTCTTTCAGCTCAAACACTTCGCAGGTCATGACTCAGCTGGGAAAATATATAACGAGAACCGTTCCTCAATTCTGCAATGTTCGAATGCTTAATTCGAGAAGTCGATAAGCTTCTCTTTGGCTTTTCGCGGGTAAGGACGCGGCACCTGTTTTCATTTTGCCAGGATCGATCGTAGGACGGATCGATGTGCCGCTTATACAGTGCATTGGCGACATCGTCAATGCATGGTATCCGTTCTTCGCATGACTTCAAAAATGTACAGTACATGGGTAACCAAATTGGTGGCACCTGCAGCTCGCACGTTCGATGTGCCGCGGTGCACACATCGATCGTGCTTTTAGTTTGGCGGTAGAGCACATCGAGCCACAGGTGACAGCCGCGATCGATCGGCGTCGCCCACGGTCGCAGACAAAAAATTCTCGAGTCGTTGCGAATGAAATTGCTGGGCGACCAACCACGCTCTGCCCTGATTGGCTGCGCGTTGCAGTGTGTTGGTGTATTCAGCCTGCCCGATCCTGCAATTTCGATCCTGGCACCTATAGCTCGATGTGTCTACCCCACTGCAAATTTTCAGTGTGGGCACATCGGTGTGCCGATCGATGTGTCAGGATCGATGTGAGGCCCCGATCCTGGCAAAATGAAAACAGGTGCCGAGAGACGAGGAGACTGGCATCATGATGAGAATTCATGGCATTTCAGAGAAGCTAGAGGAAATGGTGGGTGAGAAAGAGTATGCGTTATAAACTTTGTTGGCGCTCGATATCATTAATCTGCACTCTATACAGTGTAAGAGTTTAATATGCTGCGGCTCTTTTGTAAGTGGCAGCGAGGCAACAGAACACTGGCACATCACAGTCGGCCAGCCACCCACGAGGCGCGCCATCCCAACACTTCAAGCGAGCCGCGGTTTAGCCGCGGTTTACCTTTATTCTCGCCCTGACCTGGGTAAAATTTCAGAATGACCACTGTGGGATCCCTCAAAAATTGATTGCACCTCCACAAGTTGCATGGCACAAATCTCGATAAGTTACGATTTTTGAACAAAGTAAACTGCCCTGTCAGGGTGACCACCAATTCACGGAAATTGGTCTCCCTTTCTGACAACCATTCCCGCCAATCGTACTTGTCCTCGGAAACCCCCCTAACGGTCACATCCTTGAGCTCCCCCATCACTACACAATCAGCCAGCGAGACGCTCGATGGGCTTGATCCCACTCTGCTGCGCTCTGGTTCATTCGTGGTCACTACCCATCCTAGTTCCTTCACCTTCCCTGAATAAGCTTTCCCGTCAAGAGCGTAGAGCCGTGGCACGTTTCCTTTGTGTCCAGCTAGCCCTCAGGGGTGCTTCCTTGACCCCTGTTGTCCTTTTCTCCTCTTTCTTTCGCTCCTTATATCCTCCAAACTGACGTCTTCAGCGAGTAAGGCTAGTTCCTAAGAGTCTGTTAGGCTCGTTCGTTAGCCTCATGATTTCGGTTGAACAAGCTGCCACATGCAAAGGACACCCAGGCATTAGAAACGAGGATGGTCCACTTCGCGATTGATAAATAACCCTCCGCGCGCTTTACGAGCATTACTGTATCGGATAATCGTCTTCACGACTCCGTAACGCTACGTGACGAGACGCCAGCCGTTTATCAAGTTTAATCTCACGCTTCTCTCGTTGCTGAAGCTTTTCTCCTCCGTGCCATCCACGAACCTCAAACCACAAGATCTGACGGCGTGTAATTGTCGCACCAGTGTGAGAGTATGGCCAACAGTGATCAAAACATGCGCGTCGCGGAAAAGTACGACGCGCAATAGCATAATGGGTTCGTCTATAGCTGATGCTGTTGCGACAGAAGTCGCAACGACAGCAGCATCAGGGTATTGTACATGCATGAACAATAGACAGAGATACAGAGAAAGCCGATCAATATGGCAGGCGCGGCGGACGAAACACGCACATACTTCATTCGCACCGCACGAACATCGACTACGTGCGCACCCGATGCTGAGTCCTCGGCTAGTATTACTAGCGGCCCTGTTTGTGTCCTTAATCTGTGCATGGCTTCCAAACGCGTCCGTACTACCGAGGGCAGAAGCCATTCAATTTTCGGGTAAAAATTATGCGCCGTGCGGCGTGTCGGGAAACTACTCCGTGGTGGGATTCAGAGGCGCGTTCACCCCTCTGCATCCGCGCGTTCAGCTCTCGGCGCTCGTGACGGTGTATGACGACTGTTACCTCGCTCTCTCCTCGCTCTCGTGAGTTCACTGCAACCGATCCACTTCCGCAGCCCTCCCACTCCTTTCCGCTCGTACGATAGTCTCTTCGCAAGCATCTCCCCGCAAAACTCCTTTACATAAGTTCCCTCCCGAACTCACTCTTCCACCTTCGTCCTTCCCCCATTCCCCTTCTCCTCCAGATTGAAATCAGCCAACGCCACGCCCTCTCTCTCCCTCTGGGGGGGAATAGCCGGCGACGATCCATTCTCCTACGCCTCCCCACTCGACCCCGCCCTCGCCTCCCTCACCCCTGCCTCCGCCTCCCCTCTCCTCGCCGTTCACATCGGCTCCCAAGGCCGCACATGGGATAATATACACGTTCTTTACCTCGTCACTACCACTCCCGCGGGGGTCTTACAGAAAATCCTGGCTCAGCTGCAGCTGCCCAGGCGCCTTACCCGTGGCGGGTCGGTAGGTACAAGCGGCAGTGGTGCTGGGGGGAAGGATGTGCTACCAGGAAGCGCAACGGAAGCTTCCGAGGGACTCAGGAAGCAGGTGCTGAAGTACGCAAAGGATAACCGGTTGCTGGCGCCGCCGCCGCCGGTTATGCCGCCGCCGCCCCCGCCGGTTCCGCCTCCCCCGCCGCCCGTGGCGTCCCCGGCGCTGGGGTTCGTGAACTGCGTAACTGCGAAGAAGGGCCGGCTGAATATGTAGGTCTGAGGGAGGGTTTGATTCGTTGGTTATTCTCTCTCTCGACTTTTGAGGCGCCTCAAAGTTCGTTCCTGTCGTTCGGGTTCGTGAACTGCGTCACTGCGAAGAGGGGCCGGCTGAACATGTAGGTCTATAGGAGGGTTGGAATAGTCGGTCAATGTCTCTCGCGGCTTCCCTCGTTAAATCCCAACCGGAAACTCACCTTTGCCATGCCTCTCTCACGTTGCTCCCCTCGGCGCTACCCCCCCACCCCACCCACCCCTCCTCCCCCGCAGCTACTGGCGCATGGTGGGTGACCCCATAAACGGCATGGCGGTGGGGAAGGCGTTGGGTTGAAGCCTGACCTTCGCATTGTCCCCCCTCCACACACTTTCTTTCCGCCCAACCCCCTTCCCCAGCTACTGGCGCATGGTGGGCGATCCCATAAACGGCATGGCGGTGGAGTTTGGGCTGGAGGGGAAGGTGCCTGACAACAGCTGGATGGCCCTGGGCCTGTCGGGTAACCAGTCGGAAGCGGACATGCACAGCAGCGACATAGCCGCTACAGGAATCTTCTCCTCTAGCACCACCAGCAGCAGCAGCAGCAGCAGCGGTAGCAGCAGCAGTGTTGCTAGCAGTAGCAGTTTTGGTAGTGGTATGAGCGCCAGTAATGGTGGGAGTGGGGCGGCGAATGCTTTTGCAACAGATTTCTACGTCACGGCGCTGGAGGCGTGTGAGCAGATCGCAGGAGGATACGTGGGCGTGTGTCCGGTAAGTCCCGTTGCTGAATCAAAACCCTTTGATGCGATGCTCCGCTGGGCTCATCTCTCTCCTTGAACATCTTAGTTTTATGCGCCTCAGAAGCCCCCCCTTCCTCCCCGCGCTCCCCCCTCCTCCCTCCCCCCACGCTCCTGCCACTACCCCCCATCAGGACGCGTTGCTGGGCTCCTCTCCCTCCCTGAACAACGTCAACCTCACCCTCGCTGCGCGCCAAGCAGACGTCTCCTTCGTCCGCTTCCGCCGCTCGCTCGCCCTCTCCACCGACCCCCTCTTTGACCGCCGATTCGATATAAGCTTCCCCTCTGCAGTCCCCAACAACACGGACCTGTCCAGCCCGCTGCTCTTCATTTTCGCCACGGGACCGCTTCTCCCGTCCTCCACCCCTTCACTGCCGCAGCTCCTCCCACACGCCGCCTCTGCTGCGTTCTTTTCTGGATCGATTAACATCACTCTGAACGCGGCTAAGGCGACAAACTCCTGTGAACCGCTCTGGAATACGCCGGCGCTCAGCTACCCGCCTCTGCCGCCCGGTTTGCTGCCGTCGCCGCCCGGCGAGCCGTCCATGTGGGACGACGGGGCGGTGATTTCTGGCGTATCTCAGTGCAGCACGACGTTTGAAGGGGAAAACAGGAAATTCGCCTCGTGTGAGGCCCTACCAGGGGGGGTCTTTTTCATGTGGACGCTGGGGAAAGAGGAGCTGTCTGGCGCGTTCATTTCCCAGTCTGTCTCCCCCCAAGGGTATGCTGCGGTGGGGCTGCTGCTCCCACCGCCGACGCCGCTTCTAGAGGCGCTGTTTACCCCTCCTCCTGCGCCGGCGGGCGGGAATGGGAGCGCGGAGGGAGGGTATGTGAAGCCGGACTCGTTAGTGGGTGCCTCGATGCTGGTTGCAGTGAGGGCGGAGGACGGAAGTGGGGGACTGAAGGTGGAGGAGTATCAGATTGTGAAGCAGGAGGCGGGAGGTAGCAGCAGCAACGCAAGTGCCACTGGGAGCACCACCACAGGCACGCTCAGCAGCAGCAGCAGAAACAGCAGTGACGGCAGCAGTGTTGCCACAATCGCACCACAGGAGCAAACCGCCATGGTTCGAGGCAGCAACCTCTCTCTCATCTCCGCGAAAGCGGAGCTCCAAGCAGGCTCCCTCACGCTCCTATTCACGATCAAGCTCCCCCACAGGCAGCGATCCGGAGCAGTCCTCCTCTGGACCAAAGGCATCCAGTACTTTCCCGCCAACGACTCCCTCTCCCCAGACGGAATCGCCGCCATGGCAAGCGCGCCGATAGACTTCGGCAAGGAAACCGACGTGGATCCGAACGCGGCTACGGTGACGACAGCAGGGGTGGTGTATTCGGCGCTGAGTGTGGCGGCCTGGGCGTTTATGCTGCCGGTGGGGGCGGTTTCGGGGCGGTATGTGAGGAAGCACAGCCGGTACTGGTTCCCGCTGCACCAGGGGTTTCAGCTGGGGGGGTACTTTCTGACGCTCGCGGCGTTCACCATTGCAATGTCGCTGGAGGCGCTGCACAAGTCGGTGGGGTACTGCGTGCTGCTGGCGCTGCTGTCGACGCTCATGGTGCTGCAGGTGAGGGGCTTGGATGGGAGCTACGGGTGAGAAGGATGCCTGTTAAAGGACCTCATATGTTCCACCCTTACCCCAACGTGAGGGACCACTGGCGGCGATCCCACCCGTTGTGTGGGTTATTCTTGGGTCTCCTATACTAATCTTGTCCCTTTTTTCCACCACCTTGGCGACCACTGGCGGCAATTCCACAAGGTGCGTGGATGCTTCTTGAGTCACCTCAAACGATCCCACCTCTTCTTCTTCCATTCTATCCCCCGCCTCTACCCGCCAGATCTCTGCTGTAATCATCCGCTTGCCCGAGTCCCACCACCTTCGCGACCACTGGAGGCGGTTCCACAAGGTGTGTGGGTGCTCCTTGGAGGCTTCAAATATCTCAACCCTCGCATCTCCCTCCCCTACCAACCCATCAAACCCATCTTTACCCCGCAGATTTCAGCAGTGATTATCCGTCCGCCCGAGTCCCACCACCTGCGCGACCACTGGCGGCGGTTCCACAAGGTGTGTGGGTGCTCCTCGCTCGTCCTCTCCCTCATCCTCCTCTTCCTGGGCCTTCAGCTTGTCCAGGCCTCCTCGGGATTCTCCATTACTGCTGGTGTGTGGCTGGCGCTGCTGGCTTCGTGCTGCTTGACTCTGGAGTGGCTGCTGTGGGCGAATCGGCTGACTCAGACTCGGGTTCGGCCGGAGAGTGAGAGGGAAGCGAGTGAGAAGGAGAGTGTGGATAGTGAGGAGGAGGAGAGGGAGGGGAGTGATGGGGAGTGGGATGATGGAATATCGGATTTGATGTTGGAGGGTGGGGAAGGGGGGGATGGGGAGGATGGGGGTGTGGATAAGGATGGGGATGGGGGGAGGGATTTGGAGAGAGGAGGAGTGGAGTGTGGAGGAGGGGATGCAGAGGAGGGGAGTAAGCTGCGGGATTGGGAGAGGCGAATGCTTGCAGGACATGCAGGGGCATTGGCCATTGGTGCTGCTGGTGAATTGGCTGGGGTGGGGGCAACAGCAGCAGCAGGAGGAGGAAGAGGAGGAGGAGGAGGAGGAGGAGAAGGAAAACGAGGGTCTCACTCGCACCACCACTCGCACATGCTACCTGTGGAGCGCACAGAGAGCACCACGAGCAGCAGCAGTGGTATGGACGGGAGGCAGAGGCGGCGGCAGCAGAGGCAGCAGGAGGAGCTGGCGGAGGCAGTGGCTGCTGCTTGTGCGCGAGCCACGTCTAGGATGTCGTTCAGTGGCCGCATGCCTGCTGGCTCTGCTGCTGCGGGTGCTGCTGCTGCTGCTGCTGCTGCTGGTGCTGGTGCTGGTGCTGGTGTTACTCGTGCTGCTGCTGCTGGTGTTGCTGGTGGTGGTAACGGAAGTGGTGCTGGTGGGGTGCAGCCAGGCGAAGGGGGCCTGCTGGCAGTTGTTGCTGCTGCAGTGGCTGCTGTTGATGCAGAGGCTGCTGCTGCGGCGGCGGCGGCGGCGGCGGCGGTGGTGCTGCTGCGGGTGCTGCGGGTGCTGTGGGTGCTGTGGGTGCCGCGGGTCCTGATGCTGTTACTAATGCAGCGTCCAAGCACACGAAGCATTACCTGAGATCAGCTACTCCCACCGCTGCTGCCGCCGCTGCTGCAGCAGCTGCTGCTGTTGCTTCCGTCAGCCTAACTGCCTCTGATTCCGCTGGCTCTGCTCCTGTTTCTGCCTCTGCCTCTGCTTCTGCTTCAGCACCTCTTCCTGCTGCCCGCGAATCCCCTGCAAAGTCAACGTATTTCAACCCACGCAACATCCTGGTTGGCGCTCCTGCTGCCGCTGCTACATCCGCCGTTCCTTCGACCAGCGCTGCAACTGCTACAGCTGCTACAGGTGCCACTGGCTATGCCAGAGCCAGGGACCCTGCTAGCGCTATGGCCGGGCCTATGCTGAGGGCTACTAGAGCTCTAGGAGCTGGTGAAAAAGGGCGAGGAGGGGGGGATGAAGGCGGGGGTGTTGTAGGAGTAGGAGAAGCAGGTGGTGAGACAGGAGGAACAGGAGGAACAGGAGGAGGAGGAATGGGAGCGGGAGGAGGAGCAGAGGCGGGTGCGTTTTCCTTAGCCACAAAAACCACTTTTATGAACCCTCTCTACTCGTCAGTGGAAGGGAGCCTGAACGGAGAGGCGGGCAGCAGCAGCCCTACCAGCAGCGCTTATAAGTCGACTCAAAAGCCCGCGTTTGAGTCGACTGAAAAGCCCGCTTTCATGAACCCCCTCTACTCGTCAATCGAAGGGAGCCTGAACGCGGAGGCGGGCATTAGCAGCCCTGCCAGCAGCAGCGCTTATAGCAGTGGCAAGAGCAGTCCCAGAAGCAGCAATGGTAGAGCGACTGCTGCTGCAGGTGTTCCTGCAAGAGGTGAAGGCCTCGGGAGTGATGAGATGGTTGGTGTTGGGAAGCAGGCACATCAGCAGAAGGAGCAAGAGCAGCAGCAGGAGAAGAAGGAGCAGCAACGGCAGCTGTGGCAGCAGCTGTGGCAGCTGCAACAGACGGGGCAAAGAGAGGCTGGGGAGCAGCAGAAGGAAGGCGTGACGAAGCAGCAGGAGGAGCAAATTATGGAGCAGTGGCAGAGGCGAACGCAGCAGCAGCAGCAGCAGCAGCAGCAGCAGCAGTCAAGGACAGTCTTGGACGGCTGTGCTGCTTCCAACTCAAACAAAGCCCCATCCGGTGAAGCTGCTGCTGTTCCTCCATCTACTACCAAAATTGAAGTTAAGTCTGCTGGAGAGAGTGAGGAGGAAAGGAGAAGCAGAGAGGCAGCAGCACAGGCAAGCGAGGTAGCGAGGGCGCGTGAGGCTGAAAGGGCGCGCGAGGCAGAAAGGGAGAGGGAGGCAGAAAGGTTGAGGGAAACAGAAAGGGCAAGAGAAGCTGAAAGGGAAAGAGAAGCAGAAAGGGCAAGAGAAGCTGAAAGGGAAAGAGAAGCAGAAAGGGCAAGAGAAGCAGAAAGGGAAAGAGAAGCAGATAAGGCAAAAGAGGCCCGCATGGCTGAGAACAGGCGGCGATTCGAGATGATGGCAGCAGGCTTGGGTGTTGGTGACGGGGGTATGGGAGGAGGAGGAGGAGGTGCAGGAGGCAAGGGGGGAAGAGGGGCCCAGCCAATGATCAAGATGGATAAGTACAATGTGAAGGCCACGGTGGTTCATGCACCCGACTTCGCATCTCTGAAGCGGTCCCTGCAGCTGCACCAGGCTCTGGCCTCCACTGAAAGCAGGGCTTCTGGTGGTGGTGCTGTTGGTGCTGCTGCTGCTGCTGCTGCTGGTGGGGGGAGCAGTGGTGCAGGCGGTAGTGCTTCTTCCTCTGTTGCAGCAGCTGCTGCTGCTGGTGCTGCTGCTGGTGCTGCTGCTGGTGCTGCTGCTGGTGCTGCTGCTGGTGCTGTAGCAGCCACTAGAACAGCAGCCTCCGACCTTCCTTCGATTCTCCTCCCTCCTCCTGGTCTCCCAGAGTCCAGCGCTCCTCCCTATGGTAACAACCCCCCGCGCTACAACACACCTCCCCGCTACAACACGCCCCCACGCGCCCACTCCCCCTCGTCCCAATCCTGCTCTCCTAGGTCTTCTGGTCTCCCTCCGCTTCCTCCCTCCCCTTCCTCCTCTGGGGGAGGAGGACCGTTTCTCCGTAACCGCACTCCTTCCCCTGGCACTCGCACCCGTGCCCTTGAAGCAGCAGCTGCTGCGGCTGCCGTTGAAGCAGGAGCTGCTGGTGCGTCTGGTAATGGCTCCGTTCCCAGGGCAAGAAGGGCGCTCAGCTTTGAAGCACCCAGTGAAGCATCACAGAACTATCCAGCTGGAGGAGGTGGAGGTGGGGCTGATTCTGCTGCTCAGGCTGAGTCGGTTCACGCTGGTGTTGGCGGTGGTGGGTCGGCGGTGAGAAGGGCACTCAGCTTGCTGCCTGCAACTGCGGATGCTCCGCGCTCACTCTCCCCCACGCCCTCAGGGGCTGGGCCTAAGCAAGTGCTTCCCCACCCTCAGCAGCAGCAGCCAGTGTTCTACCACCAGCAGCAGCCGCCGCTGCCGCAGCAGCAGCAGCAGCTACTCTACCATCACCAGCAGCAGCAGGCATACATGGTTACGCCATCCTCCCCTACCTCCTCCTCCTCCTCTATCCTCCCGCCTATAGCAGAACTTCCCACTTCATCACCAGAACTACACAGCCTGGGAGGCGTATTCTCAGGTGCATCGACAGGATTTTCCTCAGGAGGTCCTTCAGGTGTATTCGGGGGAGGTGTATCTTCAGGAGGTGCTGCTGCTGCTGCTGTCCTTGCCACTCAGCACATGCCCTCTTCGCCCTCCCTCTGTCCCTCCCCCGGCTCTGCTGCTCTCCCGACACTCCCCCGACGGCCGTTGGATCTCTCCGTCAAGGCATCGCAGCCGTTGATCTCAACTGCCCCCAGGAGAATCCTCTCAGCAAGCTCGTTTGCTCCTGAGGGAGCAGCGGCAGGGAACCCTGGGAGCGGGAACCATGGGGTTGGGAGCCATGGAAGTGGGAATTATAATTCTTCATTTGGGAGCCCTGGAGGACATGGAAGTCCAGGGAATGCAGGGAATTCAGGGAATCATGGGGGGGGGAATTATAGCTCCCATGGGAGTCCCGGGGGCCATGGCAGTCCTGGGAACTATGGAGGTTGGGGTGCTGGTAGAAGGCTAGGGTCGCCTGCTGGGGGTGGTGGCGGTGGTGGCGGTGGTGGCGGTGGTGGTAGTGGTGGTGGCGGGACTGGATATTTGTTTCAACGGTCAGGATCGAATGAGGGGGCTGGATCTGGGTTTTTGTTCCAACGGTCAGGATCGAAAGATGGGCTAGCTGTAGAACGTGTAGGATCTGGTGACGGTTTACAATAGAGGGAACGGCAAGGGTTTAGCACGTACGGTAAGAAAGAGGCATTAGGCTTCTCTATTTCTCTAGTTGCTGTTTGGACGCAACAAAGAACACTAGTATTTATTCAGTCTAGAGAACTACAATAATACAAATTTCTGTATGATGCCATTGTTAGACAGAGGAGGATAACACAATATCATCATACTGTAATGGATGTTGTTGGTTGATGTATTTTACAGAGTGAGCACCTGATGTGGGATGGCTAGCTGATCTACACCTTTCTTTAGCACTTTAAGAACTTCCTTTTCAGTCTCCCCAGGAGCAACCCCCATCTTTGGAACCCCCTTTGCCCCGGCTTCTTGCAGCATTCTCATAAACTTTCGCCCAACTAATGCTCTGACTCCCACTAACGCAGCTAGCAGAAGCACACGCCTGTAGGAACCGCACACAACCCTTTCACACGCCTCCTGAACCACTCCAAACCCCATCTGGCCCTGGCCCACGAAACGCCCCAGCCACTCCCCCAGCACCTGGGAATTCCATACTGCCGATGTTTCTGCGGCTGCTTTTGGTGGTGTAGCATCCATGTTTTTGGAACGAGCAACAATCACTGCACTGTTTGCAACAAGCTCACTCCTGTGACTGGTGCTGCCTCTCCCAATCAGCCGAGCGAATGACAACGCGCCACTTGTCAGCGATCCGTCGGGCAGAGCTTTTCTTGTCGCCAGGTTGTCGAGCAGCAGCGCCACTGATTCGAGAACGGCGCGAGCTGATTGGCCGATGGGTAGAAGCATCTGCTGCGATTGGCTGGCTGGTAGTGCCGGCGAATTGCGACCGTTGGATCCTGAAGAGGACTGAACGGCAGGAGATGCATTAGCAGCAGGGGTATTAGCAGTGGCGGCAGCAGCAGCAGCAGCAGCAGCAGCAGGAGCTTCAGCAGAATCAGGTTCGGCAGCAACATAAGCAGCGGCGGCCCCATGCCGCATCATCTGCAGCACGAACCGAGCCGCATAGTCCCGAGGGGGGTGGAAACCCAGAGCCTGCTGCGCTGTCAGCACCCCCGTATAGATCACACGTGATACCTCGGGTTTCGTGCTGCCGAGAGTCGGCCCGAATCGCTGCAGGAGAGAAGTGTCTGCTGCTGTGGCTGGTGGGCTTGACCCTTGTGTTGGAGGGCTGGGTCCTATCACAGGGTTTGAGCCGAGTGGCACAGGGCTGGGCCCTTGTGCTGCAGGGATGCTGGTTTGTAATGTGCTGAGTCCTTGGATGATAGACTTTAGAATGGTGATTGCGAGCTGGGTTTCCCGGTCCATATCTGCTGCTCCTTCTGCTGGTGCTATGGGTGCTGCTGGTTGTGGGGAAGGTACAACTGGGGAAGGCACTACTGGTGCTGGCAGTGGCGATGTGGCATGTACCCCTGTGCTTCCTGCTACCCCCACACCTCCATGCCACCCCATACCTCCCATTTCCATCCCTCCCATTCCCACCCCTCCCATTACCATCCCTCCCATTACCATACCCTCCCATTCCCATTCCCCCCATTCCCAAACCTCCCATTCCCACCCCACCTCCCATCCCCACACCTCCTTGCATTCCCATCCCCCCCATCCCTACCCCTCCTATCCCCATCCCTCCCATTCCCATCCCTCCCTGCATTCCCATCCCTCCTCCAACTCCCCCCAACCCTACCCCTCCTCTCCCTCCTGCATTTTTCTTCCCCTTCCCCCTCCCTCCCCCCCTTCCTCCCCCCCCTCCCACCAACCCCAGCTCTGCCTCCGCTTCGGCCCAAACCTGTCCAATAGGCTTGGCAGTCACCTCTTCCTTCCGAGGCACCCACCCGTTCCTCCGAAGCTCTAGAAGCTCTTGGCACATGAAGCGAAGGCGGGAGGAGAGAGGAGGAGGGAGGGCATGCAGCAGGGGAGGAGTGAGGGGAGGAGGAGGAATCGAAAACTGCTGCTGCTGCTGCTGATGATGCTGCTGCTGCTGCTGCTGCTGCAGATACAACCGGCTAAGGGCGTTTCGTGAAACATTTACCAGCTGGTCCTTCTCAGTCCCCTTGTACTTAGCTAAGTATTTCACATGCCTCATATAAGCCTCCAGTAGCAGCTTGAATTTTCCACTCCTCTCCATCGCCCCCCCTGCTATCGTGAGCAGCACACACACTGCTTCCACGTGGGAGGGCGGGGGGACAGATGTAGGATCACCCAAAAGGTCCTGGAGGAGTGGGATAAGGAAGAGGGAGGTGAGGAAGTGAGGAACTGAGGAAGTGTGCATATGTCAGCATACGGACAATGTGCGTCTTGTCCCAACCAAGCCCCCCCCCCCCCTCCCCCCTCCCCCCTCGCCTCTGATACTTAGCTAAGTATCTCACATGCACCTGCACACCAGCGCACATGGAATGGGACCACTCACCTGCACACACGCATGAACCACCTTCTCTGGAATCATTCTCTGCAGAAACAGCTCCCCGATTAATCTAATGTTGCCCAGTGTCCGTGCCTTGGCTTTTCGCTGCTCCTTCTCCTCCTCTTTCCCTTCTCCTCCTCTTTCCCCTTTTCCTCCTCTCTCCCCTTCTCCCTGCCTAGCTCCCCCCCCTCTCTTCTCCCTTTCATCAAACTCATTTGTATCTTTCTCCCTCTTCTCCCTCTCTGTCTCCGCCTTTCTCCCGCCCTCCTCATCTCCCTCCCCTTCTACCCTCTCTCCCTTTCCCTTTTGCCACTTCCCCTTCTACCTCCCCTTTTCTCCCCTCATCTACTCCTTCGCCTTCTTCCCCCTCCCTTTCTCCCCCTCCCCTTCTCCCCCTCCCCCCCCCTCCTCTCCCCCCTCATCTTCCCCTCCCTCCTCTCCTCCCTCGTCTCCTCCCTCGTCTCCTCCATCGTCCCCCTCAGTGCTTCCTTCCTGCTGTGATTCCAGCAACTCGCCAGCCTGCCACAGGACAGAGAGAGGAAGAGAGAGAGAATGGGGCGCAGAAGCGGACAGACTATGGTATATTGTTCCATGTGTGTCCCTTTCACATCTTTTCTGTCACACATGAGATGGCAAGTTACTAGTCCCACCCACCTTTTGAGACGTCTCAAAAACTTTTCTGTCACACATCAGATGGAGAATTGCTGGCCCCACCCACCTGCAGTCTCCTTTTGAGAATTCTCAAAAGCGACTTTTCTGTCACACATGAGATGGCAAAATTACTGGTCCCACCCACCCATCTGCAGTCTCCTCCGCTTCGCAGCGCGTTCAAACTCCTCCTGACACGCGCCCAGCACCACGGGTTCCTCAAGCCACTTCTCACATTCCACAACCACTTGCCACCGCACCTCACCCCACCCCACCCCACCCCACCCCACCCCACCCCACCCCACCCCACCCCACCCCACCTGGAGCCTCAGCTTGGCAGCGCGTTCAAACTCCTCCTGACACCCAGCACCACGGGTTCCTCAAGCCATTACCCACATTCCACAACCACTTGCCACCGTGCCCCACCACACGCCACCGCACCACACCCACCTGAAGCCTCTGCTTAGCAGCGCGTTCAAACTCCTCCTGACACGTGCCCAGCAGCACACGGCGGAAGGAGATCGGCTCACCCCCTCCTGCCCCTGAGCCTTCTTCCCCACCGCCGCCTGCCCCATTGGATGGCGGAAACTCAGGCAGCGCTCGCGAAAGTTTTTCGCAAAGGGCAGCGTACATGGGGCAGAAGGTGGGTTCGTCTACTGCCTTGGTAAAAATTAATAGAATTACCTCCTGATAGAGGGGGGAAAAGGGGGAATACGGGAAGGGGGAGGGGGGAGATTGACAATGCAATTGTGAAACCATGATTTAATGCGTCTTTTAATAATGATAGCAAGGACGAACGGCAAATAATGAGCGGGCATAAACTTCCTCTGTTGAATATATCTGAAATAAACGAACTAGAATCACCTGGAGGATCTCAGGTGTGTTGATGCCAGCTGTCAGGAGCTGCTGGAAGAGCGATTCGAACATCTCAGGTGTGAGCTTGTTGAGAATGCTGCGGAAGGACAGGGGAAGGGGGAAGGGCGAAAGGGGATGGAGGCGGCGAGGCAGGGGACGGTGGAAGAAGGGAAGAGGGAAGAGCGGGTCGAACATCTCAGGTGTGAGCTTGTTGAGAATGCTGCGGTGGGAAAGAGTTAGGTAGGGAGCATTCTTTGACTCAAAGGGGACCAGATGGAGCATCTCAGGTGTGAGCTTGTTGAGAATGCTGCGGAAGGACAGGGCGAAAGGGGAAGGATGGTGGGCCAGGGGGGAGAGGAAGGGGAAAGAGAAGAAGCGGAAAGGGGGAAGAGGGAAGGGCTAATTTGCCTGGTCCGCACCAGTCTATAACGGGTACAATCCAGCGGCCGTACGTACCCTTGCACGGTTCGCAACACTTTCTGCTTCTCATCCACCACGCGTCCACGTGGTACCCACGGATTGGCTGCCTTGACGATCGTGGTAGGATCCATGGCCAGGATTTGTCCTTGCTGCGAATCGACGGCTTCTAGAATCTCAGGGATGCTACGATGTTATCGTCCGTCGAATTCCTTCAGAAGGCCTGAGCTGTGTATCAACCGCGATCTTGACTCGATACTGCGTTACGTAGAGCCTGAGGGGTTACACAACGTGCTACAAATTCGCGTTTCGAGGCGCGTTATAACCAAAAGGGTCGAGTCATTTGTTGAAAATCCCAAAAGCAAGCCGTGACCCCTCAGAAAAATCGAGAAAAGCGAGTAGTGAAACGAGGTGGAACGTGAGGAACAACGTGGAATTCATCGCACACACGGATGGTTTAGGGCGCGTGTCCTTATACAGTGTTTTGCAAAACTCGTTTTTTTTTTTTAGTTGAACTTCTACCACTTGAGCCTAGGTCGACCTAGGCTCGACCATGTAGATTCATTTTGCTCGAGCCGCTGTTCCTCGCTTCACATGTATCACACAGCACACAAGAGTTCGACTAGCGAAATTCAACTTTGAACAATAATAACCGAGTCGCGCTAGACTTTCGTAAGTTACTCGGTTGGGCAGTGCAATTCATGACCGTATCCAGCTTCAGTAACCATGTTCAAATGACCTCGTTACTGTCGTGAACCTCCTGGATTTTTCGTACGTGCGCGGAAGGACACACGATTGGATAAATGTAAATGTAAGAGTTCGAACGCAGTCGACTCTAGTTCAGTGTCCAACTTCCTTCACACAGTTTGAACTAGAACACACGACGTCCTCGCGAAATGTTTGGCGAGATTGACAAAGCGAGTTACCAGACAAAGTAACCTTTTTTCGAACTTCTACACCAAAGGACACGCGCCCTTATTTCGGCGGGAAGATGCGTTAGTAGTTGAGCCTGCTTCTCTTGTAGAAGCTCTAATGATGATGCTTGAATACTTGTTGTACTCTTGATATACTGAATATGTTCTGAAATTCTATGCATAGACATTTAAGCAGCATATAGATAGTTAGGCTGAATGTTCAGAGGTTATTTATTTGATTATTTATTTATTTAGTTATTTATTTATTTATTTATTTATTTATTTATTATTTTCCCGTAAAAGCTGAAGCATTAGAACAAGGGTGGACGCTGGTGGGTCGGCCTTCCCTAAAACAAGTTTAGGGCCCTGCCTGTAAGGGAGCATAAGGGACTGCCAAATACGGAAAATTAGTAGCATTGCGCTCGACGGACTGGTCCATATGAGGGCTCGGCCCGAGCGACTGCGATAGGAGCTCTGTGCGGCAAAACGCGGGTGTGGTTGCAAAAGAATAATTGAAAGCCACCAGAGTCGAGTGAAAAAGAGAGTGACGTACATGGTAGCGAAAGAAACGCTGAGATGTGGAAGAGTCAAACGTAATAGAGAGTGACAGGTCAATGGTGGACGCACCTCGACAAGCTGAAGCAGAAGATAGTACGCAATAAACAGCTGGAAATTATACTATAGGTACACACGAATAGTAATAAGATTCAGCAACACTATGATCAACAGCATACATAGCAGTTGAAATATCATACATATCCATCGTAAACACAGGCAAACCTTTCTGCAGTAGCGCAAGCCAGTCCGGGGTGACCACATGAGGCCCAAAACGAACGCGATAGAGGTCGTCGAGGCGCCGGAAGCAGCGCGCAGCGGAGTGATCGCGACGCCCGCAAACGGTGCCAGCGCCAGAACCAGTTAGAACTCGGAACTGGCAGGGCCCGGCATCCCGGCAACGTGTCACCCAACTAGCAGGGTCGCCACCCCGACCGAGGATCCCTGGACCACTTAGTTCCCACTGCTGATGAGAGGTCCAGTGCTGGACCTGCTGCTGCTGCTGCAGGTGCTGCTGATGCTGCTGCGTCACTGCCACACCCCCAGGACCAGCACCTCCTGTACTATCAGCCCCAGAACCTTCTCCAGCGTCAGCTCCCCCAGACGTACCAGCAGCTCTATCGCCTCCACCTCTTCTACCCCCTCTACTCTTGTGACTACCATTGCGACGTCGCTGCCCACCAGAGGCAGCAAGCACTGCAACCTCTGTCGGGGCAGCAGGCTCAGCAACAACAGCCGAGGCAGGGGAGGCAGCGAGGAGTGACGGGGCGCACCCCTCAAATATGGGGGGAAGCACTGTTCCAGAGGAGGAGGCCATGGCGAGTAGGCGGGTCTCGATCTTAGTGAGATGCTTCTCAAAGAAATCGATAGTGAGGCTCATTGGGTGTTTTGCGAGGAAAGCGTCGCGGGCAGGTGCGAAGCGGTCAGGGAGGCGGGTCGCGAGGAGGTACAGGGTGATATACATGGGGGGCGGGTGCACAGTAAGGACCTCAGCAGTACAAGCTGCGCGGTAGCTAGCATCAAGCGAGCGCAAGTGGGTAATGAGATCAGCAACGGTGGAGAATGCAGCGAGATCTGGAAAGAGGAAAGGCAGAAACAGGCGACCCAAGGAGGCAGAGGAGGGAGAGGAGTAGCGAGCAATAACAGCATCAAAACATTCCTTCGCCGTCTCTAAATGGAGAAAGTGTTTCCGTTCGGTCTGCGGGAGGTGACGGCCGATACCAAGGCGTGCAGCGGCGTCGCGCGCTTCCCACTGCGTGCGCTCCAGTCTAGCCGCACGATACTCCTCCTTCTGCGCCGGTGTGGCGTCAGCAGCGAGATCAGAAGGACGCGGCGGGGCTGGGAGCTCACCCGAAGCGTGATCGTACAGGGAGATGCCATGCTGAAGCTGACTCCGCAGGTAAAGCTTGACTTCGAGCAGCCACAAAGCGAAGTCGATCGCACGACCCTCCGCGTCGAAACGCAACACTGACTCGGACTCGAGCTGGCACGGGCAGCGGGTGGCTGGTACAAGCGGCACACGGGCTAGCGTAGGCTGGCACGTGGCTTGCTCAGGCTGGCGGGCTGGCTGGCGCAATTTGGCGCTGCTGGCTGGTGTGAGCTGGCAGCAGCGCAATTTGGCGCTGCTGCTGGCTGGTGCGAGCTGGCACAGCTGCTGTTTCTGCTGTTCTTGGTGCTTTTGCTGCAAACACAACCAGCTAGGCGTGTTCCTCGAAGCACTGACCAGCTGATCGTTCTCAGTCCCCTGGTACTTAGCTAAGTACTCCACACGCCTTAGATACCCTTCCAGCAGCAGCGGTGCTCTCCCACTCCTCTCCATCGCCCCGCCTGCTATCGTGAGCAGCACACTCACTGCTTCTACATGAGAGGGAGGGGGGATGGACGCAGGATCGCTCAAAAGATCCTGAGGGAGGGAGGGAAGCGAGGGGTGTATGAGAGAGAAGTGATGGGCGGAAGGGAGGTGAACAAGGGGGGGAAACCGACCAACAGTAGTGGCACTCTCCCACTCCTCTCCATCGCCCCCCCTGCAATCATGAGCAGCACACACTCACTGCTTCTACATGAGGAGGAAGGACGGATGGATGCAGGGTTTCCCAACAGTTCCTGGAAGAGGGGAATATGGGGAAGAAGGGAGGTAAGGGAGGAAAGCGAGAGATGTACGGAAAGAGGAAGGGGCTTGGCATGAAAACAACGTTTTTTTCCCTGTCAATAAGCCCTTGTGTTATGGTCAGCAGCACATACACAGCTTCCGCGTGGGAGGGAGGGTGGATGCTGCGAGGGAAGGATCTCTCACACCCCTTTGTGATTGAACAAGTGTTTTGAGACGTCTCAAAACACTTCTTCAATCACGTGACACCCCTTTTGGATGCAGGGTCGCCCAAAAGTTCATGGAAGAGGGTTGTGACCACTCCACTCACCTGCACAAATGCACCCACTCACTTGCACACATTCAAGCGATTTTTGAGAATTATAAAAAATCCTCTCACCTACATACAGACAGCAATGCACACCAAGTGCACATGCACCCACTCTCCTGCACACACGCGTGAACCAGCGGCTCCAGAATCGTTCCCAGAGGAAACAGAGCCAATGTTGCCAATCAACCCAATGTTGCCAATCAACCCAATGTTGCCAATCAACCCAGTGTTGCCAATCAACCCAGTGTTGCCAATCAACCCAATGTTGCCAATCAACCCAATGTTGCCCAGTAAATTCTAAAGCGTCACCTGCTGCACACATAGCATCAAACCACTCACCTGCACACATAGCATCAAACCACTCACCTGCACACATAGCATCAAACCACTCACCTGCACACACGCGTGAACCACTGGCTCGGGAATCATCCTCTGAAGAAACAGCTCTCCAATCAGCCGAATGATGCCCAGTGTCTGTGCCTTGGCCTTTCGCTGCTCCTTCTCCTCCTCTCTCCCGTTCTCATTCTCTCGCTCCTTCTCCCTCTTCTCCCTTTCATCATCCTCGTTTGTATCTTTCTCCCCCTCTCCCCCACCCTCCTCATCCCCCTCCCCCGTTTCCTCATCTCCCCCTCTTTCTCCTCTCTCTCCTTCCTGCAAGGAGCCTAGCACTTCCGTTGTGAAATTCTCTCCCTCTCCCTTTCTCCCTGTCCCTCTCCCTTTCCTTCCCCTCATTTTTGCTCCTTTCCCTTCTTCCTCCCCTTCTCCTCTCTCCTCCTCTCCTCCCCCTTCTCCCCCATCCCGTTTTCTCCCATCAACTTTCCCCCCCTCCCCTTCTCCCCTCTCCTCTCCCCCCTTCTCCTCTCCTTCCCCTTCTTCCCCCTTCCGTTTTCTCCCGTCGATTTTTCCCCCCTCCTCCTCTCCCCTCGTCCCTCCCCTTCCTCCTCTCCCCCCTCCTCTCCCCCCTCCTCTCCTTCCTCGTCCCCTGCTGTGCTTCCTTCCTGCAATGATTCCAGCACCACGCCAGCCTGCCACAGGCAGGGCAAAGCATGGAAGAGAGAGAGAGGTGCGGAGGAGAACACTCCTTGAAATCCCTTTCCTTGTACCTTCAGCCATGTGATGAAGGTGTGATTGGGGCCTGTCCCGTCCACCGAAACTAGTTTGCCTCGTTTTAATATTTTAGTGGAATTTTGAGTCGGATTTCTTGAAACTCCTTGTTTTTAGCAGGAACAACAACAGATCGTACTGTTAATCCTTTGCTAAAGAATTCTTTTAGACTGCTGCTCGCCTAATCACATGGCTGAAGGCAGGGCAAAGCAGGGAAGAGAGAGAGAGGTGCGGAGGAGTACAGTTCTTGAAATCCCTTTCCTTCTCTTCTCCTTAGAACTCCTCCTGTCCTCCTCCAAACGCGTTCAAAAATCCTCTTTCTCTTCTCACACGTGCCCAGAAACACACAGGTGTTTCCTCAGGTGTTTCCTCACCTGCAGCCTCACTCAGCCTAGCCGCACGTTTAAACTACCCCTTCTCTTCTCACACACACGTGCCCAGCAACACACAGGTGTCTCCTATGTGCAGGTTATACTCCTTCTCCTCCACACACGTGATTTTTGAGGCGCCTCAAAACTCACCTCAATGCATTTTGAGGCGCCTCAAAAATCACACGTGCCCAGCAACAGACAGGTGTCTCCTATCTGCAGTTTAGACTCCTCCTCCTCCACACACGTGCTCACTGCCCACAAGAACGGGTTCCTCGAGCCACAACCTGCATTCCGCAACCATTTGCCACCGCACCCCATCCCACCCCATCCCACCGCAACCCACCACACCCCACCGCACCCCTACGCACCTCACCCACCCCATTTGACCGCACCCCACCTGCAGTCTCAGTTTAACAGCGCGTTCAAATTCCTCCTGACATGTGCCGAGCAGCACGCAGCGGAAGGAGATGGGCTCACCCCCCCCTTCCCCTACTTCCCCTTCCTCCCCCGCTGCCCTGTTGAATGGCGGAAACACGGGCAGCGCTCGCGAAAGTTTTTCGCAGAGGGCAGCGTACATTGGGCAGAAGGTGGGTTCGTCTACTGCCTTGGTGAAAATGAATGATATCACGGCCTGATAGAGGGTGGGGGGTGAGAAGAAGGGGGTCAGGAGTGGGGAGAGAAGAGGGGTTGAGGAGAGGGGGTGAGGAGAGGGGAGGGAGAAGGTGGGTGAGAGGGGAGTGCGGGAAGAGGGGAGGGGGGAAAGAGGGGAGGGGGGAAAGAGGGGAGGGGGAAAGAGGGGAGGGAGGGAAGGGGGGTTTAGTTGATGTGAAGTGTAGATTCAGCTGAAAGCAGTGAGAGGAGGCGGATGGTCTGACTTGTACAAAGTGGGTTCGTCTACTGCCTTGGTGAAAACTAACGATATCAATGCAATTGTGAAGGGGGTGGGGATGGGGGAGAGGGGAGAGGATGGGGATGGGGGGATCAACAATGCAATAGAGAGGCAATAACTCAAAACGGTTTGTTTTATATTAGAAAGCAAGAACAGCGGGTACTGAGCAGACGTGCCCTTTGTCTGTTGAATTCACCTGAAATGAATGAAAGATGCCTGCTCTGCTAGAATCACCTGGAGGATCTCAGGTGTGTTGATGCCAGCTGTCAGGAGCTGCTGAAAACGCGGTTCGAACGTCTCAGGTGTGAGATTGTTGAGAATGCTGCGGAAGGGGGAAGGGGGAAGGGGAAGGGGGAAGGGGGAAGGGGGGAAGGGG